CATAATTCACAATGAGTTTTCAAAATGTGTAGGATTGTGAATATAGAAATATTACTACAAAAAAGAATTGCGAAATAAAAGCCAGAATTGGATGGTGGTAAATACTATCAGATTAGTTGAGAACACCAAATGATGCATGTGTGATGTATGAATACAACATTCGAGCATGCATCAAATATTTTTGAATAATTACTTTCAAAAACATGCAAAAAAGAAAAGCACAAAATAGGAGTGAAAACAGAAAAACATAAAAGTCAACAAAGAAACGAAAGAAAACCAAAATCAGGCACAGCAGTCCAACCACAAATCCTCAAGTGGGTTTATACCTCGTCGTTCATGTCAACTCGTTCAATGACTAAAAATCCATCCAAGTCTTGATGTTGTTCTAACACCGGTGCTTCTGTATCAGTACATGCATCAGCAAGTTCAACCTGAACTGGTGATTCAGATTGACACGATACTGATTTTGTCGGAGTGCCTTCACATTGCTGATGCTTATCCACTTGTGGCAAGGGTGAAAGTACGCTTTCTACTTCAACATCGTTACCCTGATTTGGGGTTTTATTAGAGCGGATGAACAGGAACAGATGAAATATGAAAATGATTGATGAATATGGAAGAAATAATTGAAAGAACAAACAGAAAAAATGAGATGAAAAGTGATTGAAATGTGAATGACGCAACAAGCAAAAGCAGAGAAAAATGTCACCAGAAAAATTTTGTGATTAATCGAGGGTTTCAAATTTCCACACAAAAAGGTGAAAAATGAAATTTCAAAAAATATTTTACTTGAAAATAATTACAAATAAATAGATGCTTTTTAAGCTGGGGTTCGAAGTGTTTCAGCAAAAAGTTAGAAAAGAAATATATCAAAACATTCTATTTCAAGTTTCATCCTAGGTTGAATCCCTCGTAATGTTAGATTTTAAGTTTTCAGGATAGGATAGACACCCAGATATTTAGGAAGTTGATCAGTTTTAGCTACAGAGTCATTTTCTGGTAGCATTTTTCCGAAAACAGTTACAAATTAGCGAAGGCAGCAAAAGGGCAAGCAGCAGTCCACGCCGATTGCATGCATATTTGATATGCGGAAATGACAAAATGCAATGGAATAGAAAACGAATAAGATAACAACAAACAGATACTTGTACAAACATTCTCGTAAATCGCAACTAGCTAAAGCATAATTCTACTACAAGCAAAAATCATTTGTGCCAAAGTTTAGATTGGTATTGAATTAGAATTGAATAAATAATAATACGAATAGTTTAAATTAAAAATTAGCCACTTACATCTTCAGCAGAAGTTCCATTATTCATAACTGCCTCCTTTGAAGCCAGTTGTTCTTTTAGTTCAGTAATTTGGCTTGTCATCTGGTTAGAAAATACATATTATATAAGGGAACTTATAAATGAAATAACTTCACAATAAAAGATGTAGCTCAAGGCAATAGTGGGAAACCAATAAATACCCTATGTGGGTTAATTTCGATTTTTAGTATTTAAAATTGTAAATTAAAAGAAATCAATGAAAATTCACAATTCCATATCCATATCATTATTTTAAATTGTAAATATTAATATTGTGAAATCAGCAGAACCTTTAGGACACAAGAAATAAGTTGAATGTTTCATATCTAAGTGTAAAAAATTATAAAATGCGGGAGCGACTAGTAAGAAAATGAAAAAATTATTATCACACACCTCATCAACAAGCTTTTGTGATTTTTGAGCTTCTTTCAAATTCTTACTTAAAGATGATTTCTCATTACCAAGTTCCTGAAAAAAAAGAGATGAAAAATGCATTATGAAAAATAAAATTAGACCTACGACAAACAGCTTCAACACGTTCTTGGAATGACATGATAAATACCAAATCCCAACCCGCATGTTCTGGTTCTTTGTTTTTGACACTGGACGACCACAGCAAATGGGTAACATGCACTGCGAAACGCTAATGATGGCTAGCGTGATATTTGGCGTTTCTATAAATATGTATTATTATTTATGTAAAGAGTGACATACTTATGAAGCATACATAGTTGCATAGATTAGTAAATATGACGTTTGAGTTGTTCTTATCATGTAATCTTATGTTACATTCTTACATCGATATAGAGGTGACATGGGAAAACTATGGCCCGCAGGCCAAATTTGGCATGTTGAGTAATTCAAATTAAAACCAAATCTTGATGTTTTTCTGCTAAAAAATAGCTCAAGGAATTTGTTGAGATTGCAATTAAATTTAGTTTTGGCACATTTAGTTTAGTTTTGGCTTATTGTTTTCAACTTTTGCTTATGTAACATTATCACATTTTTCATAAAATGTAACCTTCTACGTCACACTCACATGGCCCGCCAGTGTAGGTGGGCAAAAATTTCGGCCCCTGGTCCAAAAACCTTGCCCACCCCTGTAATAGAGCAATAATTAATGAGCATAGTTTCCATCGAAATCTGTTCTTAAGTTTAATGCAAAAGAAAATCTGTCTTACAATTTCATCACTCATTAAAATTATTCTATTCAAGTCGTCTATTATCCCACCTCAATTTTTTTCCTTAATTCTTCAGATTCCTGATGAGCTTTTGATGCTTCTTGATGTGCTTCATCTACTTTCTTCTTCCAAACTCCTTCCTCCACTTCAACTGACCCTTGGAGTTTGCATAATATTTCCTCCTGTAATTTAATTTTCAGTTAGGAGATTTAATAATAATAATCAAAATAGTCCACAAATAATCAAGCAAAACAAAGATGTTATAACATAGCATATTATTATATATCTCAGCGACGTCCAAAGAAATAGTCTTTGAACAAAATCCATAATTGCATAGCACCAAATGAGTAATTGAAATATTCATAATTACTGTTATAGTAAAAAAGACCACTTGCCACCATGACTTGCCTACTATACGTCTTCTACAAAAAAAAGGGCTACTCCGAATACAATAACATGCAGCAAAATGACGAGTATACGATTGCCCTGTTTTTTAGAAAAACAACAATATTCTCTAGTTTGGCATTAGGCTATTTGCTGGATTTGTGATCAGTCAATGAATCTGAATCCTAAATCTTCGATTATAACAGGATAACGACTAGACCAGTGGTATGCAACCTGCAAGCCAAATGCAGCTCAGGAAAAAATTATGCATCCCACAGCCAATTTGGAATGGTGTGCGACTGACGAAACAAGTTTTAAATTTATTTTAATCTGGCATGTGCAAGTAATTCCAATCCTAAGTTGCAAAGCCTATATTATCTATGCCTATGACAGTACAATGCTTAATAATGGCTAGCTTGTGGGAAGCGAACAACGCATGTCATAAGATCAAATTCAATACCCAACATTTTTGTGCCTGCAATTACTTAGAAAGACTGATGTTAAGCAAAGGTGAAGCCCGCGGTTTTTGTATCTGGCACTCCTGTATTAGAAGTTGCACACCCCTGAACTAGATAGGCCATTGAACTCGGATAATAAGAGTTGTAAAGCATATCACAAGACTTGCTATACTAATTTAGATTAGGAACTATACTATTCGTTATCAGGTATTGACTAATATAATACTTACAGTGGAATTGAGAATTTTTTTATATTTTTCACATTCGGATATTGCGTTTGATAAATCATTTTGTTTCTGTTTTGAATCTCGTTCAAGAGATTTATTTTGGTCCTTGACGCTTTTCACTGAACTTTCCAGATCGGAAATCTTCGACTGAAGTTTGGAAGCTTCACCCGATTTCTTTTCTAATTGCGATCGAAGCTGAAAATGGAAAAATGAATCTACCATCCACATCCTACAATTTGAAAACTAAAAAACCAAACTATCTCTAAATAAAACGGAGCATCGCATAGGTATATGTACATAGAAGCGAAGTTCTTTCCCTTGCACTGCATATATTATTTAATTAAGTACAAGCTTACTGAAATAAAAAGGAAAAAAATAAATTGTGGTGAAATTTTCCAAAATTGTGGGGTAACATCCTGTAATTAATTGAAAATAAACTTAGTATCAGTCTTCTAAAATATTCTCTCAATGAAACTTCTTAAAATTTGAGCAATCGGCCCAGTAACTGATAAAATAAAACAATTTTTTGTTTCAACAACAATTCGATAGCTCCAACTTGAATAAATGTATTTTTTTATATTTTCAAACTTCTTAAACATTTTACCGAAATATTTTGGAGGATAGTAAATGGAACTTAAAGTAAAAAACAGCCTAAAAACCAGCAAATATATCTTTGTCAAATTTTAAGTTAACATTTTTTTTAAATTTCAATATTTGATCTTTTGTCTCAATAAAACCCTCAAATTCTCCAGAACGATAAAGACGCAACAAATATAATGTACAATTTCCGTTTGTACACTCTTTTCAAATTAATAAATATACAACTAGTCATAGCGACAACTGCTAATAAAACATGCACCAACTCTAATACAAATTCGACCACTGTCTATATCTTACTAATTGATAAACACAGAAAACCTATCACATACAAACCTTATCAGCTTGAACTTTTGCTTCTTCAAATTCTACTTGAGAGTCGTTTGATTGCACTATTTGTTGTGAACTTTCAGATGCTTGATTGACAAATGATTTTATCCACACTTCAAAATCCTAAATATTGGAATATAAAGGTCAGAGAGAACACATATAAAAAAACACATAAAGGATAGATAAATTAAAACAAAAAAATGCAATTTAGTTAATATTCTTACACTTTTTTCAATATGTGGAAATTTCGCAACACATGAGAACACATTAATAGGAAATGCACACAAGGAGATAAATTAATACATTCAATAAAACCTAATGAGAGCGACCGTGTTTACCAATATAAGTTTGGTTGATGAGCAAAAAAACAAATTTAATTTTGAAATAGGAAACAATATAAAGCTATATAAAGTTTAAGTTAACCACTGATAAATGGGAAATCAAACATAATTCATAAATTCTGTTTTAAAATTACCTTTTCCCTTATTGAAATATTAGGAAAAGCATCTGATAATGATTGCTTTACAGATTCCTGTAAATGAGCACGAACTTCATCACCTTCCGCCTGAAATGGCGAGAAAAACAACGATTTTCAAATTAAACTGTTGCCATAAAATTTGAGACTAGCAATATTCTTATTTAAATTTTAAGATCGTAGAAATCTAATCCAGTTTACCAAGAATTTAAACATACTGTTGCAAAGTTTTGTGAATTCACAATCACAAATCACAATGCCAAAATAGGGTACCAAGCACTATTTTTAAGGCTTGGCATTTTCGAATACCTGACGATTTTAGAATCGAATTGCAAATTTTTTCCGAATCTCGATTACTCAAAGGAAATTCAATTGTATGTGATTTTTTTTATTGTAATGGGTACACCTGACACATAACTTACTAAAAAAAGGAATTAATCACTAAGACAGTTTGGTGTGTTCAGCACACAATAGGAAACATGTTTTATCAATAACTAGAACTGGAAGAGTCATATGTCAAGATGACTTGCAAAAATATGGATTCATTCCAAAAAATTGGGAAATTTACCCCATCCTTTAGCAATCAAATAGGTAGCAATTCGAAATGATTTGAATGAATTTAATATTCGATTGAAGTTGATCACATACACAGTAAACAGTTTTAAAAATAACAGTTTTAAAATTTATTAAATTTTATAACATAAAGCATAAGTGGTTCTATTCACACAATGCATAATCCAGTCTTCTACAAACTTTCTTTTTACAATTTTCATTCACAAAATACTTGATTGAACTAAATACAAACCTTAGTAGCCGCTACTTTTTCTACTGATGTTTTTTCTAATGATGTCGCCAAATCCATTGCTTTCCAATTTCTTTCTCGCAAATCCTGACATAAAGACAAAAGTATTTCTAGCATATAAGGGCCATTCCAAGCAAAAGTTGAATTCCATCAATTTTTTAAAAAGTTTAGTGAATTAATTTTTTTTTATTTTTGATATCAAAAGACATTGGAATTTTATTGGACTGCATTCATTTCATCGAACAATTTAAAATTTCACCCAGGTTTTTGATGGTTTTTAAAAAATGGCCTGAAATGTAGAAATTTTGGTATAATTGACATATTATGTGATGATTCCTGACAGTGTTTGATTGTGTGGTACAGTTATTTCATATGGGATTGACGCACTGGATTTAAATTAATAAAGTTTAAATGTTTGCAGTGATGTAGAACATTTCTTCACCCATTTAACGATGTATTACCAGAATTTTAAGAGATGATAGATGCCGCTATTCCGAAGTGGAAAAATGTCCTGTAGTGTCACGTCCTGTAGTGTCACATACAATATGCACATTATTGGCATGGGTTTACAGTGTTACATTAAGTAACTTGAGCAGCACATAGAGGGGTAGTTCAGCTACTGCACCAGAAAATATTATGGGCTCCTACTGTACCATCGCAAAAATTTACAGCACAACACAACGTACTGTTAGTGCATGGTGGATTTGCCGTCCTGTAGTGTCACGCTATATTTTACTATATTTTTTTTATCTACTAAGTAAGGTTGGGTGTAACTTTTGTGCAATTTTTTACATATTCAATAAAGCAACTGATTGGACAATGAAACAAAACATGTAGCTGAAAATGTGAAAATATATTGAATCTAACAACATGCAAAATTTCTGGAATTGTCCCGTAGTGTCACTTGGAATAGCCCATAACAATATCCACAAAACACAAGGCATTAGAATTTCTAGTCATAACAATAGTAGGCAACTGTGTACAAATTTAGTCCCACTATTTATAAGAGAAGGGGTATACATGCCTAATTATTAGGAAGAGAAATACATAAGATCCGAACACAGCACATATAAGTGTTTCTCACATTATTTTTTCTTCGTTAATTTATCAACTTCATCTTTCAATTTTTTGGCTTCATTTTTAGATTTTTCCAGTTCTTTTTGTACTTTGGTCACTTCTTCTTTGTCTTGTACTCTGTTAAATTTATTAATCTATTTTTATAGAATTCATCGGTGGTTGGGGTTACATGAGACTAACTCCATATCCCTCTATGCCTTTGTGCTAGTGAATACCTATGGATATAATGCAATGTAGCAGGAATAAACATGACTATACTATGTAATTCAAGAGTCTTGCCGCAGGCTAACACAACTGTATTTCTGTAAAGTTTACATCAAACTTTTTATCTGAGGAAATCTGACTTTGGTCAGAATGCGTTTGTGTTAGTGTGCAGAACTCAGAAGTCTAATAAATTTTAAAAGTAATCAATATGTAAAATATTTCAACACATTGACACTCAGTTATGCCAAAAGCTAACATTAATTACTTAATATTGTCATAATTTTGACGCCAGCGGTCGTTAGTTCAAACACAAAGTACAAACACATAGTAAAATACCAGCAGGTAATCATTTAATCGAATACTTTTACACAAAACAAAATAAACGAACTCACGTCTGCTTGTCTGCATCAGCTTTGACTTTGGTCTCCTGAATAAACAAAAGTATTAAATGGTTAATATCTGCTTACGTAACAGATTTTCTTATAAAAGGTTTCATGGCATATCTGAAATTGTAATCTTTATATAGTTTAAGCAACGATTCATAAAAAAAAAAAACTTCCAATAAAATATATTTGGAAAAAAAAATTCTCAGATAGGATTGGATTTTCATACTTATCTTGAGCGCGAGGAAATGACATAAAACTGTTTGGTCATAGAAAACACAGTATTTTGTTGGATTACCCCTTTATGTCTGGTTCAGAAATAGTACATCAATTATTTCCGATAGTTGGACTTGATGGTAGAGGAAGACATAACTCACCACTGGTTGGTGAGGATGAATCCCTCTTTGCCATGACAATGGTGTTCCTAATGCTTAGCAGGATGCACCAACCATCTAGCCATATAATATGAGGGATGATCCAAAAAAAGAGAATCCAGGTTATTGGGAACATAACTTTTTTTCAAAGCGTCCTATATAACTGAGATTTTTGGTTACTATCATTGCATACAGGCAGAAGTGTTAAATACCTTTTTTCATTCGCTTCGAGAAGTAATCAAGAAATTTATGAGTACTGTTTATTTGGAATTCTGTAATCCAAATAAAATTTAAATATCTGTCAATAAGCAAATGAATAAACAAATTTCACCTGGGAAATATTGACAATTTGAGAATTTAATTGAGCAATTTGTTGTTCCATATTTTGCACCTGTTCTGAAAGAGTAGAGTTTTGTCTTGTCACATCCTGAAATCATAATATTTCATTTATCAATATTCAGTTTAGATAAATAGTAAATGATTAACAAGAAAAATATACATTATAATAAAACTCAGTCAGATTGTTTCGCCCAGATGGATGCATATCTCAGCCCTCAACTGATCAAAATTTAAGCCCAAGAGCAATTCTCAAATCTTGAGACAAAAAGGTCAAATGTCATATGAAAGTGTTCCCATATACCACATAAAAATGTTCTCATAAATTAAACTGGAACTGCAAAATTTTGGATGGAATATCAGGTTCAATCGCACAAAGCAAATTTGAAGTAACAGTTTTCTAGTGTCTTCAAAAATCTTCTAATATTAAAATTGTGCAGTCCATTAGCTGCAGAGAATAGCGATTTTTTTCCAATAACAACAGCAATTTGGCGAAATGATCCATATATGCACTTTGTTTGCAATAAAGTTAATACTCTATATCTACCTTTATCTTAGAGTCTCTTTCAGCAACTATCTGTTCACTATCAGCGAGTCGTTGTTCGAGTGCCCGCTGTGTATCAGCTTTCGAATCATTGTCTTCAGTTAGCGATGTGATTTGCTCCAAAAGTTTAGTTGAATTACTCTGCAATAAAAATATCCAAATTTCAGTATTTTACTAGAAAAGATTGTAAAAAAAAAGAAATTTGCCTAATTAGATCACAAAAATTCTAATCGTTGTTGAGAATTGAATTTAATATTTATGCATCATTAATAAACTAGAAACATTTTTGGGGTTCCATATAAATTTGAAGTCAAGAAGTCATAACACTAAAAGCGTGTACATACTAATTTTACATACTAATATGCAGAAATTTCTTATAGTTTCTTATAGTATGCTATTCAAAAAATATTCTCTGACAAACAGTTTCAATTACAATTTACAAGAAGTTTGATTTAATGAACATAGACAAAATAATCCCAATAGTAGAATTTCTCAGCTACAAAATTAAATTTTTACAAAAATATCAGTACTCTCACAGATTGAATTTACATATACCACAAATATCTACGGAACCGATACTAATAATGAGATAACAGAAACTACAAAAACAAGCACATATTACAATTTAGGTTTTTTTGAAATAAGAGCAACAAGTTGATATTTCAAAAATTAATTATCAGAAACTGGAGAGCATCGAATATTATAAATTCAATATAGAGTTCATCATATTCTATTCGTATTCAGCATTTTATTAAATATTTAAATTCATCCTTGACAGAAAATATACCGTATTTCCTAGCTATTAAGTCGCTTCTCTGGACCCAATTTTTTGGCCTGATTTAGGGGGGGTGTCTTATTGGGCGACTATTCTTATTTCTTACTTTATTTTTTTTAGGGGTCGGCTTATTTTCCGCTCGAGTCTTCTCGAACACGATTTGTGTAAACTTTATTTCTGAATTGATATATTTTATAGTGTATTTGTATTCACTCCTGCCAATCATGTTAAATAATTGACTTTGGACTGCCAGCTGTTATTTGTCTTATTCTTTATCAGTTTTGCGATTCAGGGAAAAACCACACTGGAAAACACAGCTGTTAACTAACCCATGGACTACAGCGCAGTACTTATCACACCATATTCACAGGTTATTTCAACGTTCCAGTTAATGGGTTGTTAAAAATGATTAAAATTACTTCTTAAGAATAGGTAATTCTGCAGTATGATTCTACCTGATACAAACATGACCTGGTTCTAACCATATAAAATTATGAGTGCATATTGGTGCCCAACTGACAGAGAAGCAATTTTTCTGCCCGTCCTATCGGAGGGTCATATGGAAAAACCCTTTTTTTAGTGCTAAAAATAGGTTTCGTCTTATTTGCTGGGTAGACTTATAAGTTGGGAAATACAGTTTTAGTCCTAACTTGATTCTTCAAACCCAACATTAGTATCGACAATATAACCAAATGTACACCTTGGCTATGACAGTTTGCTCGGTGCCTTGTTAGAGGCAAAACTGTTTGTATACACAGACAGCGATTTGGTAGCATGCATCAATATTATAACTACTTGCTAAATATTCTGGCAACCGTGGGGCTGTAAAATAAATGGGGTTCTGAAAATATCCGCTATACATGCACAGCTGACGATATGAACATAATATAGCCATCCATGATCTAAAATAAGCATATATACTCAACAAAATACCTAAATCTATTCTAAAGTTGATTACCACACCGCACCAAAAATAGCATGCATAGAGAAGATCGAAATAAAATTATTTACCAAAAATACATAAATTAGAATATATCATCCACAGAACCATCCTACCTGAGTCGTCTGTAAATCAGCTTTGACTTTTTGATACTCGCCATCAAGAGTGGTATAACTTTGTTTCAATTGCTGCAGTGCTATGACTTGGTCGTTCACTTGGTGGCGATAATTTTTTTCATTCTCAACCTAGTGGCACCATTAGGAAAATCGAGAAATCACCCAAGAGCAGATTTTTGATAATTATAGTTGTACAAGCATGCAAGTAATTTATAGTGATATTATTTTACTCTGTGCTGAGTAAGTGGATAATTGGAGTTTAAATTCCATATCCGAATAAAGCGGTAGACTTAACTAACTGTTGTATCGCAGGTAACACCTCGAGTTCAAATCCCATACCCACTACCTCACCCGGTATGTAATAAATTGGGTAGGAAATGCCAGACCAGAAAGACTATGGTCCTTACCAAAATAATAGCTCTATACATATCGTTAGATATAGAGGGATGCTTGCACATGGCCTGGTTCAGAGCGATAGCTACGGAAAGAGCATCGTATAAAAAAATTGTGAGAAACAGACCCCAAAAAAAGAAAATTATTTATTGATATCACCAAAAACATGTTTTATTAAAACTAAAATGCTTTACAATACTATTAACTTTAAACTACTATGAATCACCAGACACTTCATAGACACAAAGAAAAGTAACTAAAGATCAGCCACCTGTATCTATCTACCATTACAATTTTTTTTTTCAAAATTTAGTGAATTTATAAAAAAAACTATCATTACAATTGGAAGGATATACTACATCACCTTCCATGCAAACTAACCTACCGACTGATAACACATTCATCAAAATGCATCTACCAGAAAAAATTGATCAAGCATGGACTGTTTACAATCACACTCTGCTGATCACAGGCTCATACATGCTCCAAATATAAACTCTCATTTCCTCCATCTCTCAATACAGAATCTATATATATATATATATTACCTGTTGCTGCTGTATGGAACTGTATTCTTTCAATTTCGATTCTAGCTCAGCACATCTATGTTGAGTTTCTTGGAGTTTATGTTTAACTTGCTTCAAATCACCAGCAAGTCTTCCATTCTCAGAAACACTACGGATAAAAAGGATAGAAACAAAGCTTAGAAAATGATTAGGTGAAAATAGTAGAGCAGTTATTTTTTTAGAATCTACCATAATGAGAAGACTAAAACAGTTCAAATGGAATAGCATCGGAGGTTCACATCCCATGCCCACCACCTCAACAAGAGTGTAATAAATTGAGTAGGCCTTCCGAAATATCAGCGGCCGCTTGTGCATAGCCATGTTCATAGCCAAAGACGTATAAGTGGTACATGACAAAAATTTATTCATTAGTGAAATTCATAAATATTTTTTGCATATGACAAAAAGTTGAGACTAAAATTAGTATACTTAAAAATAAAATATTAATAGTGTAAATAAAAATTTGTAAAGTAAGCACTTTAGCAAAATAATTTTGACAGAGTATGATGAAGGCTAATCTTCCAAGTGTTATAGTTTAACCAAAACACAAAATAGAATACGTACACTGATGCATGTTTCTGAATTTCAGTCATCAAAATATTTTTCTCTGCTTTCAATTTTTCAGCAACACCTCTCATCTCATCATAATCACCAGCCAATGCAATCTTGTCCTGTTAAACATATTTTTAAATTAAGAATTGAAGAGTTAAATCACATATATTTCATTAACAGTATTTTATTAGTTAACAACTAATAACAATAACAAAGAAAATTCTGAAGCTTAATAACAAATTCAGTCCTGTAAGGAAATCCCTTGATCATGAATTTTATAATTACTTACACAAAAATAAAAATAAATTATCTAGCACTTGAACTCCTCTGTTTGTTTATGATTGTACCCAAAAGTTTCATTAATCTAGGATGCTTTGCACAGGAGTTGTGTGCTCTCTAGAATATGTTCCAAATGACCTGGCTTCTGTTTTTCAGTTTACCCTGTTTTACACAATATAATTACATATTAAAATTTAGGACAATCTTGTTCTTGTAATTTAAATATTTTCTTCGTATAAGTTTGCCATACTAACCTGCACTTGTTTCATTTCATTCGAGTGACGAGCATGCGACATCGCTTGTTCTTGTTTATGTTTGTTATCGGAATCCTGTTTTGCCTTTTCTAGTGAAGACAATTTGGTCTTTTCCACCATCAAATCCTGAAGCAAAATAAGTAAATACGTAAAATATATTGAGACAAAGATCACAATATGCTAGTAGGTCGGTTTTATATAGCTGTTGCTGTCACCAAAGAAAATCACTGCCAATTGGGAATAAACAACACCAAATCGAGAGTCTGCATGTACTGTGCAAGGGACAGATTATAACAAAGCCATTTTCGCAAGATGAAAAAAACAGGAAAGAATTCAGAAAAAAATTCAAAAATATTACTCAAAGTTGAAAATTCAGAAAAAAAAAATTTTATTCAGAGAAGTGGTGTATTATCCTATTATTTTGGTAGACCGAAACCATAAAAAAAGATTCTAAAAGCTTGTACAACTCTTGTGCAATTGATTTATGGTTATATTTATTAAAATACACCAATCAAAAAATGTGAAACAAGAATTTGACGAAGAACACATGAAGGTTTTTCACAGAAAACCAGTCTTATCATATGACTATACTATACATGACGTTGTGTATTTGATTATATTTGAACAATATATCTATATATTAAATAATTTAGCCTCTCAGATTTGAATGTAAACTTGCGGGCTATACTTGTGCAACCTGGCTAAAAACCAATGGTTTACATCAGGGCTTGCAATTGAGGGTTGCAAGTCATTGGCGGGCCGCACATATTTTTAGAAAGTTGGAAACCGAACAGATGATACTTTTTTTAAGTAGTGATACATCTCTCGAATAGAATCTAGGTTAATTTCCTCATTGCATTACATCTCAAAAAATTCCATTTGAATATTTTCAGCGTCATTGAACCCTTTACAGTTTACACTTAGCATCAACTTCTCTGTGTTTTGTTGCCATTTGTCTAATTACTATTAAATTATAGGCTCATTAAACGAGTTATTGTGAATAATATACTTGTTAGGTTTTAATATAATTTTGTTTACACGTGTCTTACAATAAATTATGTTATTACGTAAAGAATATAATCGTCAAAACAGCTGTTTTGTTACTATAATTCATTGAAACGTCGCGGGCCGGATTATATTACTCCGCGGGCCGTATCCGACACCCGGGCCGTAGGTTGCCGACCCCTGGTTTAGAGGTTTACTTGTAGGGTAATTCAGTCAGGAAATTCAGAATTCACACACACTAAACATGAGATTATGATTTCTATATGCATTATAGAATGATATTTCAAAGCAGAGGAGTATCCTGAATATAGGCACTCATGGATAGATGAAATTGTCAGCTATTTGGGCATGAGTTTCAATTAAACATATATAGGATATTATTAAATATTTAGATTGACTATTGATAGAAATACAAAATAAACAAATTTGAGTCATTTTTCTATCACTAATGACACGTAAAAATAATCACCGGTACTTGTATCGGAACTGTTTCATATAGAACATAATTCAATTACATTGATTCATGAAAGCAAACATCCCATATCAACATGACTAATGGAAAATTATTGGTAAAAGCGTGACGCTCAACAAAAAATGCACAAAGTCAATTCAAGTCACTGACTGACACGTGAAGCACCCCCAGGCAGTTTTACATCCTAGAGATTGTTCAAGTATTTAAAATACTTCTAATTAAGTAGATTTAAACTAGAATAAACTCCCTAGAAAGGCGGTGTTTATTTCTACGACCTCCTCGTCTAATAAAACTGCCCTGAGGATATTCGTGTGATTAGTCTCATTACAAAAATGATAAATAGAAGCGGCAGATTTTAGTGGTAACTCTACATTTACTAGTACAAAATCAATTTTATTATATGGAAAAGGCAATGCATAAAGGTAACATACAATAACTAAGCCATAATGGCATTCTATGCAACTTTTAGATACACAATTCTGTTAGTGTCGGAAAACACATAAGTTCAAATCTGAAAATTTTTACAGAAATTTCAAAATACCGAAACAATATATTTCAAGAAGTATTCGATAAAACTAATATTGAATGCGGTCCTAGAAATCCACTTGTCATTATTAATATTGATATTCATGATTAGAATTTAGAAATGTTATTTTTACTGTTACGTAATTATTTAATTATGCCTCATTGATATAGTTTACTCCAGTATATCTATTGTAGAAGCGCCAGCCTTAGAATAGTTGGATCAAGTACCGTATATATAACTGTGTAATGTATATTTAAGTATATAATCGTGTTAACTCTCCATCTTTTATAAAGTACTGACCTGTTTCAGTTGTTCTATTTTATTCTCAGCAGACATGCATCGAGAAACATATTGTTGTAAACCACCTTCACTTTGTGAAAGCTGTTTGTTGGCTTTATCCAGTTGTTGTTGCAAATCTTTAATCTGTAATTATACAAATGGAATTTACAAAACTATTAAACAAACTGAATCATATCTTATTTTAGAATTGTTGTATTAAGAATACAACAAGCAGGTATGTCTGGATTGAATTGAATATTCGAAGCATTGAAAATTCATTATATTCGATATAGTGAATTCCCTGAATTTTAGAATAATTTAGAACATTCCCATCAAAAGATGAGGGATTTTATGCTGTCAGACAAGCGGATTTAAGCAAGCCATATCTCAACTGGAAACAAACAACACAGAGAAAACAATGCAAATATATTCATGTCGTTTTATATGAGATCAACATAAAGATGAGTGATTTATGTGATTTTCCACATGAACGTGCCTAAATTCAGAATGTATTCGATAGTTCATATTCTCAGCATATATTCGGAAATCAGAATACTGAAACATTTGCATGCCAGCTGATTTGGCCCAGCTGGCAAATATTCTCGTCCCAACAGAAAGAATTACAGTCATCACACATTTATCAGTAATAAATTATTTTCTTTTTTTATAAATCTTGTTGGAATTATATTTCTTGAGAATATTTTTTATTGCAACACCTGACTGGCATTGAGCCAGGGCCAAAAATATACCAGTTTTAACAGACAAATTACGAATACAGTTTATCAGTTAAGAATCAATTCATTTTTTTAATAAGTATTAGTGTTTTAATAAATCTTGAGAACATTTTTTATTGAAATGGCAGGCTGTCGTAAGTCGGATGTCACCAAAATTTGGTACAAATTCACAAAGTAAATACTACAGAATCAGAAGCTGTATATCATCTGCTTCAAACTATTTTGATTGGTCCATTAACATAAAGTAATAAAAAAATAACAGTGATACTCCAGTATCGAAAGCATGGGAGGTACTTCAAACAAGTCAATTGATTATGTTGCAATCAGTACCTCCTAGTTTAGTATGGAGAATATGTGATAATTTGTATATTGTTATTTATGTGAGCATATCCATAATAATATTATTCAGTTCTATACTACCAACTATTATATATTTGAGCGTTACAGGACAAAAAAGTGAATGTGTAAATTTTGAATATTTCATTTGAAAAATTACAAAGAGAGCTAATCAATGTTGAAAGTGATATTCCACAAAGTATTTAAGTAAAAAGCGATAAAAATCAAAAACAAACGTTTCCTTATTTTATCAAAACATTTTATCAAACAAGTTTTTAACCCTTGGGTTAGCCCTTGTATTATCTTATGGTAATTGTCAAAAAGTAGAAATGGTATTACCTTGCTTCCACCTCCGACATCAATTCCATATTTCTGCTTAATCATAGTAATAATATTCTTAACATCACGTTCACCAAGATTGGCTTCCCTCAGTTGGATGACAATTTCACTTTCAACTGTTTTTAAATAAATAAATGTTAATTAACAATATTAATTATCCCTATGAACAACAATTCATTTCAAGAATCTGAAAAAAGTGATTTGGGTTAGTTTACCAAACTAATATTGCCATGTCTAGTGGGGGATATGGAACCCCAAAATATCACACAGCCCCTTATCGAGGCAGATCTACGGACTATTTTAATAATTTGTTGCTGCTTTTTTGGTTGTAGAAAATATATTCTTTTTCCTGCAAATAATAGACAATCAATTTCAATTTCCCGTATTTGAAGATGAAAGCAGTTACTAGAAGGGCATTCTATTTCATTTCAATTTTTAAAACTGCATGAAGCCCAAATGTTGATTTTTTTCATATGCACTGGCTTACCATAATTATGATATCAGGTACAGTCTAATTTTATCAATATTGCAACGGGTGCAATATGGATTTCAACTCTGTAATTTTGATTACAGATCTCTTGTTAAATTGAAACCAAAAAGTAGTCGGGCTACAAATTTATTTAGCTATTGCGATGGAATAATCATACCTTCAGGTTCCACAGGTTTCTTTTTCTTCTTCTTACTTTTCTCTTGTTCATTTTCATTCTTCTGTTTATCCTGTACTTCATCACTGAATGATACCTTGAAGAAAACAAAAGTGTTAGAAAAAATTAAAATCAAATTTACAAAACAACTGGTAAATTATCAAAGTTTTGTTCTGCATGATAGTTTAATTGTATCGGTCAGCCTATGTGACTCAAGTGATGGCCAGCTTACAATGTCACTCTTAAGTGATGGTCAGCCTATGTCACTCTATGTGCTGTCAACTGATGCCAGCTTATGTGGCCCAAGTGATGGCCAGCCTAATTGTCTCAAATGGTGTGACAGCAATGTGACAATTTGCAGTCAATTCATGTGGCCCAAGTAGTTAGTCTATGAGACTAATCTGAGTCACATTAAACACTACTTAATAAGGTAATTATAACAAATAACGGAGAGAAAGCTATAATGCAAACCATAACCAATTATTGACAGGTTTTTGTTCATTGACATCATATTTTGTTCATAATGTCAGGTCTTAATAAATACAATGTGTCAATAATATCATTTGCTTATGATTTATCAGAATAGGCAACAATCCACTAAATTCAGGTCGGGTGTATATTTAATCCTTTAATTAGTAGAATAAGAATAAATATTGCAGACTAACAAGTGCCCAATTTAGATCATTAGTGGAACAATTATCAATCATTATTAATAACCAAATGAAGCTTAGCACTTCAGCCACTTATGTCCATTTACATAATCTGAAGAGCATCTGTTAGGTATAATATATGAAAAACAAACAATGCATGCTAACAAGTGTTATTAATATAGAAAGAATCTATTCAAGTATAGCATACTGTAGAATTGTATCACTTTGGCACGGGCCACACATACCCCATTTTTTTGTGGATGTGACATATTGTACGAATATACATTAGGCATTACGTTATCTATTCTAAATAGCAATGTCTATAATGATAGTTGAGTAATAATTGTTGTCATAAATGCTTACGCATAATTGATAAAACCTACCATATTATTCAGAAGATATGGTTAGGTGTGTGTACAGTTTTGCATTTAAAACAAATTGTATGTTCAACTAAAATATCATTTTTTTTTATTTGATACTCACAAACTAAAAGAGAACACTTGGAGGTACATGGCTACATTCTATATAAAAATTGCTAGAATGGAACATTTATTCTGTGAATTTAGGGAATTTAAATTTGCATTTATAAAGCTATATCATTTATATCCAAAGTAAGATTCATTTACCAAAAATACAAGTGAGCTGAATTACAATATTAACGAGGAAATGTAACAAATTTTACCATGTTTGATATTTTCAATCCAAACAAAACAATATTACCAAACTGCCATAAATTTTGAGCGAATATCAATCTTTGCTTAAGGACGGTATACTGAATCCAATATTGATTAATTATTTAGCCACAAGAAACGTGAGAAAATGATTTCTAAGAATAACGAAAGGAAGTCTGTTTCCTATGTAAAATAAGGATGACATAATTCTTACTCATTCACAAACTTTTTATATTAAATAGCCCATCCATGATATGTGTATTATAGGATTGAATGATTGACAATCTTGTTCGCTAAGATTTAAATATTATGTAATATATAATTTTATATAAAATTTTTATTCGCATTGGCACAATATAATAAATTTTTGCAAATTCCCTTAAATCTTGTATGTTGGTCATTGTTGTAAACTGCTTGTCTGAAAAAGTACGACTTTGGTTGAATGGAACATTACAGAAGTAAATTCGTGTTTATGTTCAGCAGGTCTCTCAAATTTCATAGAATAATCATGTTTATTCCTGCTACAGCATCCTTATATTTTTTGCATACGGATCGAGAGTCAGTCTTGTGTAACTCCCAACTCAATAGTGGAATTTTCTGATATTGTATCACAGTATTAAATAATATCCCAATTTCTACAATGAGGGTTTTCAATCTATATCAAAGTATTACTGTATAAAAATTCTTAGCATCGAAAGAGTTGGACACCACATAAATAAGAATTGGAAAAATAAAATCAAATTAACTCACAGTGCGAGTACGTCCAGCTTCTTTCTTCTTCTGTGGTTCAGCTTTTACTTCAGTAGCAGCAGTTTGTTTGACCTCCGTTTCCTTCTTAGGTTTCTCAGGTGCAGGTTTCAGAATCGGGTTGGACTGTTTGGGGCTGTCCTGTTTAGGCTGGGGTGCCGGAGTCTCCTGCTTCTTAGATTTTCCCTTATTCTTCTTTTGTTCCAATGGAGCAGGTTCACCACTTCCGGTCTCAACTTGAGGGGTTTCCTTGATCTGTACTTCATGCATTGGGGACACACTACTGTCAATTTTTTCCACCTTGCCATTTCCAACAGGAGCTGAAATTGAAAATGAAAACTTTTACCTTATCATATTATAGAAAAATAGCATTTTGTGAAAATTTCAAAGCAAATTTAGATGGCTTTATATTCAATTCTAGCCAAGATCAAAACAAAAGTCGTACTGAAAATACATACTTTTCTTTTTCTTTTCATTGAACTTTTTCTTGTATTGTTCACGTTTCTGTTTGTTATGCATTGATCTCTCTCTGTCTTCCTTTTCTTTCTTTTTCCTCTGTTCCTCAAGAACATCTTCAAAACGAGTCTCTTTCATGCTAAAATGCAAGAAAAATGGGATAAAATATAATCTAATACATTGAAGCTTAAAATACTACAAGAAGTAAAAAATACAAGAAATGATATACTGAATGGCAAAGGATTATCATACCATAACTACATAAAAATCACTTACAAATATTCTTACACAACTATTGGTCGATGATAGTGTACAAACAAACACTATGAGTGAGCCATATTTAACCCTTTTTTTCCGCTGTATACAATCGACTTTATGTACCATTTTATAATATGTAATGACCAGTTAACCAAACGTACAAGGAACACCCCCAATATCTCTTTAAAAAGCTTATTTTCGCGTCTTCCTACTAAAACGCGCCCAAATGACGTATGCGAAACCGTTCGACCCTACGCGTGTAAGAAGAGAGAAATTTCAAAAAATTTTGAGAGAACGTTTCACACTCTTATCGCTTCGATGAACACGTGTTACAAAGAAACGAAATTCCAAGCGCTCTTCTGAAAGAGAGTTACGTCACCTTTGAAGAAAAACCAGACTCAGCTTCGCAAGCGAAGCGAAACGCGAAATAATCAATGATATGTGAGAGCATGTCCACGATAGTTGTCTGGAATCTTTGTTTGTTTATTATGTGCGCGAAATTGTTTCCCGCTCGTTCAAATGGCTTATTTTTGAAGTAATGACAAATACTTTCGTGTATCTCTAAGCTTTGAAATACCTACACAAATAAAATTCACTTAGTAGTAAAATAAAAAATTTACAAAAAAACAAAATGTTGACAGATCAAGCACGGATCATAGTTGGATGCTCAAAATGATTTAGTTAGTGCGGAATACTTCACAAAACATGAACATAAACGTAAAATAGTCCGAAAATAACTATTATGACCAAGGATGGTAGTACGAATATATATGCTATACGGAACAAAAGAGTTAATAAAAAGAAAAGTCTGTTTCATAGCAAAAATCATTAGATATCAGTGGTACTTGTGAAGTGTTTGGAGAGAAAGATGTGAACAATTGCTATTATACGAACAAAATTTCATGAAAATTCTAATTTGCACATACCTGAATAAAGACACCAAATACATGACAACAGCACCAATAACCACAACTGCTGCAAACGCAAGCAGTGAAGCAGAATTTGATTCCATTCCAAACATTATGTTGTTGTTCGTCAACAATTGGATCAGATCTGACCAAATTTGTCAGATACCAGGATACAGTGAATTCACTGATAATAACCAATATAGATTGATTGGAAGGCTACGGTATAATATTATCTCCGGATCCACCTGTAATATTTGTAAAATAAAGAAGTGTTATTGCTGAAGTCAGAAAGTATTGAATATATGATTGTCAAGTAACATTTTGAAATTCCTGAATTCATAAAAATTTTGTAGTAGACTTTTGTCACATTAGCTATTCGCTACATACAAACATAACAAATACAGAAATATGTATTTCATGTATTTAGGCAATTCAGCAATTTAAATATTGTATGTTTGTTATATACCAGTATACCAATGACTGCAGGACTGAATGACCTGAATGCATGCAAAAACTCAAAAAAATTCCTCCCCATCACCAAAAAAAAGATTAACCTATTCATAAAATGTTTTCTCCTTTGAGAATTTGTTTATTTATAATCATCTTTCCCGAACAATAAATCTGAACTATCTGACTATATACAGATACAATAATTAATAATTGATAAAAACAAATAAATAAAAACAGAGAAAATCCAGGAATCAGTCAGTCAAAATTTTATTTGTATCTGTATGTCTGTGTACAGGCAGACAGGTGTATTATGTTAGATGCATTGCATCCTACTCCTACACCCTGACTCTGACACCCTACTTCTGTACTTTCACAATCTTAATCCACAACGTTGTCATGTACAGTATACATTCAGACATTACACCAGTGGTTCCCAAACTTTTTAGAGTTGCGGCCCACTGTTTATTATCACAGCTTATGGCGACCCATTTAAATTTATTATAACGTAACACAGAACACAGCAATGGCTAATCATCGTAAAACTACCGTGTTTCCTCGAAAATAAGACCTGGCCTGAAAATAAGACCTAATTCGAATTTTAAAAATGATTTTAATTAAACCCTTCCCTTAAAATAAAATTAAAATGTGTGGGAGAGGAATAGTTAAATGACCTGAGGTAAGGTGAAGATCGCACCACTATTCAAGTTTGTGTGATATCACAATTATGATATTTGTCACTTGATTTTTGGATAGGAAATACAAATAAAAACAATGGATGTCGGTTTTTATATAATGTTCATTAAAAAATCTCGTGATTTTCTACAATGTAATTTTATTTTTGATAAATGAATTCAAAAGACCTCTTCCAAAAAAAAACCATAGTGTCATTCTTCAAAAGAAAATAAATCTAAATCCTGACTAAATTTCGAAGAAACACGGTAAGAAGTGCTGTACAGTGTACAAAACTGCTATGCGAGTAAAAGCCACATTTTTTAGCAGCAAATTTTTGTTCATTGAGAAGATCGTAAAGAGGGAAGCTTTGCCAGATTAGAATTTAAATTCAATTTAATTTGTTTTTTTGAAGATTTACGTATTCGAGTCGCCACCGATCCTAATAACCAGTATAATTAGTCAAAGCTTTCTACATCTTTTCCTGACCCACTAAGATTCCTTTTGCAACCCACCAGTGGGTCGCGACCCATAGTTTGGGAACCGCTGCATTACACTATTCCCACACACAAGCAGACATGAAACAAATGCGCTAGCTTAATTCTGCGGTGTCTTAATTTCAACTCATTCTGTCATTGCACTGCAAACAGCAGAACAGCGTTATCATTACAGCATTAACTTAATTTCCATATCCATGCAATGCTCAACTGCAGCATCAGTAAACCTAAAATTATTTTCATAAAGGTGCTAACATAACAATAACATAATTCGGAATTGAATAAGAACATTGACACGGAAAAACCCGGGCATCCTGACTTCGACATACCAGCAGATGAGATCGACAATCGAGACTGAAATCCCGAATCGAAGAGTAAATGCGTAACACGTCACACATTTTGCGTACATAATTGGTGCCGGCGGGTCACGCAGGGTAATATGCCATGTCGACAAGCGTGAGAGTCCCGGATGTGCCCGGGGATTCCCGTATAACTTTGAGAAGTTGCTCTATTTTTTTTTTCAATTTAGCGATTTGATTTTAGAATGAGCTAATTGTTAGGTAATTAAAAGACAAAACTGTGGTTATTGAATCTAGGAAATGTCACAACTGACTATAATTTGAGTAAGACGGTGAGGATTGTTGACCTGGAATGTTTCAAATCGAACATCTTTTCGCAAGGACCCATAAATATTTATAGATCGTAGCACGTCATCGGTCGCTTGCAACTTTTGTAATAATACTTTTTTCATCTCAAGTATGCCTTCACCTTAGTAGCCTTTGTTGTTTCTTAATATTATTTTTCGTTTTTCAGGTCGTGTCGTGATGAAATTCGTCAAATCTATTTAACCGTAAATTTAACAGATAGCTTATTCAACAATAATGGTGAATCATCTCTGATAAATTTAAACTGACCCCTGTCATCGACCTGAATTATATTTCTATGCCCATGGCTATAGTTGGTAAAATCTTTCTTGAACCGTTCCATATAGTCATAGTCAAGTTTATTTTTTTCCATCCAGTAAAAAAAGTTAATATATATTCCCATAACAGGCATAACCTATTCTCCTACCTCAGTATCATACTGCCTTAATTATTTTTAATTACTTATACTGATTGATAATACTGTATTTGATATAATCTGATCTCTAATTTAGATCATTTTGACTTTAATTTGGTGAGTGAAGCGGACTAGCCCACCTTTTCATGCATCCAATTTAGCAACTTCTAACTGATCAATTCCGCAGAAGGAGACTCCAACTATAATTAGTTTGGCTATAGCTTCTATTATATATATTTTTCCATATTGTCAACTAATTCGGTATCCAATTTGGCAATCGTTACAAAATTATTAATATGCTATGGAAATTGTTTTCTTATTTGTTTGTATATTTTTCTTTTTTGCTAAGTAATACATTTTATGTTTATCTTTCTTTTTGTCTTCTAATTTCATTATGCCTCCGTGATTGTATACATGTATGCGTGCGTGTGCGTGTTTTAATTCATTAATTACTTTTGAGTAAGCGAACACGTACCATTTGACAACACCCATCATTCCAAAATCTGTATGTATTGAACCTTAATCAAGATTTTCCATCCACACTCGCAAATACTCGTAAATGTAGATAGACAGAATCCTCTGCGGAGGGGCTGGGGATTTAGACTAATTTTCCAGCCTCGATCTCGGGATTCATTTTAATAAAATTCGGGATTTCAATAAGGATTTAAATAAGCACCCCATAACCGTAAGTTTTTTATACAAAGCATGCATTTGGCCATATTTTAAACTCAATTAAAGGTTTCTTCAATTTTAATGCGCTGTGTACATAGATACAGAAATAATTCACGTCTTTACACCACATGCCAAAAAAGAGCATCGGCGTTCACTTAGGGTAATTTTTCTATGAAAATGAGGGTAATTCCTCCATAATTTGTTGTATTATTTAAAAAACCCGATCACGAATATATTTTTATTTTATTTATTAATCAATTGATGTTTATGTCCATAAGACAATCAAACTATTGTACTGTTTCATTGGGATTCCGCTCCGCCAAAAAGGTCGAAAACCACAGCCTTAGAGTGCGAGCATGTCCTTTCCACCTGAATCAGTACAATATTTATTTAGTCAAATACAATATTCCTTCACATTGATCGAAGCACCCGGGAGCTTATATGGGGGTTAAGATTACGAGAAATTGATTTCTGCTTTGCAGAAAACTAAAGATTTTTTTAAGACGTAATTTCAAGTTCAATAAATTTAAAAATCAGATTATAACTCTCATTAGAAAGCATTGTCATGTTGTTCTACAAATTGGTTCGTTATATTATTTAAGTGGAGTAAAGGATCTTTGTTTATCTATAAGAGGTGTCGGCCGGGAACCTCGACCAGCAAGCCGCATCCGGCGGGCGTATATTTTAAATTTGTAACTAAATTTTTTTTTATAAAACTTGTTCGTCGTGTATAATATCTGCTATTTCGTTTTGGAATGTCTTCGATTGTGTGAGTGTCAATAGTGTTTTATTTCATTAAATTCGACGGGTTTCGGTCAATACATGCATCAAATATGCGATATTATATGTCCTAAATGAGACTAATACGACGGCTGTGCTCAGAGAAATTAAAAACTCGCGACATAGCAGTTGGAGGTCCGTGTCATTCTCACCTGTGTGCGGCAATCCAAACTGCGCTAGTCACTCGCTGCATACCCGTAAACAATAATTTCCCGTATGGGCTTTGCCTAAATACACATAATTTTTTTATGTGTACTCCTTCCCCGATAGTAGCAATGTCTCTGCATGCATGGAATCTTTATTATCAATGAAGTTTAAGTTTATATTGCCTCGATAATCAGCATTACAGACGATAAAATAATTGATGAAATCAAAATAAATAAAAAATGATTACAGAATAAGCAGAGGGCACAAAACTTTAAGTAAGGTTTAAAACGTACAGATTTCAGTTTGAAAAGTGTTGTCAAAAGAATTGGTAAGTGTTCGCTCACCCAAAAGTATTAGGTTAATCAAAACACGCACGCACACGTACAATCACGCAGACGAAATAAAGTTCGAGGGAGAAAAAAAAGAGAAATGTAAGATATACTCAGTAAAAAATATATACAAACAAAATGAAAAACAGAATAATAAATTTTGCCCACTTCTCCGGTTGGAGGTATTTTTGACAAGTATGTCGTCACAGAAGTTTGGTAGCGCATTATGTTAAAAGTCAAAAGTTGATGATAATACTTCAAATTTTATCATATCTTCAACTTAATTTGAGTATATTTAGCGATTTGAAGTAATGGTCTACGTTTTCACGCCTTCTTTTCCCAAGAACCAATTCTCAAAAAAGTATTACAAATACTTTGCAATTTCGAGACGAGTTGTTCTCATGTAGCCATACTGAGCAACAGTATCAGATGTGGCTGAGTAATATTGACTGAAACATTACTAGAGAATATGATTGATTAACATAATGAGGTTCGGAACTGTTGTACTGCAGTGTAAAGTGCAACGTTATTCCCTATAAATTCTCCATTCTTTGTTTCTAGGGAAGTGGGTATGTGAAAATGGAATGTAAAGTAGCCAACAATCGCATGGCTAATTCTCTTTTTCAAGAAGTGCGTATGGGCGTCGGAAGAACACTCAGAACTTAATTTCACTGTGAAGCAGTTTCTCAACCCTTTTCTTCTCATGGACTACTTTTTGTCTGCCTTTATTACACCAACTGCAGTAAATTATAATATTGAAGGTAATGGGTTTCACTAAAACCAAAAATGACCCTTACATTTGCTTAATCATCGAGTTATCAGAAAATTGAGCGAAGATTTGATTCCATCAACACCTTGGTGTTTTACGTGTTTTGACTTGTACTGCTCAATGCCGCGCGTGCTGGTCGGGTATGCTTCACTTCACTCCGTCATTCAAGTCTGAAACAATTATTTGGCTAACTATTACCATACCCAACTCAGGCTGGCAATCAGAAAATAGGCGTAATTCACCCTCCCATTGAAACCTTTACCTTATTTAGCACGATGTTCAAACCGACAACATAAAAAAGGCCAAACTAATTTGCTGGTGATTAAATAAAGTAACCATAGTTAACTTAATATAGTTCGCTCACGCTGTTTTCGTCTTTGTTTATTTATGTTACACAGTTCTCTCGTTACGCATGAGTGATGCGTCATGGTATTCGCTCAACGCGGTATTGTGGCGCGTGTAGTCCTCAGCTATCTGGCTGTAACCGATGTTTGATGGGGATGTAGGTTATCGGACTGATATGATATCGTTATATATTGTTTGAATGTCTTGTGCTTTTGACAGAAATCGATTGCTTCTGCGAGCAAAACTTATAAAATAATACATCTTGAGACAAATTAATTTCTGTTACCAAATTTTAATTTTCAGTCATCATCGTTATACTACATACTACGTGTGCCAACTATTTTAAATCATCTTCGACTGAATAACCGCCCGACACTCAACGATAGGAACGGTTTTATCAGCAACTCGAAATCCAAGATATATGTATTTTATTGGCAGCGCAAAATAAATGTGACAAAACGCATTGTTTTGCGTTATAACTTCGTATTTTCGGAAACTGGGTGTGGTGAAAGGTAAAATTTTATCTAAATTAATTGCAAATAATGTTTTATCGTCCAACGTCGGGTACTTTTCCGGGAGAACTCGAAAAGTCATTCAATCTAAAATAAAGAATGTTTCACTATTCCAAAAAATTAAGATTGTTGCTACTGGAAAATCGGCTGTAAGGTGGCAATCGGCACCAATAAAAAAATGGTGCAATAACGCCGTCTTCGCTTTCTGAATAGTCAAGCTGAGATTACGGTGTTTGATGTCTGCCGCAAAATCTATTGAGGGCTCTTTGGGAGAAAACACAAGTGTAATCACACGAGACCGAGATTTCGTTGCGAGCCAATAACACTCTAGGTGGCAGATGCCACGACCCCCTACTTTATCCTAATGCCTCAATATATATTTTCATTTATTTCAACCAACAAAACCATTCCAAATACGCAAATAAATTCGAATGGGAATCCTCTTCCGTAAGCTTCAAAAAGAATCAAAATATAGCAAACTGATGACGTAGAAACGCATCACTCATGCGTAGCGAACCGGCCGCGAGTGAATCATATTCAATAGACCAGGGCTTCCCAAACTAGGGGCCGCGGCCCTGGACGGGGCCGCGAAACGAATTCTAGGGGCCGCGAAGAGAACATCAATTTTACACAGTATATATTGTACCATATATATTGTATTTTTTCTGACTCTTGATTCGAAATACAATTATTATATAAATAGTGTAAAACAAAGATTTCACGATTCCGAATGATGACATCATCATAATACTGTGTTTCCCGAAAATAAGACACTGTCTTCAATTTTCTTTCGAAAATAACACTAGGGCTTATTTTGGGATAGAGAAAGTGAGACTTTTTATTATACAAAAATATGAATACCGATTTCCGTTTACTTATAAATAGCACGTTTTTATTTAAAATAACTGCTACATATAGACTATTAACCATTTGAAAAAGTAGAAAATATTTCTTGCTATCGACTGGGACGCAGTGGTTCTCGAACTTCATCGTATTTATTGTGACGCCCTTCAAAAATATGCTCAAGTTGCAACCCGTGAAAATACGTATTGATACTGTTTAATAAAAGACCTTTTTCGCAATGAGTTTCATATAAACGAACAAACAAAACTTAACGACATTCAGTGAAATCGCAATTAATGGGCCTTGGTAGAAAACCCTGCTTTATATAAATACGAAATCGCAAAGAAGATGGGAGTGCGCAACGTTTTTTGAACCAATGACAAATAATCTTTATCTATCGAATTTCCAGAATTAAACTTTCTTATTATTGCAACATCACAGGTAAGATCGATTTAATCTTTCTTTTTTCCAGTGAAACTAGAAGATATGGGTTGTTTGAAAGGTTCAAGAATCACGAAATTTTGCGACGTCCTAGCAAAATTGAAACGACGCACCTCCACGGGATTGAGTCCAAAAAAAAGTTGCGCTATCGACTAAGTCTTTTTTAAAGGAGAGCGCTAATATTGAAATCCTTTTTAAAATTCAGGCTTGGTCTTATCTTCGGGGAAACACGGTGAATGATCGCGCTTGCATAACAATGCATATTCTGATCGTGAAACCCGATTTGCGGTTTGCATAACAATGACGGATTTAATCGTAAAGCTAGCGCTTTCCGAGAACGATTTGCTAAGTGCGCCTCGAAACATATTACACATCATATTTATTCTAAATGTTTTATTGTTTCAAATGACGTGTTTATGAATCAAAGTCATTTTGCCGTTCTATGTGTTTACTTTCTTTAGATAGGGTTTATTGTTACGTATATATAAGAGATAAACCCTACATGCTGCAATTTCGTATAGGGTTTCGTTTAGCAGTTTATTCATTTGCTGAACCGAGTTCATCGAACTTGAGTAATTTCTTTAGCATTTTAAAGAAAAATTAAACAGAGATAAAAAAAAAAAGAGAAACGTTGAATTTTTGCCTTTATTCCTCGGTCATACATGATTAAAAACCTCAAAAGACATTTAGTACATATTAACAATGACAAAATTGTGTTTTGTTTCGAGGCAGTATATTTTAGGTGCGCCATGAGTTTTTTCCCTGATAATTTGGCGTCGCACAAAATGCTGCCTTATGCTAAGTTTGATTAACAAGAGTGAACAATTCGAGATAAGGACCATGCCGTCTGTAGCCAGACATCGTAATTCATCATTTAGGCATGTATAAACATACATTGAGCCTTGCTACGCAGCAAAAAGCATTCGTACCCATTACACTGAATAATTGAGAAACGTTAATCTGCATAAATATGTGCTTGTTTTTGTTATTGAGTAGACATGTTAAAGTTGAGAATTAGCTGTGCCAATAAAACATCAAAAATGCATAATTCGAACTGTTTGGCATTATTTAACGTGGACAAGGGCCGCGAAGAATTTTAATATATTAAAAAGGGCCGCGAGCTCAAAAGTTTGGGAAGCCCTGCAATAGACATTGAATGTAACGGACCTTTCCCCGACCTTTGACCCCCAAAAAATTCTTTCTATACTTTACCATTGCAAAATTTTTGAGACTTATTTTAAGAGTGGTTTCGCGAGTTGGTGCCTGTAAAATGAGGTATTTGTTTTAAACCATCATTATGATTCATCGCACACAACAATCTGTTTTTTAAAAGTACCGGTAAAGAATTTTAGCCTAATCTATCACAGCTATTACTGCACTAATTTTTCATTACTGCAATTAAATTAAAACTCCTAAGAAGACAGAGCGATCATTGAATTACCTGATTTACATTTAAATTTACGAAACACAACCGAAAGCTAACGACTAGAGTTCAAAAACGCGAAAACGAGGTAATGTTTACGACCACGCCTGAAAATCTGTCTGAGTGAGAAAAGTGTCTGAGCGGATGCGAAAAGGAAACATTGTTACGTCACTTTTTGCATCTTGCTGATTGGCCAATGTCACAAAGTAAACAAGGAAGTCGGTGCTAGGGGAAAGGTCCATTGCAACATAGTAATAAATATCCTCCCTTTTAAGATAAGAGGCCAAAATAAATTTGCAGAAATATGATGGGAGGTTAAAGAAAATAATTACAAGATGTTAATTAATGTACTTACTTCCACGTCAATCTGTTTTAGTGTTTGATACCGACACCATTTGAAGATGTATTATAAAGTGGTCGGTGTCTGGTTTGCAATGGAATCGATGACGTTACGGAATCGGCCGTAAGCAAGTCCTCGACTATTTACGCATCACGTGACGCGCCTTTTTTCGCAAGGTTGGATTTTCGTTCCACGAATTTCAATTATTTTGCGTGTTCTGAGATTTGTTGGCCTTCCGCTGCTCTTTCGGTATTAGTTGGGTTTTTATACGCGACACGTCCCTAGATTGTATAAGATGGTTAAACTTTTTGTTGGAAATATTGCGGATGGTGTCACCGACGACGAACTTAGAGATCACTTTTCTCAGTATGGATCCGTCTCAGAATGCAGCGTTCTGGGAAATTATGGATTTGTTCACATGGGCACAGACTCGGAAGCTGAAAAAGCTATAAAGTAAGTTCCATTGTTATAAATGTTCTATTTCTGTATTTACGAATCTTTGTAGACCGAAATATTTTTCTAATCTAGTCAAGAAAAATGTCTGAACTCGAAAAATGCTAATTTAGACCATTTCTGCAGTGGCTCATGTCACTCTTCACAGATTTGCTTCCATTTTTTTCAGGAATATGGACAAACGCAAGATTCGAGGACAAGAACTCAATGTAGAAAAAAGCAAAAGTTCTGGAGGTGGTGGAAGGAGAGGAGGAGGAGGCGGTGGAGGAGGAAGGTACCGTAACATATTTAAAACCTTGTGTTGTATTCTGGTTTGGTGAAATTTTATCTAATTTTTCTTATGGATTTATATTTTGATTAAAATTTTGTTATTTTGTCAGTTTAATCATTTTTATTTCATTGGATATATGAAACAAACCAGTTATTTATGAAATTGAATGTTCACATTATCAGGTTTAAATTAGAAATCCATCCTAGTTTTGCTCGTTTTATTGAGAAGCTGGTGGCATAGTCATGTTTTGCAAACCTTCTGTGAACACTAGTTTGAGGATGATTGAAACAAAAGTAAAATCACAAACTATAGGAGAACATTCCACATGGGTTCAAATGGAGCCTAATTGCATCGAGAAAAAATAATATTTCATACGTTTGCCTGAAGATGAGATTTTTACATACCACCACTTCGTACAAAAAAACTGTGGCATGCTTACATTTTTATGTATCCTAATAGGTAAAATGTTTCTGTTCAATGTGCGGTCTGAAAGTACCGTAATTGCGTCTCACACGGAATATATGTGCGCTGATGATCTGATTATCCATTCTATCGTTATATGAATTTAACAGTATTCGTGTACTTTTGATTAGGGATGTAAGCCCCTAATACGGCTTTGTCAGACAGAAGTGTCCCAGTCTAAGATTTTAAAAACCGTTTATAGCCCTTATAGCACCGTTGTTATTTCGAGATTATGTTTATATGATACTGGAAGAGAGCTCATGAGTCAGCTGAAACTTTGAACAAGATAACCAGCCGAAACAATATTCATTATTAATCGCATGTGCTCGGTCCAACTCTAAATTTATATAAAGCTGACTGAAGTATTACCTATGCTTATTGACGCTGCGGCTGAATGCCACCTGGCCTTTTTGGAAAAGTGTTGAACTTATCGTAATAGGAATCAACATCGAAATGTGTTACTTGCGCTGATCTATATTTCTTTTTGCCTGCTACATCTTCTAAGAATTTAAGAATAATAATATTTTTTGAGCAAACTCAACTTCATTGATAATTTCTTTCAAGTTAATTTGGTTCGTAATTATCAAACTAAACATCCCTACTTCAGTCAGTCTAGTAATAATATTCGTACTTTCGTAAGCCTAAATTCGCTAATCGTAACTAAACCTTTGTTTGACAGGGGAGACAGGGATCGTCGAGGCGGTTTCGCGGACAATAGTGCTGAGGCTAAAGCCGTTCGTAGAGCGGGATGTACCAAGTTGCACATAGCAAACTTAGCTGAGGGAATGTCGTCGGTCGATCTCCGTGTTCTATTCGAACGGTACGGCTATGTTGCCGAATGTGATGTCGTGGAAGATAGAAAAATCGCTTTCGTTCACATCGAATCTGGGGCTGCTGATGCAGCAATCAGAGGTATAAACGGTCGGGAATTTCGGGGAATGGCCCTGAAAGTCCAGAGATCAAAAAATCAAGGTGGTGGGGACTTTGGACCGTTTCGTGGTGGAATGGGTCGTGGTGGGGGTAGAGGGAGTTTCGGTGGTGGACGTGGTCGTGGATTTGGTGGTGATGGGTATGGTGGAATGGGGGGACGAAATAGAGGGTTTGGCGGCGGTTATGGCGATTCACTTCTTGATGCTGGTGGATATGGGGAGTATGATGATTTTGGGGATGGCGCTGCTAGTTTGCCACCACCTGCAAAAGGCAGAATGGAGTTGCTGGAATTACTTGATAGACGTCGCCGACTTGAAGCGCTTGACCAATATGAGCGTAGGTTGATAGCGTGCCCTGATCCTTTCAACCTTCCCCCTCCACCGCCAGAATATCTGCGCTTGTTAAGAGAAAGGGCAATGGTTAAAGCTCGCCTCCCACTTCCACCCTCGTCTGCCTCCCTTTCAAGAGCTAGAGAAGCTCCGCAGTCTGTTGGTTCGCCCAGTTCCACACTGCAGCGAGCTTTATTAGCGAGACGTGCGGCTGCTGTAGCAGCAAGTGCACGTGAAAAATTGCGCTCTTCAGCGGGTATGCTCGATGGATATGGGGATCCCGACTCCGTCGGCGGTGGACCTGACGATTACTTATATGGGGGGGGACTCGGAGCAGACTATTAGACATTTACCTTTGGGAATAATTTGGAGGCCGCAAATCAGCTGTAATACTTCAAAAACTGATGTGAAAGTTTCGCACTGCATGTCACAAAAATGATAGTTGTTATTGGGCAACTACAAATATGACCAGTTATTTCGCCAGCTTTTTATTATCTTTCGCTTTTACTAGTTGGTAGTTGTACTGCGTGATTTTCTTAATAAAAAATCAAGCTGAAGCTCTGTTGCAATGTCAATTGTTTAAGTACTAACTCAATACGCATAATGAATAGGGATGGTCCACTCTACAAAAAAAACGCAAAGACAGAAATTGCGCTCATGAAACTATGATAAAATAGAAGACATCCGCTACAGCAAGTCTTTTAGCGTTGGGTACTTCATATGATTGAATTTTGAGGGAATGATTATGTAGAAGGATTGCTGAACCTCTCGTTGTCGCAGGGTGGTTAGGGTAACTGCTTGTAGGTTTTGTCTTTTCCATTCAAGTCCATGCATTTGCAGTGATTGCTTTATTATATAATCCCAACCAACACCCAAAATAAAAAGGAAATGGGACAAATCTGTATAAGGATGAAAATCCTAATTTCATCTTGGTCAGATAACTGCGTAGCTGACATAATATAATGGTTATACTAACAGTAACAACGACTCAGATGCAATTTCTACCATTTGACTTTTTCCTGACTTTCACTTGGCCAAATAGGCCCTGTTTCTCCAACTTAGGGAGTGGCGCGATGGGTAGCGAACTATTACCATAAAAGCTACCGAATTCAATTGCATCACATTAAAGTTATATCAACTGTATTAATTGTCATTGGTGGACGGTGGTTAATTTTCAACTGTGATTGGCAATTTCGTACTATCGTGCCTAGGAATTACTAATTAAACCAAGGCAGAGTTTTGCTAAAAGAATTAGGGTTCTCTCAAACACTCACGGTCTCACTTTGTTATCTGGTCTACGGTTCACATGTAATCTGGGCATCGAACGACGTCTATAAATATGAAACGGGATCATCGTCACGGCAACATTTACAGACTTCGATCATCGACGATAACGCGATCAAGACATGATGAAGACATCGAAAGGTGAAAGTTTATCGTCCCCTTATGCGGTTGCGATTTTTGTCAGGGCTGGGGCCAACTCATTGTAATTTTATCTGATTATCAAACTTATCGTTTGAATCATTACTCGCTGTGCTAAATCCGTCACGGTTGAATCTTGTATCGATAGCGGATACAGCTCGCGAATATGTGAACTTTTTGCGAATATTGTTGGTCCCAGCTCTTTGGAATTTACATAATGCAACAAAGATATACTAGTATGGTTCTGGGTATTTCTCCGTGTTATTGGCTTTGTATCCCTTATAAAGTAGTCTCACCCATAATGATGTTTAAAAGGCTTCCCACTTTTTACCGCAAATAAGTAATGTTGGTATTTCTAAGCTAATTCGGCAACTAAGGTCGCAAAGCGAATTTCTCGTCATCGGCGTTTTGAAATTCTGAGTTAAATTAACACTCCATACTCTTTTATGAGTTGCCTGCCTTACCTAATCATATCGTCTGACACTTGGTATCAGTATAGCTTCAATTAAATATTTACAATAACCCAGCATGTAACAACCTTATTTATGAATCCTACTTGCAATGTACCTTTTGTTTCCACATTTTTATTTTGTTCCATATTTTTCAGTTGAACCGTAGGATTACATGGATTCAACCAGCTGACGTAGATTATTGAAAGAACAGATGTCGGAATTATAAGCGAGGCGCAGCTAATGCTGTTGATATGTAAGTAAAAAATATGCTGTATATTCACTTACGAAAGTTATTTAAATTTTGAAATATTTGTTATTTCTGTTCCAGGTGAACTGGGCGCAGTATCCTCCAGGATGACCGTTGTGAACTGTGTTTGTGACTGGTGAATTTTCATCATGAAAATTGAAAGTGGATAGAGTACATTGCAAAAAACCTGCTCTTTGTTGGTCCTATTTTTCTGTTTATCAGAATAAAGTTGAAAAAAAAATGCGTTTACTTCTGGCCATGCTTTTTTTTAAATTAAACAAAGGAGTGATGCTGACGATCAACTTCGTGTCCCTTGACCCCAAAAGAATTTTTCCTTTACCTTACTTTTGCAAAATTTTGATAACTTTTCGTGTGTTCGGAGAGTTGGCGCTTACAGACCGGTTGACTAATTTTAGGTTATTGCAACTAAACTAAAGCTCTTCAGAAAACCTAATGTCGATTGAGTTATTTGATTTGTAACTATTTTCGGAAAACACAATTGAAAATGATCTTTGTTGCCGAAATAAGCAAGGAAATCGATAGCTAGTCTGATGTAGAAGAAGACTTTCGCATAGCGCGCGAGAGGTTGCATAACCGCTACAAATAATTTTATTAATTTTGAGCAAAGTTTCGCTGTTAAAAACGCGCCAAATGGAGATGTTTGAAACAAATAAAAGCTATAGTCTTCTAGCTGAAAATACAAACTAAGTCAGTCTAGTAAATGTGAAAAGCTATTTTTTTCATATCGATAAGACAATCGACAAGAGCAATGCTCAAATATTTGGTAACGAAGTAGTTCGGGTATGCAATCTGTCACAATACACCACCGGTACCACAATTTTCCCAGACTACCCAGAACCGCCACAAGGTGCGCAATTTTTGATAACGTCATGGCTCATAGAAAAGCAACTCTACCAAGAGCCCACAGGAATTTTTAAAATCAATACAATCTTCAACCACTAAAAATTTCAAAGCAGTTGGTCAAATAATTGAAGAGAAAAGGGATTTTTTCATAAGATGCGAAGAAGAAAAATACCAACAAGAACATCCTGACAAAACGATCCTAACGCAGTTGGGAGTAACTGCCGCAGCGGCACCCATGGGCACATCCATATAACGAAGAGCAGTCTGGCTTCCAACGGCGTAACTGCCAAGGGAACCAACCACAAATGCCTCTTAATTCCACCATCTTGCCAGCGATTGCCCGAATTCCTCGAGAATCAAATCTGGCCGCGGCATCTCCACTGTTCTGGCGGTGTGCTATCGTTAAGGATGGGCAATATAGAATAATTTACCATTTTATTTTTATACTTATTTAAATGTTGGGAATTTCTGGATTTAGATGTTAAACTGTAAAAACAGGCATTTCCCAGGACGACTGAATTTAAGAATATTACAATATTTTTTCCCTCAAATTGTTCAAAATGTATGTAATCCCTAAATGCTGTATTAAGACTCGCTCTATGCACATTAATTGTAAACGGTTGAATACAAAAATATATATTAAACGGCATTAAATCATTAATGTGCCGAGAGTATTAAGCACATCCGTTGAGAATTAATTAGATGCAGGACCAGCGTGTAGTCACTGCAACCTATGCAGGTAGTGTAAAATATTAAATTTAACCACTATCAATCCAAATCGACTATGGGTCCGCCTTTTTATTGTATGTGTGCGAGACTAGTGAAACAAAGTTACCGTAGTCATGATTTCGTACTTAGTTAATAGGTAATAACATCTAAAGAAATTCGTCATATATCTACCCAGACTTGGCCCTACTTAAACTCAATAAGTTTTTAAAATTTATCGTCGACTAAAATGCCACAGACACTCGATCAAACGTATGTCGATCTTAAAAGATAGGAACGGACTGGTTGACTTGAACAACGAAAAATATGTTATCTTTCGAGTGTGAAAAATAAATGTGACAGTGTAGCGAATGTGCATTGTGTAATATGGATTATAATGTATTTAACCCTTTCATATTAATAGCATGTAATATTTCACAAAATCCATGTATTGCCTTTCTCGTTTCTACCAATTTGATGACGTATCGTTTCCGGTTTGCCGAGATGACTCTAAAAAATAGTGCTTTTTGTTTGACTTGTGAGCTGACCGTAATCTTACTGCATTAAGAATTAAGTTTGTGCAATTTTATCTGTATTTGGATCGTGCATCTTTTCAATAATATACAACAATTCGACATTCAACATCGTGTGCTTATTATCGTCCGAGGGAATCCAGATTGGAGTCACATTCCATAACACGTGTGGGAGTCGAACTTCAAATTTCAGGGTGAACAGTCTTTATCCCCAAGACTTGCATCGCATCTCCCTATAACAGTTCGCCTTGTTTTACAATATAACTTCTTTTTTGGAAAATGGTGTAGTAAAAGTAACAAAGTTATTCACAAATAATATTGATTCTAAATTATTCACAAATGATGTCATAACATTTGACTCCTAGATTATGGTTTATATTATTTTTGTTGTGGAAAGCTCGCAGGTCGCGAAAATCATTTAATGTAAACTGACGCAAGGCACGTCTGTAAAAATTAAAGTTTGTTGCAAACAGTTTATCGGAATATCATTATACGCTAACTTGATAGTAAAGCGGGAAAACGCAAAAATGGTGCAATAACGACTCTTCGCCATGTGGTGGTTTTCATCGCCGTCTTCTTGTTCTGAATATGCCGAGTGAGATTACCGTGTCTGATGTTTACCGAATTTGCGGGTTCTTTACGAGAAAACGCAAGTATAATTAAACGAGGGAGATTCCCACGCGAAAGAAAACGCTCGTCTTCGATTAATAAATTAGGACAGGAAATACGAAATTGACGCATGGCGCCGAAGAGACCGAAACCAAATCCTGTTATCGGATCCTGTTGGATTCGGTATTCTATATTGCCCTACCCTGGCTATCGTCATCGCGCCTAGAAGATTCGACTCAAATCCGAGTCCGGATCCGAATCCCGGCCCATCCCTCCTATGTAGTAATATACAGGGTAACCCCCCAAAAAACAGAACCCATAAATCTTCTTAATTGCTTCTACGAAAATAAAGACGATTCGTTTAATTTTGTATACACTTGAACTTCTGTTTGTGCGTGATTGTAAAAAGTTTCAGGAATAAAGGACGCTGTGCACACTAGTTATGTTCCCCCCAAATGATGTTCCAACGCACCTCTCACGGCTGGCAAACCTCTTTCAATGAATGGGTCAAATACTATATTTTCATTGTGGAAAATAAGACTGTGGGTCATAGATATTTAATAAAGGTTTGCATCAAATGAGAAAGATGCTGTTGCATGCTCTGCTTATAATTCTTGGTTGCTATTGTGGAGTTTTGAGCTGCACTCACGCAGCACTTTTATCACGATTCACGACTAGAAAGATTTCTGGTGCTCGACTTCAGGAAGTTCATTTGCGAAACCACGTGTATACCAATATACTGGAAAACGTTCATAATGATCTGGAAACGAACTTGCTTCGTGTTCCGCGACGAGGAGTCCAGAAATCTGCGAACCCACGCACGGTAATCGGAGGAGCGATGGCAAGCGCATTCCTAACGCTTAGCGCCACACCACCTCTTGTTAGATTGAGCCAAAGTGACTATAAACAGTCAAGTCACTTTGGATTGAGCGAAAGTCGGTTTTATTATCATTTTACCAGTGTAATGTTAGTATGCATTTTGCATTCATTTGTGAGGTAGCGGGTCATTGGTGTGCCATCCCGGTCTTATGCAATGACTTGCATCTGTTCCGCAAAATTGTGAATCTCTGAATCTCTCCTGTAGGCTATAAGGATTTTTCTGGCGCTCAGGTTCTTACTATTTTGTACGTCGTCATGCCTATGTATGTAATTCCATCTATATGGGCAGCAAGAAGTTATTCAAGACTTCCTGCAAGACTATACTTCCTGCAAGACTAAGCATGGGAACTGTTCAACAAATCACAATACAACCAATCTATGTACGCTAATAATAAAGTTTGCTTTATTGCACTAGGAAGTATCAGCACGCCAACATTTGGCACAATGTGATTGAATTGAAAAGTTTAAAATAGATGAATCGAATAAATAATGAAATCAAGTTATAAACAGAAATTGCTTTCTTAGTTACCAAATTTACCTATGAAGGACATTGAAGTACCACCAGATTAACAAAAAATACCTCTGTTGCATATCGTAGGTTGCTGCGCCTTACATTACAACACAGTAAAAAAAGTTATAACATACTGCAAGTCCTACAGATTTTTAAATGAGCTAATTCTACTGTGTTAAAATACATAAAGTATTAATTTTGAATAAGCCAACAATAACATTAATCAATGGAAATACCCCCAAGTGAGTTATAGATGTTCGAAATTTAAAAATGATGTAATTTTGCAATACAGTACGCTGGTATCACATGCCAATATATAGTTTGAAATGCACCAGTAATACAACACAGTAGAATATTCGTACAATTCAGCAAGGTAGGATACAGTGATTTTTCAAAAAGAATTCAACTTGTAGTGAATATGCAAAGCATTCATCTTAACTTAATAAAATTTGGCACACCCAGCTTTTCACAGAAGAGCAGGTCCCAGTTTTGAAGTTGCAGGCCATGAAACTATTATAAACATACTTATGTTTCTACAGACCGTTTTGATACCAGTTCAGAGTACTATTATGTTTGGCAAAGGTTTAAGTTACTAAATTACAGAATCAGGTCCTAATTTAATGGAGTAGCATAAACTTCTTGCTTCAATGTGAAATTTGAGGCTGGTACAAAAATTATAATATCAATTCCGGTTAGATTAATATTTTGGCACAGAGTTATAACAAATGAATGTGGTTTTTCATGAAGCTACCGTTTCAAAAAAATATAGAGAGAACATCATACCGGCAACAATGTAAAAGAAATGCAATTCTAGAAATATATGAAACAAAGCTTGGTGTTTGTAAAACTAGGACTGTAAATTGAAGGAAATATTTCATAGGACATTCGATTTCTTCCAAGAACTTTGATGCACAAAGTCAACTTGATTTTTTAAAGTTATCGAAAGGGGGCATGCATTCCAACATATCATACTTGTAAACAATACAGTTGTTAACTGCAATAAGGGGAGATAGAATAAAAAAGTATCTGGAATCAAACTGGTAAATATTTTCACTATAGGACTAGTTCCATAGCGGTTCCCCATGATACTAAGCAGTCTTTATTTCTTATTTTCCTCAAATGAGAGATCTACGTTTTTTGCATAAGTAGCTACAATTTTTCGAATAACTGTCATCTCTCCAGCACACCCTGGGTGAAACGAGGATGTTGAACCCAAAAAGGCATGCCCGACCATCACAAAAAAGGCTTTGCAGTACTCTCAATACAGGTTTTTGCAATATTTATGCTGTACCATTGGTTATAAATATTTAATTCAAATATAAATTTAAAATCATGGCACATGTTACACATTACTCATCCTACGTTTTCGTTCATAACTCTGGTTTGAATCAGATAATGAATTTGAAAAAGAAAATATACTAAAATTAGAAATTTTTCGTAAAAATCGATTCTTATTGAGACGCCAGGAACCTGAAACTCTGTCCCATAATATTGATATAACAGTGAAAAATAAAATTATAAGTAATATTAAACGTAACCACGAAGAAATATAATCTCTTCTCTCTTTCCATGCTCTAAGTGCATAAATATCTAAAAATCTATTTCTATAATCTGGTGGTAACTCAAACTGTGATTCTGTGGGAAAAAATGTCTCATAGAAGTCTCGCAAAACAGCTTTGACCATTTCAGCATCTCTGAAAGATAAAAAACATAAAGTTAAATATTTTATGTACAAGGGCTATTCCAAGTGAAGTGACACTACGGGACAATTCCAGAAATTTTGCATGTTGTTAGATTCAATATATTTTCACATTTTCAGCTACATGTTTTGTTTCATTGTCCAATCAGTTGCTTTATTGAATATGTAAAAAATTGCACAAAAGTTACACCCAACCTTACTTAGTAGATAAAAAAAATATAGTAAAATATAGCGTGCAACTACAGGACGGCAAATCCACCATGCACTAACAGTACGTTGTGCTGTGCTGTAAATTTTTGCGATGGTACAAGTAGGAGCCCATAATATTTTCTGGTGCAGTAGCTGAACTACCCCTCTATGTGTTGCTCAAGTTACTTAATGTAACACTGTAAATCCATGCCAATAATGTGCATATTATATGTGACACTACAGGACGTGACACTACAGGACATTTTTCCACTTCGGATTAGCGGCCTCTATCATCTCTTAAAATTCTGGTAATAAATCGTTAAATGGGTGAAGAAATGTTCTACAGCACTGCAAACATTTAAACTTTATTAACTTAAATCCAGTGCGTCAATTCCATATGAAATAACTGTACCACACAATCAAACACTTTGTGTCAGGAATCATCACAAAATATGTCAATTATACCAAAATTTCTACATTTCAGGCCATTTTTTATAAACCATCAAAAACCTGGGTGAAATTTTAAATTGTTCGATGAAATGAATGCAGTCCAATAAAATTCCAATGTCTTTTGATATCAAAAATAAAAAAAAATTACTTTCACTACACTTTTTAAAAAATTGATGGAATTCAACTTTTGCTTGGAATGGCCCACAAAATGTTGAAAGGCAAGATTTTTATAAAGCAAAAGTGCAGTCAAATTACTAACTGCAATACAGCGGTTGCTTATGAGACCTACGAGGTCTCGTAGGTGGTACAATAATAAGGGATAGAAAGGTAACCACATATAAATTTGAGGAAAAAAGTAAGTCTTGTTTCAAATACTGAGAATTTGAAAATGATTGGTTCATTAGTAGAGAAGAACTGCTTTCACAAGAATAACAACTTAGCAAAACAGTCCGTAGACACAATTAACATCCCAACAAGTATGAATGAGGAGTCTTCTGATACTAATTTTTCTTTACTAGACAGATTTTATCACTTTGCCATATATAGGTAATAACTCCTTATCAATGCGGCAATCGGGACAATATTACAAAAAAATAATTTCATATTCAGATATTACAGAATCAGAAAATATAGCACGGAAACAAACATGGTCGGCGGATAAAACTGATATAACTGCATCATCTACACCAGGGGTATGCCCCACTCCTATTGATATAGTCACATGAATTGGATATCCTGTATTTGTATCCTGATTCATTCAATAAATGTGCACATTCCCAACCATATATATGGCTTTCTGAGCCTTATTAACGGCACCCACCAGGTTAAATATTACCGGAGAAGAATTATTTTCTAGACTTACTTAGTATTATGATGATTAATATTATCATTGAGACAAATAAATTTTTTAGGATTTTTCCTGATATCATCGAGTTGTCCTACAACAGTCGATACATTGCTACGAATCATTTTAAATGTGATTTCATCTTCATCCATAACCTGGAATAATCAGAACAATCAAACATGGATTATGTACAGTGAACCATAAACTTCAATACGGCAAAGATTTTTCAAAGAAAATATAGACCAATCAAATGCATAGAGTTTAAGTGAAACAATATATTAAATTCATTTGCATTTTATGTGAAGTTTGAAATATGAGTTTTGTTTTATGCTGGGGGAAAGAAAAACAAATGGTAATGCTTAGATATTTGACAAACCTCTTCCTATTATCTATTATCAAATGACACGTTGGGAAAATTTAATTGTATCAATACAGGCCCTTGGACAACTGAAGAAGTCGTAACCAACCAAGAGTTATTATGACTACCACTCCAAAACTCAATTATGTCAAAAATATAGGTCACTGGTTGCATTGAGCCATGTTCAAAGTGAAATTTTCATGAAAAAACACCATATTATAACAGATTCGCATTAATCGATATCTGTCAATAATTAAGTACCAATCACAATTCATCTAGAAAACCAAGATATGAACACGTAAGCCTTATTTTCAATTTACTCTATCATACCTGGTGTTTATATTTTGGTTTTGCTCCATAAGAACTGTTGATCATTTGCATCAAAAATGGGCAATTTAGAACAAGATGTTCAGTAACAAAAGGCATTTCTTTATCATAATAATGCTCTGTAACTGCCCACGGCTCCAACGATTCCGTAGGTTGGTTCATCTCTGATAACTTGGGTTTGTCTTCTTCTATATCTTTGTCATCGGTTTGATTCCCTTCCTTCAGAAAATATTTTCACTCCAAATAAGGAAAATTAGCCATTGATACGCAAGGAGATACTATTTTGAGAGAGCCTAAATCCTTCGAGTTTGACAACCCTACACAAATTATCATACCTTGGGTAAGGGTGGTATGCATAGAGATTAAAACAAGATCTATAATCTTTAAAAGCAAAATATCAAATCCATAGCTCTTTGTATATAGGTGATCATGACCAAAAATTACGGAAATATTTTGAAATAAAATAATTCCATACAACAAAATAGCCTACACATACATTGTGGTCGGTCAACGCGTAGTCCACATAAATTCTGTCACTATCATGATTAGACGTAAAGAATATGTACCAATTAATATATGATTCAATTTTGAGATTGATTGTTATAACCAAATGATTATTTAAAACACTACATTGTCCTGGATAACACTTTCTTGCACAAAATTGACCATTTCGATAGAAAAAACACTCATCAATAAAAATAGTAGCATGATAGTTACCGTATATACTCGTCGATAGGTCGCGCCACCGTATAGGCCGCACTATTAATTTTGTGTTCAAAAAGTTTAATTCAGAGTTGACTCGCACTGAAAATCTAGGGACTTAGAAGGCCTTTTCCCTAGCTTTTTTGCATAGATAACTTCCCATTTTTTTTCTTTTTGTAGGGCTTAAAATCAAAATATGTTTATCGACACCTGTGATAATGAGTGCATGTACGCAAGCGCAGACCATATGATCAAAATATGTTTATCGACACCTGTGATAATAAGTGCATGTACACAAGCGCAGACCATACGACTCATGAATAACCAACTCGCTGTTCCGACTTGGTGGCGATTTGCACTATGTCGGGCGGATTGGTCGCACCTATATGTTTTTTTTAAATATAAGAAAAAAATTGCGACCTATCTGCGAGTATATACGGTATTTGAAAAATATATTCACTGACTTACAGTTCATACAAAAAAGTTAATTACAGTCAAAATTTTGTCTACAGGGTTGCCCAATAAAACATACCAGATAAATTACTAATTACTCTAAGAAAATGAAGAAAATTTATTTAACACTTGAAATTGTCTTTGTGTATGGTTGTACCCATAAGTTGTTCCTAATAAGATAATTAATTCTCTAAAATTAATTCAAATATGTACATATCATATACGGTAAATTCAGCTGAAAAATACATGACATATTGTAAGTGTCCCAAATGGGATGGCTTGAAGCTCATGTGTGCTTGTATGTGTGACTTGGATTTTCACAGTATCAAACAAAAAACCTAATGAGTAATAACAGAGTAATAGTACCATCCTACCTTTATTCTCTGTGGTCCATACAGCTTCCAAGCACATGATATAATATTCTTTTCTAAGTTTGTTAATTCTTGCAATGTTAAAGGTAGATTATGTGTTCTTGTTGCTAGTGTTCTGTATTAGAGGCAAAAACTGATTTGAGAGTATATAGATATCTGTGGGCTTGGTGGCCGAGTGGTTAAGGGTTATAGACCATGGGTTCTCAAACCAGGGGTCACGACCCCAAATTGGGTCAGAGTGATAAGTAGGTAGGGTTGCAAACAGGTCGTGGGGTCGCTGAGGTATGTTAGAGGATGGATGTACAATACCAAAACATTTAAGATTTGACAAACCATGTTAAATTTAGCAGTTTGTACCATGGCTTACTGTAAAACAGGCCCATAGGCATCGCTCTATACTTATGCTATAGAAAATGCAGGTGCTTATTGTGACATCACTGTTTGGTTTTAGCTTATTTTACTTAATACCACCACATGACCAAACTCAAAAGTCCAGTGAAAGAAGCTCTACTAAAGTTTCAAGAAAAAAATATATAAAACAGAAAGATGTTTTACTATTTTATTTTTAGAACTCTTAGTTTTCAGTAGGCAATAAAAAATATATATTTTAAGGCATTCATTCTCATTGAATATTTACATCTTTCAATGTTATCATAAACCATTCACCATAAGTCAGTGAAAAAAGCAGTTTCAGGATCCATCCAGAAGGTTACAAAATGGCAAAAAATTAGTTTGAGGTGCGAGATCGTGCAACATATTTGTGTAAGCCTGTATATTTGCATGTAAATTCCTTCCCAAAGAGCACAAAAATACCATGGAAGGCACCTGTTACTTTATCCAGATCTAATTATAAATCAGGTACAGGAGATGATAATTAGAAAATTAACAAGAACTATTGTACGTTAAAGTCAAGGCATCACCTTATCTCCCTATCAGACAATACTTTGGAACCATCAGTGTCGAGAGAAAGGAAAACCTTGGTGAAGTTAAGTGGCTCTTTCACACTCATCAAGTAGTAATTGTATGAAAAAGCAAATTGCATATCCTGTGACAAGTAGACAATTGAAAATAGACAATTCATTGGTACATATTTGAATATAATGCTGGTTATTATATTAGGTCATTATATTAATAGTCTCGATATAAATTCACCTTCTGTGATTGGTGCATCATGCTAAGCTTTAAAAAATTTACTTGTCATCACCTATGATATTACCTTGAGTTTGTTGGCAGATTCGAATCATATGGGGTTAATTATGTGCAAGGATTACTTGACCTCGCTGGCTAAAGGTGGTTCAGTTACAGTTTTCTTCACCACCAAGTCCATGCATCTGAGACGAATCACTGCTTAATTAATACCATACCTGTCATGGACTGGTAATCGGACAAGAGGCTGTGGTATATGATTAAGTCATCTTAGCAACTTTACGAGGATAAATGTGAAATCCTATCCTAAAAGTAAGCATGACTAATAGGTACCAATTTTTCAACATTGATATGAGCTAAATTATGATATTTTTATGAGAAAGAAGAAACAGACTTTGTCCAAAAACTCGAAAAAAATTGACATTTATATAATATATAATCATAATTATACTACAATACAACTGTATTTATACCAAAGAGTTACCGTAACTTGTCAAAAAAATTTCAAGTAATAGATGGCAAACATCAGAAAAACAATTCACAATCTATATCAAAGTAACAGAAATGCCACTCACTTCAGAATGTCGAAGTTTATGTGAGGAAGTGATATCATATTCCTTTGTATATTTTTCTTGTAATTCGAACATGATGTCTCTATGAATAATAAAATAATTGAAACTTTAAGGTTGTGTTTCTGAAAAGGGAAGTAATTCCTCCACAGAGTGGAATTGGCTGTTTTCAGGAGGAAATACATAAATGTGCATTTCTAAGTTTTTCTAATATTGATTAGTTTAGTATTACTGTGATACATATTATGGACACATAAATATTCAAACAGCACAAGAGCCGCATTATGTCACGAGTAAACACAAGCTAAGAATCTTCTTATTGAGAGATTGAATAAATAACAGTTATTTTCTGACAAGTGATCATTTTTAATGGTTAAGATGACGGTCTGAGCGGTGGACTATGTTGACCTTATAATTGACCTCTATTATTCAAAACACCATGTCCACCACCTCACTCAGAATCTTATAAATTGGATATGCAATGCAAAAACTGGAAGATACCGGTCCTTCGAAAATAGTACCATATCAGTGATTACTTGTACATGAACAGATCTTCAATAAAATTCAACTATATTTGCCTATAACTTGAGCCGTTAAGACGCTCCAAAATTAGTGCCTATTTGGGATTGCGAATGTGGCCATCCCAGAAAGAGTACCATATCCGTGTTTAATAACCTTACCTGTCAACAAAGTGAGGCATATGTGCTGGTACTTTACGTTGAGTAAAACCAAAATCTCTGTTGTAAATATTACTGACGTATCTTAAGGAATCCGCAAATGCATCTAAGGGTTTTCTCCTACCAATTCTTAAAGAATCGTCAATTTTGAATCTGCAGATAGGATGAAAAGGACAGGAATATAAAATATACCCATCTCCTTGAATTTACAAATTAGCTCACAATGTCAGATAGATATATTGATGTAGATTTGTGTTTCAAGAATATTTATTTCATTTTTCTGACAGCTTCTGATCTTGTAAGATGCACCATGCACAAGCGGTAGTGCGATGAACTGTCAATGAAAAACACATTGAGCTTCAACTGTAATTTTAATAATAAATCTCATTTCAATGGTTTCAATCCGAAAAGGCTAAACTTGAAAATGCCGTTTTCATTTTTATTTGAAATTAGATCTTGAAAATTGCCCCAGACGGCCAGACCTATAAGAAATTTTAAGGGAGGGTGTTATGAGGGTGTGGGTATCTCTACCAATCATTAATCATAATACTCATTCATCAATCTTCTTTTTCTCTCTCTCTCCTCCACCTTCTTCATATCAAGGTCAAATATTCTCTCCTTTTCCCAGGGTAAAAATCCTGTTTTCTTTGGTTGGTGATGCAAAACTCTCTCCAGAGTTTCATTCAGTAATAATTGTTGTTCTTCATACCACAGGAGCTTTCTTCCAGCAAATGCATGTTCTAGAATAGGTGTGAATGAAAAAATGGGGAAAAGATAAACTGAGATTAGAGATGGATTTATCGCCATGATACTAAAAACCATGATATAAGAGCTTAACCATTTTTAAAAAAACTTTAGACTTTGGATTATACACATTTGACTTTAAACTTTTAAATAGTAGGATATGGCATTTAAACTGCAGGTCTTTTCTCCTGGTCTACTTCCTACTTCATATCTGAATTACGGTCATTGCCACCAGGATACTCAAACAAGATAGTTTCAAAATATTAAGTAAGAATGAAATGATCTCTTTTCACAAAATAGCAAGTATATTTGTGAGCTTTTGTTAGATTCTAATCTAACTTCTTCAGGCAAAACAAGATAATGCAAGGCAAAATTTTAGAAAACTAAATAAGACCAGATTCAAACGAAGTGTCACATTTACATCCTTATCCCATACCTGATTCATTGAAAGTGGAATTGTTCCTAGACTTCTTCAAGTCCGGAGAATTCTTGATGATTCTATAAAACGGATTCTTCAACATGGATTCATTGAGAGCTTCATGATTCGGTGGCTTCCTGTAAAATAAATTGACATTTGACAAGTTACAAATGAACAAAATGTTGATATCAATGATTCAGTGCTATGTACAAACAAGCTGTACCTTGTAAAACCAACACACAGTGAATGTTATTTATGTAATGTTCATGAAGGCACTGCACATAAAAACAGGGGTGTGCAACATCTTTTGTCGGCCCACATAACCAACTTTAGACATCTAGCTGGCCACAGGCCATGTACTCAACAATTTAATAAAGCTCACAACGCGAAATTTTATTCATTTAACATTCATTTAGTGGGACTTCTTGCATTGTTTATTAACATCAGCTTTAACACAGCTACTAACCTTAAAGATTCATGATGTGCCTCTACAGGATCAAGTTTTTCTTCTTGACCAGTGTCGCCTTTATTATGTTGATGACCAGCTTCAGAAAAATCATTCGTTTGGTTTTCTCTATTATCTACTAATTTATCACTATCTTTCGAATCCAATTCTTTTTTCTCGTTAGCATGACTATCTGGAATTTCAGAATTTGTATTCTCTTTCGGAAGAAGCTTATTCTGTTGACTATCAGTAACTTTATTCTTTTCTTCACTTTCTTCAAAATCTAAAGCAACTCCCATATTTTTGCTTCTTTGTAAACCTAATTTTGCTGCATTCATTTCTTTAAGAATAGAATCTTGTGATATTTTCTCGTTCATATCGAGTGCTGCTTGTTTTAAAACATCAAGAAATGGTGACAACAAGACAGATTTTTGTTTTCTGTATCCTTTTTCAGTGATGTAATTGCTTTGAAAAGCTTCTTCCAGTTTTTGATACTGATTTGCAACATTTTCAGGCAAGACTTTAGTGTCAATAAATTCCGGTAAATCTACTGATTTTGGGATCATTTTTTCGTGATGAAATACACGAGGCTTCTTTTTATCTTCCGGAAAAGTGATTATATCGGAAAAATCATCTTTTATTACAGAGTTAGTTTTGTTAACAACAATGTCGTCCACTTTTTCTAAAACGTCATCGGGATCTTCTTCATGTATACTCGATAAATTAAAAGTTACGTTTTTCGAAGGAAATGCAGTGACGTTGAAGAACACAGTTATTATAGTTTTATTTGAGTTCTCATCTCCTTTAGAATTTTTTGGATGCAATGATTCACCAGTCAAAATGAATCTGATATTGGATTCATTTCCGTCTGATTTATATATTAAAGTAGTGACGTTAAATTTGTTCGACACAGCAGCAGTACGAATTGACTTGTCTTTATCGTATTCCGCTTTTGTAATTTTTCCAAAGTGCTGAAAATTAAAGAGGATTATATTCCAGAAGTTATAAAATTAAAACGGGCACAAACGTAGAATTATTTTTAACATAATTGATAATAAATTAAAAGGTTTAGCATTGATAATTAAAACAGCTTTTAATGCAGTGGTTCTTGAACTTTTTCGACCGCGACCCAAATCTTGAGTTTTATGGATACTCGCGACCCAATCCTAAATAACGCAAAATGTGTTTTTAATGTTAGTACAGTTTGACACAAATACAGACAACTATTTATTAGAAACAGTGCCTTGTCGCGAATTGTAGCAGAAAAGGCGTCCGCTGTCCGTCGCAAACACGACATCCTAGCTGGCCTCTATCCTTCGGTATCTCTCGCAATATACAACTTTTTAATCATCAAATGTGCACACACTGCTTCGTTCGCGGTAAATGGTGCCTCGAGATGAAGTCACATTTTCTCTAGATATTGAATAATCTAATGTCGAGAAGCGAGCTTTTTCATTGCGTCGTCTATTACAAATTACATTACCAAAAAGACACCCATTTTTGGTTATTTTAATCCACTAAGACGACATTCCGCGCGGTCAACACAACGACAAGCGACGTGCATGGTTACCGATACCATAAAAATAATACACGTGACTGGCATATCAGAATTGTGATGTAACAATGAGCTCAAGACAGTTCTTTCCGTGAATGAAATTTTATATTTCATTATTTTTAAATACCAGAGTTCAGAAGCTAAATTGAAACATTGGGAAAGCTGAAAATTCGTCCTTCTCCTCTTAGATTGCCCTTGCATTGACGACCTTGTCGCGACCCATTTTCAAACCTTCCGCGACCCATGTTTGGGTCGCGACCCATACTTTAGGACCACTGTTTTAATACTTTCTTGAATATTTTAATGATAAAATTCAACCTAAATTAAGATTTCATAGTCATAAATAAATCCTGTTTATAATTGAAATTTTTAGCATTATCAGAATTCTTAAACATGTAATCATAATCCTGCTCTTTTGAATTTCAATGAAATGACAAAAAAAATCCTAAGAAACAACTTTCCAGTTTCCACTTTAAACTTTCAAAGTCTAACAGGTTTCCTACCTTTGAAAAGTCGATGTATGCACTTTTTGCACCGTGCGGTACTTTGTATATTGTGCCATTCTCCATTCGAAACTTAATTTTGTAGATTTTATCAAAATTACTTTTCCCACAATCTGCTGCATCAAATCCACATTCCAGTTTGTTGCATGACTGTATTAAAATAAAACTATGGGTATCGTAATAGCCAAATTAAAAATAAGAAAAGTTTTTGGGGGAATAAATAAATACCAATGACATATGTTTTGGGGAAGGGATTTTCATATTTATCCAGAGGGAGAAGGAAGCTGATAAAATGACTTAATATATGTAAATACTGTAGTTAGCCAGGTATTTTTTTAAATGGATTGACTTGATGGTGGAAGAAGCCGTAATCGACCATCGGTTACATGAACCACCCTACGGCAGGTCCAGGCATCCTCTCACAAATATTTATTCCCGAAGGATGAAGAGGTGTGATGCAAGAGTATCCCTAACCTTGCCTGGCACTGTACTTTGGCATCTCAGATTAAATACCTAATGTTCAAACTCCATGGCTATCCCATCACCTTATTATATGTACCAAAATTGGATAGGCAATGTTAAGTATTCTGGTCCTTCCAAAAATAGAAGCCTCGTATGTGTTAGTGACAGATTATACAGACACTTGGTCTTTGTGAGGGCATGAAAGCCTGTCATAGGAAAGAATGGTCACTTTTTTACTCTAGGCCTTTAAAATAGGATTTACCTGATCACAAAATTTATCAGCAAGCCATGTATCTGCACATCCTGGATAACAGTAAGATGATGTACTGAAACTATATCCTCCATGAGACATCCCAACACCAGCTCTAACATTGTTACCTGTGAAAATTAAAATTAAAAAAAAAATCATATTTATGGTATTAGGTACTGGTAATTAAGAGATGCACATGCACATTTTCTAGGGGTTAAACGTCGGGGAGAATAACTGAACCATTTCACACATATTAGTTGAACCTTACCGATGCAATCTCCACCATCATAGCTGCAATCTGAAACATTGCATGCCGAGTCACAGAAACCATCCTTTATCCAGGTCGGAGCACAACCATCTGCACAGTTTGGAACTGGCCATGTTAGATAGACTTTTTGTCCAAAGGAGTGAGTATAAAAATCATCTGGCCATACCTAAATTAAATATAACAGAAACATGATTTCATTTTTTGCATTGATTTTCTGACACAAAATCAAAGACTAATTTTTGATAATGAATTTATTGTTAGGATGAGGATAAAGGTGCAAATAAATTACTAAATTTGTAATTCACCGGCGCATTTCCTTTTCACCCGGATTGAATAATGGATACAATGTATACATATTATCTGAAGAATTATCAAGGCTGCGGAATCGGAGAATATTTACACCAGACTCCGACTCAAGTCTAACAATTCCAAAATGAGACGCTGGGCTAATGAAAACTTCTTCCTCAATTGCCAGTTGAGAATGTTTAGTCAAGTTAATGCTTTTGTAGTCCAACTGCGACTTTAACTCCACAGACCTAGTTTTAACTAACAACATATTTAATGGAGATTAAAAAACTGAAAATGAGATGCTTATAAAGGAATTGAAATACAAAGTAATGACAAACCTTTTTTAAGAAATGGGTCATTTATTATATTTTCTCATAAGAGAATAATGTGGGTCATAGATTAAATCAATGTTTGCTTCAAGGAGATACTTGCTGTTGCATCTTTTCTGTAAATCTTGTAATCATCGGTTGGCATGTGTATGTTTGAGATTTACACATGTAGCACTTGTTATATCGAAAGAAGGTGACATCCGTGCTAGCAGTTTGCTATCCCTGCCCTAAAATATCTGCTTTGTTTTCCAATCCTCTACCAAAAATAAACTTACCGGTCTTCCAAACATAACATCGTCATTCATATATATGAATTTTTTTGCAAGTCCAGGAATACGATGAATATGAGATTCAATTGCGGGGGAACTAAACGTTGGAAGATGAGTTTTGTTGACAAATATATCCTCGTGGGTTACCTGTTTAACATAAATTCAGGTTATTATAGACTATGAGATTTATAACTGTTAGTCTGTTAACTGTTATACTTTTTTTTACAAGTAAATGTGCTCAAAGCAAGGCTACATGCACTCACTCAAAAATATGAGAGATTGATCTGTGAGTGAAGTTGTGGGCAACCACTAAAGTGTCAAGAGCTACTAAGACTAAATCTGATTAAAGAATGGTTAGCACTTAGCATGATGCATCATACCGCCAAGCCGAATTTGAGTAGTTGTCTGCAACCTTTCTCAGTATAAGTATCCTTATTTATGGATAAGAATGAATGGAACAAATTCAAAAAATTGAATGATTATTAAACAACACTTGTTTCCTGTTAGCTGTTACATGGTCAGAAACATGCATTTGAACTAGAAATGTCTGTTTAATTTATTCTGATGGGAGTGTTAAATGGAAGTATTTCAAAAAATTCGAATTACTGCTTCTACAATGTTTTATTCTTTACTCACAAATGATGATTCATGTAATTTTGTAATCCTACAATAAAAATCTTAACAATGACAATAAATAGCCTATAACAAACTCACTATTATTATCCTTGGATTATCCATGTTCAACCAATAAGGAATTTGTCCATTTGTGACAATAAAAACTTTTCGAATCCATGGAGCAAATTTTTCAATAGATCTCAATGAATACCTGAAAGTAATTAAGACATTATTCTTTTGAAATTGTTAATATTTTAACTTTTTAAATTCAGATTTTCGTATGTTTTTGCATATGAGGCATTCAGACACAAAAAGCTACCAATGTTTGAGTAGTTTGAGTAATAGAAATAGAGATGTACAAACACACATTGTGGATCCACAGCTTTTTTGAAAATGACAGAACATTGAAAAGTTTAAATTACCTGCTGTACCTGTCTAGAAAAATGATAAATGGTTATTAATAATTAGTGGTACTAATAACTGGGGTAGTTTTATGCACAAGGACAATAATATTTATCAATAAATGTTCAAATGCTGCAATGTTAAGAGAACGTATCCTATGACAAAAGAAATAATCCTAGGATGATTTTTGAACAAAATGATAATTTTGAACCACTTAATAAGAAACAAGAAAGTCCAAAACAAAAACAAAAATGAACAAAATTAATAGCAAACTTTTGATATCAAGAACAATTTAGAATACTTTTGAATGAAATTCTTTTATTCCATCCATACCAATCTATTCCTATTTGACACTTTGAAATCAGCAGAAAATAACCAAAACACCTCGGCCTTGAAAGTAAAACTAGCTACTACTCTCATACGCCATTTTATATTCAACAGAAAAAACCAACCTCAATTCTTCATTGTCTTCGAAGCGACTACGAGCCATATCATCTTGAGTTGGTGCTTCCTCAACATGCACTAGCATATAAGCTGCTGAAATTTTTACGGTAGATTCACCAATCCCAAAAAATGGAAGTGTTGTGTTACTTTTAGGATCCAGAATGGTAGCAGTCTTCTTTGCATCTAGAAATATGAATATGTTGTATATTACAAACTGTTTAAAAAAAAATATCGATTATTGAGTTTAATGCGAGGCATTCAAAATTGATAATTACGGTAATAGATAGATAATAAATATTTGAATGATAAATTTTGTTCTTATAATATATAAAAAGGCCTTCTTAGATGGCTTTGTTTGACTGTCTAACCTCAGATGGAACTGTTTTCATGACTCTTTTATATGCTTTTTGCTCAAAACAAGGCTCTATATAGGCTTCCACTACTATGTAACAACCCACATTATTTTTGAAAGACCTCAATTTTTGCAGTTCAGCAAAGATTACCCAGTTTATTGCATCCTATGGGACTTGAACTCGAGATTTTTAAACTGCCATGCCAACATAGGTATCTACCGGTGAACATTACATTATATTTCATTGCATGTTTTAACTGTTTCGTTCTTGTTCTTTAGATTGTATTTTACTTAGATTGCTTAACTTGGTTGGCTTTGTACTATAGTTAATACTTCATGTGAATTGATCTAAATATGGCGCTGCGAACAGAAGACAGTTGGAGAGATTTTTCATATCAGCTGAAATACCTGCGGAGGAAGCATCAATATATTCTAGAAAATTCATGGAAAACCGTATAACTGAAGTCACACTTCCTAATCTATCTAAAACAGATTTGTCTGATTTGGGTATCCAAGCTGTTGGGGATATTTTAGCCATCCTCAGCCACAGCAAAGCAAAAATGACACTCGAAGCCCACACACAACAAACAATAGATGCACCAAGAAATGACTCTAATATCATAAAGCCTCCTCCACCCAGAATGCCGCGGATAGAAATAAACATGACACGACCTCAATTTCGAAAATTCAAAACAGATTGGGAAGTGTTTAAGAAAATGACAAGACTTTCTGATGAACAATACAGTTCCCAGTTATACAACATGTGCGATGAAGCAGTTCAAACAAGCATAATCAACACAGTAACGGACTTTTTCAGTCTCGATGAAGAGGATATTCTTAAAGCAATTGAAACAATTGTTACACAACGTTCAAACCCCACAGTTCATCGCATGAACTTTGGTGCAATAATTCAAACAGAAACAGAATCTATTCAGGAATTCATCACCAGACTGAAGTCAGTAGCAGTGGACTGTGAATTTTCTTGTCCTCAATGCAAACACAACCTATCGTCACACCACGTTCGAGATCAATTCATCAGAGGTGTCCATAGCACAAGCCTCCAGACTGAATTGCTCGCCAAGGCCAACCAATTTAAGACTTTAGAAGATGTTATCAAACATTCAGAAGCCTTTGAAACCGCTGTAAGAGACCAATCAAAACTTCAGAAAACCGCAGAAGTATATGCGGCACAAACTTACAACAAACAAACACCAAACACCCGCGAATCGCAAAGGCCATGCGCAGGTTGTGGAAGTCTATCTCACGGATTTCCAGGTTCAAGGAACCGTTCAACAAAATGTCCTGCCTGGGGGAAAACTTGCACCAACTGTAAACAGCTCAATCACTTTGCTCGAGTTTGCCGACAGGTGAATCAGCCCCAGAAAAACCAACCACAAGCAGAAGCTAATGCCCTACTAGCTCATGTACGTTATAACAAAAAACGTCACTGCTTTACTACAGGACAACATGGAATGGATGAAATTCAAGCAACAGTACATCCATTTCCTCAGAATCGCAACTCGAAACCATGCACGGTACTAATATTCCCAGATAGTGGAGCAAACATTTGCTTAGCTGGCCCAAAGCATTTGCAGAGCATGCAAATCAAACAAAATCAGTTGCTTAAATGTCATAAGATAGTGACGGCAGTTGGAGGATCAACACTGACTTGCTTCGGCTGGCTGCCGGTCAAATTTGTAATTGGTGGACACTCTACCACACAACAAGTTTACATTTGTAACAAAGTGGATCGTATGTACTTCAGTCGCCAAGGCTGCATTGATACCAGAATCCTTTCTAAAGCATTTCCTTACCCTATGGAAATGGAAGCAAACGTGGCAAAAATTAGCACAGCAGACATCCCCACTAGTGAGAATTCATTGGGCCAATTACCAAAACGACCAAGAAATTTGCCATTCCCACCAATGGACACGAACGTCCCCCGACTGGAAAAGTACTTATTGGCGGAATTTGCAAACACTGCATTTAACAATGTCACACCATTTCCAAAAATGAATGCACCCCCAGCCCACATTCACCTAAAGTCTGATGCTCAACCATTTGCACATCATACTCCTATTCCAGTACCATACCACTGGAAAGAAGCAGTGAAATCCAGTCTAGACAGAGATGTAGAAAGGGGTATTATAGAACCTGTCCCTGTAGGGCAACCAGTTGAATGGTGCAGCAGAATGGTAACAATTGCAAAGAAGGATGGCACACCCAGACGTACTATAGACCTCCAGCACCTAAACTCCCAGTCATTGAGAGAAACTCATCATTGTCAGACACCATTTCAACTGGCATGTCAGATACCTCCTAAAACTAAAAAGACCGTACTGGATGCTGTAGATGGATATCACGCCATAGAACTGGATGAGGAAAGTCAGCATTTAACGACTTTCATAACTGAATGGGGAAGATACATGTACAAACGAATGCCTCAAGGATTCATTGCAGCTGGAGATGCATACACAAGACGTTATGATGATATTATAAACAATACACCTCGCAAAGTAAAATGCGTTGACGACACGCTACTATATGATACAAATATAGAAGAAGCCTTCTTCCACACTTGGGATTACCTAGCAACATGCGCAACAAATGGCATTGTACTGAATTCAAAGAAATTTAAATTTTGCAGAGACACAATCTCATTCGCAGGATACAACATAACACCAGATGGCATAACACCATCAGCAGAACTTCTCAAAGCAATTAGAGATTTCCCAGTCCCTAAAGACATCACTGGAGCCAGATCTTGGTTTGGTTTAGTTAATCAAGTTTCATGGGCTTATTCAATAAGTGAAATAATGTTACCTTTTCGTGAACTCATAAAGCCAAACTCAAAATTTTACTGGGATGAAGCTTTGGAAAAAATATTTGAAACATCAAAACAATTACTGTGTGAGACAGTTAAACAGGGCATACGTTCCTTTGACACAAAACGTGCAACTTGCCTCCAATGTGACTGGAGCAAAGATGGGATCGGATACGTTCTTCTTCAAAAATACTGTGATTGCTCGATCGATAAAGTTCCTATTTGCTGCAAAGATGGTTGGCATTTGGTTTATGCCAACTCCAGGTTCACCACGCCAACAGAAAGTCGATACTCACCCACTGAAGGAGAAGCATTAGCAGTATCCTGGGCCTTACAACACGCACGAATGTTTACCTTAGGTTGCCAAAACCTCATTGTGTCCACTGACCACAAACCCTTATTGGGAATCTTTAAAGATCGAGACCTGGATAGTATTAAAAATCCTCGAATACAAAACTTGAAAGAACACACCCTGCGATATAGATTCACAATGCAGCATTGCCCAGGGAAATGGCACAAAGCACCCGATGCTTTATCACGCAATCCCACAGCCTTGGAAATAACAGATACGAAAAATGCAGTGATGGACATAGCACGAAATGACCCATCATCTGATGAAGTAACAACAACAGAGCAGTGCGAAGCTCGTGTTCACGCAATTCAACAATCTGTCATCAACTCAATAAATGATGACGATGCGCTTGTGACCCTGGATCACATTAGAAGCCATGGAAAGTCTGACAAAAGCTACAACATACTCATCAAAACAATTGAGAATGGATTCCCTAACACAAGACATGGGACACCGCCTGAAATCCGGGATTATTGGGGTGTGAGAGATCGCCTATCAACTAAAGACAATGTAATACTAATGGACTCTCGCATAGTTATTCCCACTCCCCTTCGCAAGACCATACTGAGGTCACTACACTCTGCGCATCAAGGGATCACAGGCATGAAAGCAAGAGCAAACCAATCAGTCTATTGGCCGGGCATGAACGCCATGATCCGAAACTTTCGATTTGGATGCCTCACATGCACGAAATACGCTCCATCTCAAACTAAAGAGCCAATGATATCGAGCCCGGCGCCACAGTATCCCTTTCAACACATATGCGCCGACTACTTTGTACTGGGGAACCACTGCTACCTATCTGTTGTAGACAGATTCAGTGGTTGGATCAGTATTTTTCATTACCCACCACATCGATCAATCACTAAAGAGCTCATCAACTCATGTCGTGGGTTATTCACATCCTATGGAGCACCAGAAGAATTTGACTCAGACGGTGGACCTCAATTCACCTCATCCGAATTCCAGAACTTTTTAACTGATTGGGGAATAAAGCATCGAAAGTCCTCAGCATCTTACCCACAATCTAATGGACGGGCAGAGCTCGGAGTTAAAACTGCCAAGAGGATCATTCGTGATAGCACATCACCTGACGGTTCTCTGAATAATAATAAGGCAGCACAGGCAATCCTACAATACAGGAACACTCCTCTGCAAGACATTGATCTCAGCCCAGCTCAGATACTTCTGCATAGACAACTGCGGGATCACGTTCCTACAAATCCACAGCATTACCGTCCCCATCCACAATGGATTATATCTGCAGGGGAACGTGAGCAGAAACTAGCTAACCGCCATCACATCATTATCGACAAATATAACAACACATCGAGACAACTCCCTCCACTGTCAGTTGGGACAACAGTCGTTATACAATCACAAGTCCCAAACAAGCCACGACACTGGAACAGGACTGGTCGAATTGTAGAAATCCTACCTTACAGACAATACAAAATCAGAGTAGATGGCTCGGGAAGAGTGACTATACAAAACAGACGATTTATACGACCTTGCATCATCATTCAACCTCCGCCGATCATGCCATTCTCACCAACAATTCCCCCCAGCGGAGAGAGAGATGAAGACATTGGAAACTCTGGGAGTCATAATGCAGGAACTACTCAAGACACTCCGGTGGAAATACAACCAAGTCATCATGTGAGCCCATCGCTAACCAGCAGAGCTCCAAGATTGCCTAGGGCGCTTCAGAGGTTACAGCCCTACAACAAGCCAGGACGACTTGAGGAGAACTATAATGTTAACTGAACTGAACAAAACATTTCTTAATTTAAAAGACTCTGCGCCTCTGCCGGAGGGTGGAGATGAACATTACATTATATTTCATTGCATGTTTTAACTGTTTCGTTCTTGTTCTTTAGATTGTATTTTACTTAGATTGCTTAACTTGGTTGGCCTTGTACTATAGTTAATACTTCATGTGAATTGATCTAAATAACCGGTATGTATAAAAGCAATGTAAAATCACCATTTGTCCAAACTAATGCAAGATGTTCTGCTCCTGCTATATATATCCATTCTGATATTTGCTTTAAATATTCTGGAAATTTTTCCTTCAATTCATCAGAGTTCATTTTATCAGGAATCCCTTTTAATACTAAAGCATTACGAAGTTGAGAAGAACTTGAAGCATCAGATGCTGTTGTTATATATAAAGGTTGGAAAGTTCTATTTTGTAATTCTGTTAATGAGGTCAATGCTGATTTTACTTTCTCTTTGTCTTCGAACCTTAGAAAAAAAATTTGGTTTAATAATATATAATTATACTGATAACGATATTATCTGGAATTCGTTAAAATGAGTACTGATATTTAGCATTAACTGTTATAACGGTGTTTGCATTACAGATTACATAACTCCAGTTCAAATACCATGCCCCTACCTCCAGACCTCACTCAATGTTTAGTATATTTGTTAGTAAGATCCTGGTCCTTTTATATAAAAGCAGTTTCAGTGGATTCTTGTATAGAGCCTTTTTGAAGGGAAAATCATGAAAGTGTCATTTAAATAAGATTTTATAACCATAGTTCAAATATCTTGACACTTGAAAAATACTTCGCAAATCATGAATTTGAATATTTTAAACAATTTTCCTCATATTTTTAGTAGAAGAGTTTAAATTTCTTAATTTTTACTCATTCAATCCCGTTGGCAAAAATAATAAGTATTTTCACATTCTGAATGATTTAAAAAATCCACTCTAAGCAAGGCTCCACACAAGCAGTCATCAATTTATTGGGAGCCAGGAATGATACTTCCCAGTTTACCAACAACTCAATTATTATTCTACCTTACATGGGTTGAAGGAGTGGGTATATGGTTCGAAATTTTGAATAAAATATATTTCACCCTTTATAATAAGGTAAATTCATCAGATTCTTTCTTAATATACCAATATAATTCTACCATTGGCACTTCATATCTTGGTAAATATTTCAAGTATCAAATCAAGAACAACTTAAATTTACAGCCTAGTTGTTTATGTAATGTAAAGACAACAAATTAAATACCTGAGAATTGTAACATTTGTTGCTTTTGTTTCTGAGATAAATCCTTTTGTTACTTCTACATTTCCAATCCATTTGAGATCTGACAGACCTACCCATTTTTCCTTCGCCTCAGAAACAGTTAGTTGTTCCCCCAGCATGGGGTTTGTAATCAGACAAGGCAATAAAAAACAATCTTTATGTAAACATTGAGAAAATTTTGGATCGGGAAGTGAGGTAGTATTGAGGGTCATAGTCCCAGAGTTTAAACTTGCTTTTAAAGCACTCAGCTGACTGAGTAGAATTGGGTCAGATCCATTGACCCATGTGTATACAACGTCTATTGGTATTGGGGCAGCCAGCATAGCTTGATATGATCTTCCTGCTATGTTGTCATGATAAAGACTGAAAACTGAATCATATTGAGTTTGGCTCCATTCCAGCATCTCCTGCCAAAGAAAATAAATGGTAAGAAATGATAGTAATGCATAAATATATGTCAATATGCAATAGTGTATAATAGCTTATATATACCGATATACCAGGTTACTAAAACTCAGGAAACTCTGAAACTAATCTCTAAGTCAAGTGCCAAATCAAGAAATAACATTTAAGGCATGAAAACCACCACACAAAGTATAAAGAATTATTGTCCGATTGACCAAAGAATATGTCTCTAAGATTCTGAAAATAGTAGTACTTTTACTATTGAAACACAAGTTAATTTGTTTGTTTATAAATATATATTGGTGCCCACAATTGTCAGATTGAGCTAGGCTATTGCTGTATTGTGGTTTAGGCAACTCAAGTAGGTAAATTTTGATTTCAATCTGAAATGCAAAATAAAAAAGCAAGATAAAGCAGTACTGCCACTTCCAGACTTCTGTGAAAAGATAGACAGATAGAAGGTTGACCATATTCTGTTCATATTCCAGTATTCACATATATGTAACTGTATAAGTTAGAACCAGAGAACCGTAGTAGGTGAACTAACTACAGAACTACAAGCTTTACAATATAGATTAGAGAATGTGTAAACACTTAGGCTATAGCCTATGCTTTTATTCTATTCATATGTTGTCGACTTACCTCGCCGAATTGAAACATAGAATACAAAACAAGAACAATTCCAGCAAATGCAAAATAGATTCCATATTGATGAGAGAGGCATGTGTAAGTATGCCTTTGCAGAAGTTTAAAAAATATTTCCTTTCTCATTGTTAATGCTATAATGACGTTAACCTGGTAAATGTATATCACACATGACACATGAAAAACCTCATGACCCCCTAGTTGCAACCCCACACGATGCACGCCTTGGAAATACCGACAACTACCACATTAGAACTTACATCAACAAGTTGCACCTAAAATGCCTATAAAAACGCACTCCATACACAACTTCCAAAAAACTCGTGATACCAACGTACTTTGTGATTGCCTTTGCGGTATTGGAAATTATGAGTATTATTGAATAATGAACCAAAATGTGGAAATGCTGTCCGTATTTACACAATTTGATCCATTTCTTGTCTTTGGATCCCCTTGTTCAAACGTTAGAACATTGTACCAATGAGCATGTATATATATGCTCATTGATCGTACTAAGCTTACAAAATCGACGGGATTTCGGGACTAAGTTTGAAATTTCGAAATACGGATTTTTGGGATTTTTATTTACCAACCCGGTTTTTTTTTTTTGTAATAGTAAATTTGAAAAAGTGGTCACGTGAGCTGAAAATACGAAAAGTGCACACATTTATTAGTTGTTACATTGATGCGTAAACTCAAGACTATTTTAGTAGGCGCTATGATTTTATATGCAAGATCTCTAGGATTTTATTTCTAGGAGCTCTAAATACCTCGTATTAAGTAAAAAATGCTCCCTTCGTTCAAAGAACATACATCTATGTCTCAACGTAAGCCGTTCATCGGCTGGCATCGGCATCGGATCGTGTGGGTTGCCAAACTAATGAATGTATGATTTTCTTTAAAATTGTCGGGTTTTCGTATAAATAGTCCGTTTTATTTGCCGTTCATTTTACTTTTCACAATGTTCTCGACACTTTCGTTTCAAATAGTCTGAATATTCAGAATTCTTCATTGTCTCTGCTTTATATTGTTTTAATGAATAACAATTATTTTTGACAAGGTGTTGTGGTGTTGAAACAGAAAAAATTAATGAATGTGCTCGCAATCTCACGTAAGTAATACAAACAGCGACGAAGTTCACGTAAAAACGAAAATATAATACAATCCTAAATTTGAGAGGCAGAAGAAGAAAAGCGGCCTGAACATGCCGCCCAATCATCAGTATGTTGAGCACAATTAGTTGTTTCAGATGCATCATCTTGGGTGCAGGAGGGCGTCACAACGACCTGCGAACGATACCCTTTTCCTCTTATGAAACTTTTATTCTTTTGTACAGTATGAAAAAAAATATATCATTTGACCCGAAATATCCTTCAATCGTATATAGAATTATTATGTATGACTCCACAAATTTTTAACATTGAAGGGGTATTATCCTCTGTGCTTCTATCTCATACGTCGTACCATTGTAGATAATTTTTATTTATTTAGGAAATCGGTCATATTTTGAGTATGCAATGCAAGCGATTACACATAGCTTACTTCTCGTGTAGCTGCAGATTGAACGATGCACTCCTAAAGGTGCGGTTGTTTGCGAAATTGAATAAAGCCTCACAATGCCTCTTATGCTGATCTAATGTGTACCTCAATAGTTGATTGTGAATGTTTCAATAAAGTATTTTTATTATTGGTGGAAATGGAGATGAGTTATACCACTGAGTTGCATTTAATTATTTTTCATGGTATGACAAATTTTCACCACATTATAATTTTTGTCCCTGCTCCGCCGTGTATGAATATTCTTATTACTCTCTTTTTTCGTATTTAGTTTTTTTAATGTTTTCATAGAGTAGGCTATTATTTATTATCGTCTAACTCTGAAATAGACAAAAATTTATTGTGTAACTGAGTATTCAACTAATTATGTCTCATTTTGAAAAACTTAACTTCTCACACACTCATACATTGGTATAACAATGAAGTTACTTGGGAATACAAAGGAATTTTGTTCCAAAAACTTGTAAAAACCTTTTATTGTGAAGTTCTCTAACTAGTCATTTTCAAGTGTGAATCTTAATCAAACCAGCGCGTATGGTGGGAGTTGACCTCGATGACCGTGCGGCCGTATTGTTCCCTCCGGTTCATACCAAACAATTTTATTGGACACGTCAGTGGGCATAACGATTGTTTTGCATTATTTTTGGATACCTAGTGGAAAACTTAAATTATAGCTTTTTCTTTGATTATTGGACCAATTTCTACAAGACTTTCAGTGGTTAAAGATGAATTTTTCTTTCTAGAAGAGTGTTACTTTTATTTATTTCAAATATTCCTGGTAGTACTTTGGGATTCGTTATTTTGACACGTAATGGATTTGTTTTTACTCTTCTTTTTGTTTTCTTGATCTCGTGCTCATCGAACGTAGGTGGTGTATAACGAAATTCTTACTCTACTATGACGAGCAGCGTTGTAGGTACCGGATCTCTGTGGTACCGGTAGCGTCAAAGTGAGAAATGCTTCGCTTTGTTGGACGTGTCCATATATTTGAGCATTGCTATCTTGTTTCTAATACTTTTCTATTGAATCGATGATTGCATTTCTTGTTAAAAAATAATAATTCTCACTTGCTTCTTCTTTAACCTTGCGGTCTCGTCAGCTTTAATACAATTTAACCTCAACCAATCAGAATCCTCAACCCAATCCGAGAATCAAGAAATGGCAACGCCAAAGCATTTGCGTTATGATGATGATTCCCCGTGGTGTTGGGATCGGAATCTTACATACCGTGTTTCTCGGAAAATAGGACTGGGTCCTATTTCAATTTTCTTTCGAAAAATAAAACTAGGGCTTATTTTGGGGGGATGTTTTATATTTCCATTTATCAAAAACAAAATTACAACGTAGAGAATTGGGAGATTTTCAAATATACAAAATATGAAAACTGACATATCTATTTACTTATAAATAACACGTTTTTAGGATAGGATAGGATTTACATATTTATCCCGGGGGAGAGGAAAGCCGATAAGACGGCTTATCCATATGGCGAACCACGCCTCTCGTCCGGTTACCATTCCAAGTCGGGTATGGGATTATTTATATATTGTTTGTTTTCGGAAGCATGAACTTGGTGGTGGAGGAAGCCGTAACCGACCAGCGGTTACGTGAACCACCCAATTATATTCGTTTTTATTCAAAATAACTGCAAAACACAGGTTATTAATCATTCAAAACGTGTAGGGGAGATTTCTTGCTATCGACTAGGTCAAAAATAAATTCGCGTTATATTAAAATCATTTTTAAAATTTATGCTAGGTCTTATTTTAAGGGTAGGTCCTATTTCCGGGGAAACACGGTACCTCATTTACAACTAATTTTTGTAATCACAGCTGAAATCTTACAAATATTACGAGAAAAAAACACGAAAACGAGGCATTGTTTACACTTTACAGCAATGCTTGAGAATCTAATCTATGTTTGGGTGAACGATGTGTCCCGCTTTGATGTGTCCGAGCGTCTGCAAAAATTGCCATTGTTACGTCATCGTGTACTTCATGCTGAATGGTCATTGGTATAGATATAAACAAAGAAATCGATGCTTGGAGAAACATTAATTGGTTAATCATAGAGCGAGAGAGATTTTATTCGCACAAACCAATATTAAAAATCAATAGTAATTTTTTTTTTATAGAATTACAGTAAAATAAGCAACTTAAACATTGATTTGTGCATGTCAACACCGGTCCCGTACCATACCGTTTGCAAGGCCCTCGCAGGAAATCCAGTATCGAACTGTCGGAATGCGTTGTGACAATATAAATTCATCAAAATAAAAAAGGACAGAAAATGAGTCCGCAAATAATTTTGTTCTAGGGCTAGGCTACGATTCGACACTTGCCGGTACCGGAATCCGAAGCCAAACTATTTCGCTTCGACCAGAGTCAATTTCAAAAATATTCGCTATTTGATTAAGGATTTTGATTAAGTTTAACTATAATTAGTATCTAAATTATAACTTTAATAAAATCCTGTTGTTGAAAGTGTGAAACGATGTCCGAAGATGTCTCTATACTCTGAGAAACTGAAACAGAATCGTAAAAAAGATGAGGAGGAGAGAAACACATTAGACAGAACGAAGTGCATGGCATTGAAATTTAATGATGAAAAAGTAATTCGAAGAGAAGATATATGGGAATTTTTTAGAAAACTGAATATTGTATTCGACACTGTGGACGGATTTGTACTTACGTCCAGGTACACGGTGGACTTAACATTTAAAACAAGAGCAACAGCTATTGATGTGGATAAGAAATTATGGGAGCTTAAAAAAGTAGGTGCAGAAACACTTCCTTTTCATAGACTTTATGTACCGGAAAATGTGGCAGTATTCGTACACAATGTGCCATGCCCAATGGAAAATAAAGAAATTAAAGAACACTTTGAAGAAAATCACGGAACAATAGGAGAAGTACTTATATTGAAAGATAGGTTCAACATGAAAAATGGCATACGAAGATTTTTTATAAAAAAAGACGATTTAATGAAAAAACCAATTCAAAGTTACGTAAAATTAAAAGGACATTCACTTTTTGTCAGATATTGGGGGCAGACCCCAACATGTCGTATTTGTGGCAAAGCTGGCCATATAATGAATAATTGTGAATATTTCATTCCAAAATTAGAAAGATATAAAGACACAGGACAAAGATCACCGAATCCAGAACAGACCAAAGTTGACGAAACTGAAAAGGAAATAGACAATGAAGCTAAAAAGATTACCAAACAAGTAGAAAAAAACAAAATTGATAATACTGAAAATAACATTAGTAAAAAACAATTGATAAATGATAATCCAACCCAGAGCACTCCCGCGAACGAAATTAGTGAAGATCACAGTGAGAAATCATCCATAAGTCCAACCCTTTTGCCAGAAATGTTTGGAAATATGTCTGACATCAGTGAGGATAATAGTGAGATAATTACATTGAATAAAGAAGAGGAAATGCAATCCAATACAGCAGAAAAAACAATTTTGTATTTGTTAGAACCTCATACACAAAACCAAGGTGAAAATTCACAGTTAACCGTGGACAAGTCTTCTTCTATTGAAAGGTCACCACCAAGAAAAAAGAAAACATCTAGAAAACAAAAGATAATGACTATGAAAGAAGCTAAAGATTATATACACAATATGAGTGAATAAAGTTGTTGTTAAAACGTCAAATCTACTTTTAAAAAAAAAAACAAGAAAGAGAACTCTCACAATGGTAATTTATTTGACGATTCTCACACTTAATGTTAATGGCCTTAGAGACAATCAAAAACGTAGAGATGTATTCTTCGAATTATCAAAAAAAAAGGCAGATATAATTTTTCTCCAAGAGACACACTGCACTACCGATGTTGAACTAACATGGCGTAGAGAATGGAGACATGGCACCAGCATATGGAATAATGGTAATTCAAACTCGAGAGGGGTAGCTATATTACTAAAATCAAAGATGTCAAGTTTTTCGTTTTATAATGTCACATTCGACAACGATGGAAGAGTTCTTACTGCTGAAGTGGATATACATGGTGAAAAAATTCATTTGGTTAATATTTATGCCCCTTGTCGAACTAACATTAGAATACAGGAAAATTTTTACAACGGTATTTACAGATTCCTATATTCTCAACATGCAACAGTTTTTGGTGGTGATATGAACTGTGTTCATGATATAGATAAAGATAGAACAAGTAATAAAAGAGCCAAGAAAGAATATGTGTCTGAAGCATTGAATGACCTTGTAGAAACTTTTAACTTGATCGATTCTGTGGATTTCCTTTCTCATAGTAATACCTTCTATACCTGGAGAAATAACACAATACAAGCCAGATTAGATCGTTTATATTGTTCTCATAGGCTATGTCATATAACCAACATATATTGTTCACCAACATATAACTCGGATCATGACATGTACTCGGTCGATATTCAGATTATTAGTAAATTGGAAGAAAAGGGACACGGATTTTGGAAAAATAATGTTTCAGTCTATAATAACCAAAGTTTTATTGAAGACTTCCAGAACAAATGGAATAGTTGGTGCACATTAAAAGTTTTATTTGATACAAAAACTCAATGGTGGCAAGAAATAAAGAAAAAGATTAAAGATTTGGTGATCAAACATTCAATTAAAATAGCATGGGAAGCAAAAGCTGAATATAATAGAGGGATGAAACAATTGGAAGAATTGAAAGAAAGATTAGATAGAGGAGATAAAGTGTTGACTACATTCAATAAATTAAAAAAAGAATTGATTTCAAAACAAAGACAAAAAAGTGAAAAAATTAGAATTTTAAACTTAGCACAACATTATGACACACATGAAAAATGCAACAAGTATTTTTTCAAAAAGCTGCGAAAAAAGAACAAAGAATGTTATATCACCAAATTGAAAAATGAAGAAGGTACCACACAAGAAAAAATATATGAAAAAATGTCCATAGTCAAAAATTTTTATCAAAATTTATACAAAAAACAACAAAACAATATGGAGACCCAAAAGATTTTTATAGAAAATATTCCTGAAACAATAAAATTACAAGAATATGATGCAGAAACTTTAGAGACCCCTATTAATTTGGATGAAGTTTGGATAACTATCAAAGCCCTCAAGGAAGACAAGACTCCAGGACCTGATGGAATAAGTGCTGAATTCTATAAAAAATGCTGGGAAATCATAAAAAAAGAATTCTTTGAAGTATTGGAAGAAATATTTGAAAATTGTCAAATAACAAAAGACATGAAATTGGGATATACTACTTTAATTTATAAAAAGGGAGAACCAGACCAAATAGAAAATTACAGACCAATAGCATTATTGAATACAGACTATAAGATCTTTACAAAAATATTGGCAAATAGGTTAAAATGTGTATTACCTGACATCATAGATAGACATCAGTATGCAATTCCGGGAAGAAGAATATCCGAAAATCTCATTTTGTTGAGGGATTTATGTACTCAAGAACATAATAAACATGGATAATCGTCATTAATCTCGTTGGATTTTAACAAAGCTTTTGATAGTGTTGACCTTGATTACCTTTTCCAAGTGCTTCAAAAATTCGGTTTTAAAGATAAATTTATAAAATTAATTCAGACATTATACAAGGAATCGGAAACCAGAGTGATTATGAATGGATACTTAAGCGAAACTATAAAGCTTGATAGAGGAATTCGTCAAGGAGATCCGTTAAGTTTATTTTTATTTATCATAGCAATTGAACCTCTCCTAATTAAAATTAATTCCCATAAAGAAATTATTGGCTTAAAAATACCACACAACAGAGAAATTAAACACATTAGTTATGCAGACGATGTCACATTGACTCTATGTAACAAAAGCTCTGTATATTCTGCAATGGATTTGATGACAAGATTCAAATTAGCAACTGGAATGAAGTTGAACATAGAGAAGACTAAACTTTTAAAATTAGGAATATGGAGCAATCCTAATTTTTTTTCACAAGTACCTGTTGTCTTGACTTTAAACATACTTGGAGTGGTGGTTTCAAATCATGATACCAGCGATGAAAACTGGCAATACTGTTTAGATAATGCAAAAACTGTAATAGATGAACTTTCAAATATTCCATTATCATTAGATGGAAAATGTCTGATAATAAAATTGAAAATTCTACCTTTGTTTTTATACTGTGCAAGATTATATCCCATCCCATTAAAAATTGCAAAACAAGTGAATGAAATTGTAGAAAAGTTTATATTTAATGGCAGAAACATATTGAAAATTGAGACACTGTGCAAAAACAAGGCTGTTGGAGGCTATGACATGATAAATATTCCTTTATTTACTATGTGTTTATATGTAATGGCTGCATTCGACTATTATTGTGATAGGATTAGTAACAAAATTGAGTATTGTAGACAATCAGTATTCAATATTATTGAATATAATATTGGACAACAACTTTGTTTATTACTTAATTTACCGATTAATAATAATGTGACACATGCTTTTTTTCCTTATAAATATTATGGAGAGTTGCTTAATTTTCTTAGACAATATAACATAACCGGGGATGATTTAAAACAAGGAAAACATAGGGTACTATATAATAAAATTGTGAATAAATTGAAGGGCGGAAACAGAATTGTATTTCTTCGTAATGGTACAATTGAAGGAGCCTGCTCTGAAATACATTGTAAGATATTGTCCAATAACATAAAAACTTTCAATTTTAAATTAATGTGGGATATTCTTTCTGTTAAAGTAAAGCCCAGAATTAAACATATTTCTGGGAATGATTTATGTGTGTTTTGCACACAAGAACCTGAGTTTGTTTCTCATTTATTTTGGAAATGTCCTTTTACGCAAAATGTTTTTGATTATATTTTTTCTGTTGCATTAAAAATCAATCATTGTGTACTGAATAATAATTACAAGACTTGTATTTTACTAGATTTAACTCACCTATGTTATTCACATTTGACCAAAATAGAACGGAATGCTATAATATTATTATTTTGCACTGCCAGACACAAAATTTGGCTTGAAAGGAATACAGTAATTTTTCAAAAAGTTAATCCAAATGTTAGCAATGTAATCATGAAAATTAAGAAGTCACTTATAGCAAGAAGAAATATAGAAAAGTTGAGACAATATCCTAATTTTACAAGAGAACTAGATATCATTTATAATAACTTGTGAATTTTTAACGATGTGATATATAGTATCAAAACTAATAGATATTAAAATTTTTTTTTAATAATTAATACTAAAAAATATAAATAATGATCAAACATTATGGATTATGGAAATTACATGATGGACATATCAATGGCAATGGGATACTATGGACAATACAATCAATGGACTGTAATGAAATGCTTTGTTATTTTTGTATACTTGGTTATTGTTGTTCATTTATTATTTTATGATTTTTATATATTGCATAAACCACATTGTGGAATCATAAAAAAAAAAAAAAAAAAAAAAATATTTCAATTATTTAGTAGTGGTATATATTTACGATTTAGACTAGTATTATTTCATACATTGCCTTTAGTAGTTTTTACACTTGTCTCTTTTACGTACATAGGCTATATCTGGCCTAACTTTTCTGACAAAGTTTAGTTGATAAACCGCTTTAACTGATCGGGTCTCTCTTTTTGATACCGGTACTGTACCGCAGTGTCACTAATGTCTGAATGTTACTGTAATTCAGTAATGGTAAGAAATGGATTTTAAAAAAATAACGAAACACAAGACTGTATTCTGTGATAAGTTGTTTGTTATAAATAGACTACCGGTACATGTACTGAATGGCGGAGAAGCATGCAACTAGCCAGCAGCCAACAAACAGATTTACGTGAACGTCTCCGATTAAGATTACTTCAATAGTGTAATATTTTACTATATTTCTAGAATTGGCTCGGCGGTGTGGCTATCGTGCTAAGCGTTAGAAATACGCTCGTCACCGCATCTCTAATTACCCTTCGTGGGTTCGCCGGTTCGAATCCCATGCAGGGATGATCATGTGCGAGAGCATTGCTGGACTCCTCGCCGCCGCAGGGTGGTTCACGTAACCACTGGTCGGTTACGGCTTCCTCCACCATTAAGTCCAAGTCAAGTCCATGCTTTCCAGAACAAATAACTGGCTATCTAATCCCATACCCGACCTGGACTGGTAACCGGGTGAGAGGCCGTGGTTCGCCATATGATTAAGCCGTCTTATCGGCTTTCCTCTCCCCCGGGATAAATATGTAAATCCTATCTTATCCTAGAATTAATGTTTAAATATAATTATGGTTGAAATGATAACGTGATAACTATAACACATTTGTGGCAGCCATTAAACTGCTCATGACTTCTTGATCATTAGTATGATGAAGTTCCGCGAGATATTACTGCCTGTGATCCTACTACTTGCATCTCTGTCAAATGGATGTGTTCTCAATTACCACACGTCATGCGGCTGCAGGAACAAGTCACGACAGTCCAAGATACAAGGCAAGAAAATGGACTGTCACAGAATCAATATTGCTGACATGTTTGCGAATGCGGAATTTCCAGACGACATTGTCTTACTTTCCATAGATCTTACTGATAATGATTTGAAAGAAATAAATAAAGATATTTTTGGAGAAAAACCTCACACACTTGAAATATTAAAACAAGTTATAAAGTTGGATATGTCAAACAATAAAATTTCAAGAATATCTCCAAAATCGTTTTCAATTTTTACAAATTTGACACGACTGAATTTGAGTTCAAACAGCATTGGACATTTATCCGCCGATATGTTTGAGGGTTTACCAAGTCTGGAAGTTCTGGACCTTTCCTTAAACATATTTCCCATAATTCCTGGAGATTCATTTTCGAATCTTCCAAAATTAAGAAAATTGTATGTGAAATCTACTGATTTTGTTTGCAACTGCCTTATGCATGATTTCAAAATCTGGATCGATACGAAAGACCCTCCAGTAAGAGTATATGGAACTTGTCACTTACCCCTAAGTTTGAGGGGACGTTCGCTTCGTAGCTTGACTCCGGATGATTTTGTATGTGATGCAAATAATACATTATCAAGTCTGCCCTATTTTGAAATAACACCGGATTCCCATCAATTAGTTTTTGAAGGTGATGAATTCTTTATGCAATGTGAAGGTACAAATTTGCCAACGTCTGAAATAACTTGGAGTTTCAATAGAATATCTATTAATCTGAGTGACGAAAACCTGATTGTAAAAAATGCAGCCATCAGCAAGTATGAACCAATTATTACGGGATTCTTACAGATAAAAAATCTCTCTAAGAATCACAGTGGAAATTGGAGTTGTATGGTTTCATCAGAACATGGAAGTGAAAATAGAGTTATCAGAATTATAGTCATAAGTCATAATTCTAGTTACTGCCCTAGAAGGGAAGTTGAAAATAACAGAGGTGACTTTACGTGGAACTCAACGGTATCTGGCATAACAAAGTCCATCAAATGCCCATTATCACGAAGTATGCCTGGTGAAATGCATATTAACAAGGCATATCGAAGCTGTTCCAGTGGGAATTGGTCATTGGGGCATTATGACCACTGCCCTTACAAAAGCAAGGCAACTAGATTGATACACAATTCTTTAAAAGATATTACATCACGTAATGCAGAATCTTTAGTTCAGGAGTTGATAAGGAATCTTGGCTTGCTTCAAGTTCCCACACCCATCACAGAATCTCTCACTGTCCAGTTAATCAGTCAGCTAATGGAAAGATTGATGGATGTTATGGTTCATGGCAACAGGCATGATTTGGGCGATGAAATATTGGGATTAGCAAGCTATGCTATGAATGCCAATGCATCTCTTTTAAGAGAGGCACAAAAAGCTTCTGGAGCGTGCGATAAAATTTTGAAAGTTGTAAGAAGCTATGCACTGAAAGGAACATCTTCTGCAGAGTTCAGCGATGCTTCTGAAAATATCGCAGTGAGTGGATTTATGATGGAGAGTAAGTCACAATATAATAAAGAAGGTAATGGATTGACATGTAAGGTTTCAAGCGGTATTAAAAACTTCAAATTTGAATGTAAGACATCTCAATTTAAACGCCAAGAAATGCAATCTTCTGTGTCTTTGCCAAAATCCCTTCTTAATTCATGTGGAGAAAGTCCAACTGGCCAATATAAGCTTTACTTCATTGCCTATAGAAATGGGAGCCTATTTCAACAAAAATTTCTGGATAGTATAGACAGCTTATCGAACACAACCTTTGGAAATTCAAACTCAATAACACAGAATATTGTTCTGGAAACTGGAGTTAGTGGTTGCAATGTTTCTAATCTCTCTGACCCAATTAGTTTCAAATTTAAAACTACTCACACAGGATCTCATGGTCCCGCAGTTTGGTCTCGAGATCGTGGTTGGGTAAAAGACGAGAGTTGTATAGCTTCGCCACAACGTTTCAACAGGAACTACACCTATGTTAGATGCAAGAAATTGTCTGTTGTAACGATATTATATGATCCATCTTCTGTCGCTGATTCTTCCAACCCATGGTCATTGGCAAATCTGGCACATCCAGCAGTATTTGCAGGCACAGGAATTCTCAATGCATGCCTCATTGTAATTATAATGAGTTACATTTGCTGTTCAAGTAAACTGAAAATATCGTCAGACTCTAGACATATGCTTGTTAACATATGTGGACATATGTTACTTGTCTCTTGTGCTTTTGCTCTCGGGATTTGGCGGGTAGATTACAAAGCTATGTGCTTGGCATGTGGAATCGTTCTACACTATGCATCATTGTCAATTTTGTTATGGATTACAATAAGTGCAAAAAATATTCACAAAGAATTGGTTATTCATAGTAGACCACCTTCTGCTGAACCAAAACCACCCAGACCAATGCTAAGGTTTTATCTTATTGGATGTGGGATTCCAACAGTGATTTGTGGAATCACAGCTGCTGCCAAAGTTCAAAATTATAGCGGTGATATTGGGAAGCACAGGGAGTATTGTTGGTTGTCATGGGAAACCAGTATTTTTGCCTTTTACTTGCCTGCTTTTTTGATAGCAGTGGTTTGTGTTATTTTGTTGATAAGAGTATTGTGTGCCCTCAATCAACACTCCAGACAAGATGACAGTCCCAGTTCCCCACTTGCACGTTCATCATGGCAAGGAAATACAAGAGTGGCAAATGGTGGAGATCGGTATCAAGCGATATGCAGTAGGAATTTAGATGAAGATAGTTCGCTTCATTATTCCACACAAGTCAACAATGCAGTAATCGGTGGTTCGGTGACATCGCCCAGTTTTCAAGTTTCTCGTTCGAATGAACAAAGTTTTAAAACTCAGCTTACTGGTGTTGCTTTGCTGTTTGTTTTCTTTATTATGACTTGGGTTGCTGCTGCATTGTCAGTTGCTGCTCCGGGTATGCAGGATAAATTTTCACATGAAGATCAATATGAAACTGAATTCATGGATTTTGCAATCTGGCAACAAGGATCAACTTCAACTTCTGGTGAAGTATTTTCATATGCTTATGCAGTAATGGCGATAATAATGGGTGTATTTTTACTTATACAGCATTTAATTTGTCGAAGAGATGTCAGGTCATCATGGAATTACATTTGTTCATCTTGCAAGCAAGCTAGAAAAGGATACAAAAGAAATGCCGATTTACAATCGCAAGCTACTTCAGCACCATTGAATACAGAAAGTGATCATTTTGATGCAGCAGGTGAACATGCAGATGATTTCCGTTCTTCGGTTCATGATAAAACATCTACGCCATGTGGAAATAAGAAAAACCAAAGGGAACATCAAATGTACACTGATAAAACAGATCCAACTACAATGGAGACTATTTTCAACTCTACAACAGTAGAAGATGAACAAATAGCTCACAATGGAAGTGTTAATTTCAGACAATTATCAAGAGATAATAGTGCTATTTCACCCCATAATATGCAAAATATGTATGAAAGTGGCCATTTACCTTGCGTGGACCACCAGATTGAGCGTGCTGCCAAATCCATTACTTCTATGCATAGTGGCTGTGTTATCAAACACTCTGATCATGCTCTAAATGCTAGTTTCAGAGGTCATTCACCCAGTCATGGACATTTGCACCACCCGTATTCTCACGATCATTGTATGGCAATGAATTCGAGAAGTTACATGGCAGATTCACACCATTACCATCATGGGTACCATAACCACCACACGGGACATCTTGGTCACACACACCAACAACATAATAAACCTGTAAAAATGACTAATTTACACATGACACATGATTCTAGCATGACGGAACATAGTTTTGATGAAATAGCACATAACAACATGCACACGATTCCTGTTGTTATGCAACATCACACACAGCCGAAAATTGACAATGCTTTGTTCTACAATAGATATCAGAGAATGAGAAAAGCACTCGAACACAAAAGAGCCAGACAGAAAAAACTCAACGTTCTTCGAGAATATGCTCAAGATCCCCTCACTAGTAATGAGGATATAAGTCAGAAAGAAGGCAATATCAATGAGGCGAGTCCACTAATACAATCTCCAGAAAAATCTGTGAATTGTAATGGAGTGGAAAGTACTGGGAATAATATGAATGGTATTGATAACAGTAGCGCATCAAAATACAGAACTCTTTTAATACATTCACCATCTAATAAAAAACATGACACACAAAAATCTCACAGCAAACCTAACAGAAGAGTGAAACGAGGAGAATCAAATGGTCAACATCGTCATCTTAAAGGTTTAGCAGCAGATAAAAATGGTCAAGCCACAAAGCGAGCGAAACAAAACATGAGACGCAGTCACAATTCTACTCTATCGGAAAGAGAAAGGGACACAACGTCGAGTGAAAAAAGTAGAAGCCGCGTCGAAGGAAACCTACATCAAGCAGAAAATGTCTCTACAAAGATAGATGATTCTTCATCGAATTTAACAACAGCTAATAACATTGAAAGGTTATCACCAGTTGTTGATAGTAGGACTAATGTTCCAGCAAAATCAGAAAATCATGGGTATTTAACATTACAGCAGTTACAAAATGCTAATCCTTTTTTACTTTATGATAAGACAGATTCAGACAGACCTATTGTTACGGAGACTCAAAATTTAGACAAACTAAATATTAACAAATCTAATAATGTAATAAATTCAGAGGAATCGGAAAAAGATTTGGATTTAATATTATCATCCCATGATGATACAATAGTCGACGATGACAATATTATTTCAGAAAGTAGTTTTCAATTGAAAGGAAGTACGAACACTGTCGGGTCACATTCACTTCCTCTCAGAAATGAAACGAGTGTATAATGCATAATTATTTCATGCTTTTTTTTTATTTTATCCCTCGTACCTGATTTATTATACTACATTTTTATTACATTTTAAACGAGATGATTATGATTTGAAATAAGAATACAATTACTGTTTTTTTTAAGTAAAATTTACTGTTTCGTGTTCAAATCATGGTTTGTCTCAATTAAATTTGGTTTGATATTTCACAAAATATATTCATTTCGATCTTGGAAGTTGGAATTCCATTGTACCCGAATATTCAGATACAGACATCCTTAGGGTAAAATTTTTGTATCTGAGTACTTAGCTGCTATGAGGAAAGTTTTTGTGGGATTGGGATTGGTAGTTGGTACAAATTACATGTCTACAGCGTATTAATTATAGCAGTTTATTTTGCCAATATTGTATAGCTACATTTAAGTTTTTTTATTTTGGTTTTCATATTAATTCATACATCATGTTTTCAAACATTTTTTTTTGACACATTGCATTGACATAACAGTATTTTTCTTTCGATGTTTTAATTTTGAAATCAAACTGGCTTACCATGATAGATTACACTAGACTTTTGCTTCGTATAATTAATGAGATAATTTGAGAGGTTTTCATTTTTGCGATGTTCTGTTAGTTTTGTATCAATGTTTAGCTAAGTTTCTCTAAAATACAAATACAATATTTTGTTGCATTTTCCAAAAAAAAAATTTTCTATTGTTTTTGGATTTTAAATATGAATAGTCAAAAAGTTAGGATTTTTATGCTGGCTATAGTTGCTGTTTTCTGAAATTGGAAATATTTAAAAAGTTTACTCAATTTTGGGATTTGATGCAGATTAGTTCAAATACTGCATGCTGGCTCATTGTAACGATATTGCCAATTTTTTCATGTATATTCCTTGCTGTTCTAATATCCAATTTAGTAAAATTAGGGTTACGCCACTGCATCAGAAAAATATTTAGTCTGTTTTTATCTTTGAATTTTGCTTCTACTAAATTCACTGGTGCTCTGTATGTAGTTCATGTTTCCTATATTTTTTTCAACTTCTCAATCACCCAGGTTCAAATTTGTTCTGTGAACTGCGTCAAATATGTAGAAACATTAATGAACCGTTTTATATATTTGAACTCCCATTGTTTCATTTTATAATTTTTATATTTGAAATCGCACTAGGTGCTGGACTTGATAATTTATTATGCTTTTATGTAAGTACCTCTCCATGTTACCTTCAATTTTATTAAATAAAATGCTTTGACTGCCTTGTTTCATATATGCTTGCTCAGTTGTTTATCATTTTCTCATGCACTTTCGATTGCTATATCGACGCATGAAATCCAAATTGGGCTAAGTCCATTTTTCTAGTTTTGAGAAAAACGCAAAAAACGTTTTTTTTTTGTTTCTTTTTTTTATTTCTCTAATACCTTACATCGAAGATGTCTAGTTTTTATGGTCCACCAAAGTTACAATGAAGGCCATATTTAGATGGTATAAAAAAATTTGTGCTCCGCCCCAATTTTTTTTGGGGGGGTTTTTTTTGGACTTAACCCTTTTTGGCTCTCAATTTTCTGGACCAGAAACAGTTTTATTGGACTTAGGGCCCCTTTATTATGTTATTATAGAGGCTGGTATGGACTTAGCGCTTTGTATTATATTTTTTGAGAGGAGCTATGTCCAAAAAACGGACTTAGCGCTTTGTATTATATTTTTTGAGAGGAGCTATGTCCAAAAAACGGACTTAGCCCCAACTTACAATGCAGTTATCCAGAGCTTAGTCCACTATAGTAGACACAGCTCTGTTTAGTTCTCAAATGCCCTAAAAAAAGCAGGTTTATGTCCATAGCTGTCTTGAGATCTAGAGCACCTAGAGATAAGGCAAATAGACCAAAATGTAGAGCTAAGTCCAGGAAAATCAGCAATTGAAAAATGTCATTTTTTGGAAAAGTGGACTTAGCACTGTTTGGTTTTGAGGTGTCGATATATTGAGTATCCTGATTACGGTGGCTTATTTCTCTATCTTTTCATATTATTTTTGGTATTTTTGCCAAGAGTTAAGAAAGTCAATTTTTTGTTGCAACATTAATACATTAATATGCTTGGCAGTGTATATCAATTGCGCCATGGTAGACTGAAAAAATAGAGCTAAAATATTCAATAAAGGGTACCTAATGAAACATATAATACATCTCTTTTATTGTTTGGCTATATATTTCAAAGATTTCCAAACAGAATAATTGAAATAAGACTCGATTTCATTTTGAATAGGCCTATACAAGTTAACAAGCATGCTTCGTCCATGTTATCATTTTGCTTCGGAATATATTTCTCAAAAATGTATCAATAATCAAGAAAAGATTCCTGAAGGCTATCAATACAACAATATTTTATTTAAGTTAACTTATGTAAAACTCACGCCACGAATTGCCATGTTTTTGTGCATAATCAATTTCCTTAAAAAATGCTTTGTATCACGGATAAGAAACATATGGTAATTCAAATCATTTATTAAACATTGAATTTCAATAAATTGAAGCAGTCTTGCATGGGCTGCTTATATATTGTATCATCTTAGTGCGATTTATGTATGATATATACTTGATAAGAATTAACTCATTACTAAGCAAATTTTCAGAAGGGATATTAGTATATTGTGGTTGATTTATGTTTCATATTCATAAATGTGGGATAATGTAAATTTTTGCCACAGGTTTTTTTACAATGTTGTTTAGAAGTTTCATAGCAATGCTATTGATTGTTGAAATGGTATTTTTGATAATCAAGTTTTATATTCCTTTAGGTATTATTGCTTTGCTATTTTTTGTGCCTTGAATGTTGGATTCGGATAAAATTTCCAATAGATTTTGCCAATTTGTTGAAATAAATAGGTCATTGTGAATTTTGATAATAAGTATTGAACTACAATATTTAATCGGTATTGCTCAATTTGCCAAGAAAAAACATGTGATAAAATATTAAAATATGTCATGTATTAAAGGAGAAAAGTTTTATTGCAAATGAATGTTAATCGTATTAACAAGATATAGATTTCATTTGAAACCTGAAATATTTTTGCACTTTTGTACGTTCAATTTTGTCTTTTTTCCACTTTTGTCTGGTTAAGAAAGGCTCATTTTTACCATGTAGAGACTTTAAAATTGTATCCATACCTGCGTTAAAGTTTGAAAAAAAAATAGATTTTGATAATTTAAGTTCTAGATTTTTTGTGTTCCTGATTTGTTGCAAAATTTTTGCCACTGGTTCATGTCATTCATATCTACTGATTTCTGTAAATTAATGATTGTTTGTTGTGATCTCTTTTGTGCATCATTTGTAACACTTTGCATTTGTTTTCTATTTTGTCTGTTGGTTCATATAATATTTGTTTTAATATTGGTAATATGTCAAGATAAAGGATTTGGTCATATATTTTATTTCGGTACTTTTATTGCTGTAGATTTGCATTTTGCTTTTATGTATCCACTGGAATGTACACTTCGTTTTTATTTGATAAAGAGCTCATAACAGTTACGGAGAACTGCTGTTATTGAGAAATGTATACCGTATGTACAAAGAAGTTAGTGATTTTATAATTCGCAGTTGTGCAGTATCCATAAATTAATCTGCTTTCTATGATAACTTGCACCACTGAACAGAATTTTATTTTTTGGTTTCAATTTTTTATGTCGTTATCTGCAGCATCAGCTTTAGATAAAACATGTATTATCTTTAACCCATGCCTAATTGTTTGAGGTTTTTGCAGAATTTTATGGCACATATTAAAATGCCCTCTTTCATTTTATAGAATATGATAAACTACAATATCCCCCTTAATAATGCAATTGGAAATTGGTTGGATAACCCAATCTGAAATGTATTTTGAATTTTCTTTTTGAATATCTTGAATTTACAACTACTGTAATTCTTGATGTTCTTAGTTTATCTTTCTGTACAGTTTTTTGTTACGATGTTAGAAAAAAATTATGTTTGGTTACTGCAAAGTTGGTAAAATATGTTTTTATGAAATTATATGATAGTTGTGAATTTATTTACCATGTAAAATTTAAATTGGTAAATTATTCACTAAATTTCAATTCGTTAACTAAAAGCTGAATACAGGTATCTCTGTATCACAAGGTGTGCTTTTATGTATTATTGTATAAATATTTTCTTTCAATTTTTATTTTTAAAATCATGCTGTAATAATACGTTATTAAGCTTTTATTAAATGATATTAATCGCTATTAACAATGTTGTTGAGTTTCTTTTATCTACACTACATCTGTCTAACTGCATTAATGTCTTTATATTGTTTTTACTACCTCTTTTGTATAAAATTTCAGGTTATTAATTAGGCCAGTTTAATATTAAATTATTTATTTTGTAACATGCTGTCCTGTAGTGACATATTCTGGGAAGATGCAACTGACTCTGAACCGAAAACAAAGCGTATAAGTGATAGAGAAAATAGAAGGTCAAGGAGAAAGAGTAATGATACATCTAAAATACGGAATCATACGAAAAATATCACTGTTAATAAACAAGAGAAAACACCTTTGAAAAATAAAAGTAGTACTAAAGTACAGAAGTCAATACTGGTACCTGAAAAATTGGTGGAAGGTGGAGATAGTGTTATTAAAAGCGATGATGGCGTTACTCTCAAAGATCTCAATCCCCAGGATAAACAAAGAATTGCTCACTTAATACAAGAACTCGCAAAAGTTGGAGAAGAAAAAGAAAATATTGTTCTCGCCCTCAATGATGAGAGACATAAATTTGTCATGCAAGTAAGACAAATGGAGGAAGAAAAAAGAGCTCTTATGAGTAAGCAACAATTTTTAGCGGAAGAGGTAAAACAATGCCAAACATTGCTTCAATATTATCAAAATTTAATCACCATGCAGCAGACCACACTTCTTGCCAGGGAGGAGTCTAAAGCACAGTCAGAATCTTCGACAAATTATGAAAAACCTGTAGAATCATCGTCTCAGATGACGGAATCCATTATAACTGGCACTGATGAAGTAACATCAGATGAGATCAGAGTGAATGATGCGTATGACGAACATACTTCTAATTCAAGTTTAACAGAAGATGATGTGTTGCAGATGACCGATCAACAATACAAATCATTTTTGAAAAAGAAAAAGAGATTATTAAAAAAAGAACAAGAAAATTTGCGGAAGTTACTTCTCATGAAGGAAGGCCAAGAGCCAGAGTTAAATCAATCTCCACCTGTTAGAAATTATGTGGATAAATCAACCGGCCCTCCATCCTCGTTAAGGAAAAAATCAATTCCCATACAGACTCTATCTCCAATTCCAATGAAAGAAAGCGTATCTTATATCTCTCCATCCAAAAGTATCAGTAATTCAACTCCTCCAAAAACTTTGACATCTTCTAATTCAAGCAACAGCACTTTGCAGCAAACTAGAAACTCACCGGAACAAATTTTACATTTGCTAACTCAAGACTTAGAAACTGATTCTCTTTATGTTACAGAAGAGTTGTCGCGTTCAAAACTACCTGCACATCCATCCATGCAAGAATCAAATCTAAGAACATCCATTAATGTTAGTACATTACAGAGCGCATTGCCATGTGATGACGATTCCCAAATATTGCAAGATATATTTTTTGTTTCGTAAAATCTTTCGTTTTATATTTATTTATTTTTTTCATTTACGTAGCTGCTAACTTAGAACCTTTTTGCAACATTTTAGCCATGACTATTATTTAAAATCAACTAAAAATTTAGTAAAGGGAGGTTCTTTTTTTGTAATAAGTCAAAAGTATAAGTTGAATTGTTAGGTTAAAAGGCAATAACTAATAAAAGACTATTAATTGTGATTGAATTAGTCCAATCGACATCCAAAATTTAGGATTTTTAAAAATTGGATTTTTAGAGTGTTAGAAATCAAAATGTACTTCAAAGAAGAACTTTTAATTATATGAAAACTTACCGCAAGTATAATGTGACAATACAAAATAGTGTATGGTTGGTCTTGTGGTCAATTACGAGTTCCTTTGATTCATTTGACACGATTACTTACTGTACTATTAATTTAGTATTTATTTAATAAGCCTTAAGGCAGGTTGCCTTCTTTTTTTTCCAATCGTTTATGACATTATTAACACTAGTAGGCTTGTACTATAAAATTCTTTTGGGTTGGCGGTATAAGTGATGTAGGGTTTTTGCAGATTTAATTTGAACAATGCCTAATCAGGATGGTCGAATGGACTTTATGGTTAGATAAGTAAGTGGGATTGCCATTGTGATTAAAAATGCTATTGAAGATATAAATAGAAGAAATAGAATATTGGAATTATTGTTTCAAGAAAATTAGCTATTTGAGCAATATTATGATTAGTACTTACGATTACCTTGGGAAAGAATTTATTTTTGGTGATATGAGACCTGGTTGTTTGTGTTTTAAATTTGTTGATAAAAATTTGCTTCCGATTGATGCCGGATTATGAAATTGGCCATTTGTGTAAAAATATGATCATTGTCAAATTGTCAATTTCTTTGGTGGAAGGGTATGAATTTCATCATATTTTTGAGTTGATATCAATAATGGACCAATTTATAATATCAGGGATCGAAAAATATGGCATGCATGGATGAAACGTCCAGCTGTGGATATTAAACTTTTTCATAATTATCAATTACACAATTTTGCTTCATATTAAAACTTTATTAGTAAATGAGTATTTCAAATTCACGAAATTTGGCGTTCTGGATTGTTTGTCTGCAATGCATTCCGATTATAGAAATGCAGAATTACGGTATGTATTTGTAATCATACTTTACTTTTTGACTTATTGGGAATGCTAATTGAATTCAAGCAAGTAAAATTTTTGTTGCAATTGTTATATCTAGACCTGTTTTTTTATTACTATTTTACCACCCATGCATATTCCAAATTACACATGAATTCTGTAATAATCGGCGTAATTTTGATGTCCCTCCTAACTGTATGTGCTTGTAATACATTGTGTAGTGTCTGTTCAATTGTGATATTTATTTATTTTCTTAGAAAATGGCTATTGTAAACTAACGAAATATTACACTAAAGTTTTTGATTGAAAACTTGTATATGATGAACAGTATGCCAGACCTAAAAAGCCCAAAAGCAGCTAAGGTAAGGTCTTATGTTTTGTTTATTGTTGCTGAATACTTGGTTGAATGTATTTGATTGTTTTTTTTGGTATGTTAACCACAAGAATGTTCGAAGCAAATGTGAAATTTGCTTGTTAAAAATTATCGCATACTAATCTATTGGGGTACGTGCGTTCCTGCATTCTATTTATTCTAGTTCTTATGCAATGGCGTCCAGAGCAAATCGAACATTCAAATTATTTCAATATTTATTATATTCGATATTTGTAATTTGTGAATATTTTAAGGTATTCTAAAATGATTATTTTTATAATGTGTTCTTTGTTGGACATCACCCAATCTAGAATAATTTCCATCATTAGTATTTAAAAATATAATTAAGGAAGTAAATTATTCAATTACTCAGTTTCAGCCACCCCTAGTTTTAAATTTAAGATAACACTTCAACTGTTTTAGCTAAATTCAAGATATAAACTATTTTACTTACTAATATTAATTTACAGGTCAAAATCAAAACTCCAAACATTTATCCAAAGCTCACCGCATTGCCTCTGAGACCACCTCCAAATGGATATACATTACCACTCAGTTTGACAAAAACAGAACTTCTAGGTTTTGCATATCACAACAATCCAAGAGCACAATATATTGATGATTTAGCATCTCGACTTAGGAAGCAAATGGAACAGAGGAATCTTGAAAATTTTACAAGATTGAATGAAGAAACTGGAAAACTTGAAGTTGATGTTCCTTTGAACGCAGACACGCCCGGCATCACATGTTTATCTTCATCGAAAAGTCCTGAAAAAGATTTTCACACTGCGATAAAAAATCGAATTTTTGAATGCATGAGGCATCATGCTAATTCAATGAAAAATAATTCTCAACAACAAACACAAAGTGTTATATCAGAAAAAGCAGTTCTCCCTGAAACAGAAAAGGAACATACTGCATCAAATACGCCTCAAACGATACCAGATTCTTCAAATCTAACTTCTGAACTTGGAGCTAGAACTGTAGTTGTCAGGTCAGAGGCGGCAGAAGAGAACAATGTTACTAAAACTTCAAAAGAAGTTTCTGCTGTCGATGGCGTGAATGAAGGAATGTCTAGCAGTTGTGCATTTTTAAAATCAATTTTGTGTATAGATAACGGAAAAAAGTTTCAATCGGATCCTAATGCCCCTGCAAACAACGCAATGTACCAACGACCGGAAGATGCAGGTAGGTCAGTAGGGTTTATACGATTTATATTGGATCCCTTCAATTTCCCCCAATAGAAACTATACCCAAGAATGCTCGTTAATAGATGCTCGGATCTTGGTTTATATTTGTTTGGGGGGCACTAATGTTTGTCAGAAAATTTTCCATCCTGACGGAAGACTTTTGTTCATGATATTGGTATCCCTCTAGCACCAATGAAACATTTTTGAACCAGTTGTTTTTTAGCGGGATTCTGCAGCAGTCAAATGAAAAGAAATTGTTGTGTGAGAAATTTCTTTTACAAAATATTTCCCAATATCAAAAATGCAAATAGATCAAATACAACATTCCATGGGTGTACTGATTAATGTTTATTAATAAGTTGTTTTTGATGGTTTGCTTTTTTAAATCAGTTTCATATTTATTCAATGGCATTTTACTAACAATACTAATGATTAACATGCACTTTTAACAAATTTATGTTTTTAGCTGAACTACCATTTTCAATCTTGACGATTCGAGATCAACGCGAGTATTTGAAACTCACTGGAGATACGTTTGTACAAGATGCTCCATGTCATGAAATATCAAGTATGTTGATAATAATTTCATAATTGTTTATTTTTCAACTTCTTCGTGTCCAAATTTGAAATGCCAATTTGAACATGTAAACGATAATTTCCCATTCCCATAAAATTGAATAAAACAAATGAATTTATTTCATTTTTTGTCACTAAATCGCCACAGTAAAAATAAAGTAGCTAATATCACATTTTCAGAAATTGATTGTTTTGATCCTCTGTCACAATTGACAAATGCATCTTTTGGTCTGAAATCCAAAGCTATACCTGTTTTAGTTTTGATTTTTGGCAGTGCCTTATGTATTTTTTCAGGTTTGGCTTTTTGAACCAAACTAGCTTTTGTCTATCTTTTTTGACACAGAAGCTAGTTTATGCTATGATCAAAAATGAGTTTCTGTTACGAGCTGAAGGACATAAGATAGTCAAATGTATGATACTCTGAACATTTGAAAATAACGAGATGTACAAAGTAGTAAAATTATCTATATTCACAATGGCTTTGTTACCTTTATTTTGTATAGGAATCATTAGTCATACTTTCAATTTATTTGCACAAATCTTGTATAGAATTCTTTCGTTAGACCGTGTCAAGTAGCAACCAAGCATAAGTAACTCAAGTGTTTGTTATGGTAGATTGATTTTCACTGCTGGTCAGTGTTCACTATTAGCGCACTTTTTTGCGAAAATTGCGAAGCACTTTCGCAACTTTTTTTAGGGACTGCGAAATAGCACTTTTTTCCGATTTTGAAGAGAAATAGCACTTTTTTTCGATTTTGAATGGAATAAAAATTCAAAGTTGACAAATGTTTTTGTGTGCGTATCAAGTTGACAAATAAGTAACATACTAGTACTTTTGTAACTCAATTCTGCATATCATAACGATATTTACCGGAATTCTAACCTATGTGGTGAAGACATGGAAGATAAAGCTTTTGCATTAATGGCAAAATTCTTGTTTATAATATGATTATTATACAAGCACACCGATTCCGCTTCGACCGCGAAAACGCTCGGCGGCGTCTTTGAAACCAGATGTCCGAATGCAAGGCAGTGCGTTTCTCTAAACGAGAGTGGTCATGTGACTGTCAATGACATCGATGAATTGTGACCAAAGTACACGATTTTCTAGTACTGGTTTGACAGGTCTGTGTTTTCTTCTTAGTGAATTTACTGGAGCCATTCAGAAATTTCTGATACTCGACGCGACATTGTTTAGTAATGGAATGTAAACTTGGGCCATTGTTTGTTAAATTAGAAGAAACTTTTAGCAGCATCTCACAGATTTGCAAAATCGCCAAATTGACAAAATACATACCTCGTATTAACATTTAACAGCCATTTTATTGTAACCACGAATGTTAAAAGCAAATGGCGTTTCGCGGAATTTTGCGATATTCAGTATTAGCTAGTCTAGTCATTCACGATAAATCAAACTCAGACCAGGGTCAAAAATCAATCTAAACTATTTCCTCATTAATATGCGAGTAGGGGTGGGCAAAATCGAATATTTTTTCGAATTGAATATTTTTAACGAATAAGAAATATTTTTTATGCACAGCAGGAGTCTAGAACGTCGGTCGAAAAATTAGCAAGGAAGCCTTTTCTACTGGTTAATTTCGTTATAATAGCTAATTGTTTTTGTCACCGCAATCGTTTTGGCGACTATATCCTGGGTTTGGCAATCCAGGCTTACGCGTGCGTTCACATCGGCAACAGCTGTTAAGGGCATCAACGACAAATTTCAAAACCAAAATAAACATTTGCGTTGACTTGATATTACTTATCAACGTTTGTAAATTTACTGTCCCAATTTTAAGCGAATGGTATTATTATTATCGATGCCGGAATGCAAATATTTAATACGATAATTAACTTTTATAATTTTTTTATGGTGTCTGTATTAATTTACAGATAAATCTCGCAAATCTGAGATTGTACCAATCCTGAATGTTGATTTAAAATTGTGATTAAATAATTCTGCAATAAAGGCATTTCTGCGTGGCCATAGGACGAGATGACTTTAATAAACAGCACTTCTTTAAGGATATTTTACATATGCGACTAATGCTAAAAACATTGGGCTCGAGTGCTCTGGTGCCTAATCAGGCGCTAATTGCAACTAATTCAACTCAAGTTTCAACGACTTTTTTCATCTTCACGATATGTTATCTTTTTTTATTCGGTACTGATAATGATAAATAAAAAATGTGTAATTGTTGATTGCAATTCCGGAAAACGAACGAATTTAACCGCGGTTAACCGCGCATTGGAAAGCAAAACACAATTTATTAACATTACTTTACAATGAGTTACGGGTAAGAATTAACCAGACGGCTATCGCTAACATGTAGAAACAATAAATTTGAAACGATTTTGTATAAAGCGTGTCAACATCGTTTTTGCAAATTTAGAAACGTCGATAAGTAAGACAAGTAAATAATGTATTTTATGGAACTTTCATGAGATATTGGTGAGAAATATTATTTTGACCATGTCGAAATGCCATTATTGCCGATTTATTCACGTGTTTAGTTACTATCAGTGTTTTAACCCAAAGCTGAGTTACGTAAATACTTAACACTGAGTACTCAAGAGATAACCAATTTGCGGAGTTTTTCAATTATTATTTAATACGAAAGTAACACAGACACGATCTAAAATTAAAAGCATAGAAATGTCAACTATCTGCTTCACAAATATCGCATCCCGGGGTCAGTAATAATATTATTGTTCGCTTAAACTCGGGAGGGTAATTTACGAACTGATACAAATCCTACACAGAAGATAAAAATCAGAACAAAATCAATTTTCGTTGTGAATGCGCTCATTAATAGTTGTCTTTAAAATCTTCGCCGATGTGAATTCACAATTCTATCCGAAATATAAAAACCAAACTACGATGTCCGCCGTTACGTAGAATTAATATTTGCTAGTGAATAAAAACATGCTTTAATATAGTTTAACAACACGATCGCGGCGACAAAAAATTTACTGCAGCCTTCGATTATGACAAAATATGAAATAATCATTGAATGGCAATAAAAATTTAACTTCATTAACAATAATTCTCAAGTAATAGTTTCACATTTTCATGATTTTGATCGTCGCTACATGCGAGCGAGTTTCTGTACATATAAACCATGATGACACTACTGACATCTGCGAGTTATAGATTTCTCCAAATTTAATTTTCGCGATTTTTAATGTTTCACTTTTAGATGCGGATGCCCGTTGACTACGGATAAATGGTCGATGTTTAAAAATAGGACTTCGGACCGTTGGGCAAAGAAAGCGCATTACGTCGTCGCGAATTGCAGTTTTGGTGTAATGTTTTAACTTCCCCCTAATCTCCCGTTGAAAAAATCCTGGCTGCGCCCCTGCCCGGTGATAATTCTAGCTAAAATGTTACAATTTTATTTACGGAATTTGCAAATTCACCATTTTGATAATCACGCCCTAATTATTGGTGCAAAAATACTCAAAATATCACGAATTTAATCATTTCCGATGTTACTAGGCGCAATTCATGACGGCGACAGTGTGCGTTGTTACATCGAAATTCACGATTGATTTTACGTTATACTCTTGTTCACGATTTCAACACTCCACCCGCCATGCATGGCTGAGTGGAAGGTTCACATTTTCGAAACATTACCTGGCCAAGGATGGGAGGGATCACTAACGAGCTAATTGAAAGCACATTAAAAGGATTATGACTTGTCATTTTTTTCTGGTTATAGCCTGTACATGTTATACCATGTGTGGGCTCTCGGAACGTCAATTTAACTTTTAATTTTCGACAATCAATTGTATGTGCGGCTCCTACATGAAACGGTAAATTCATGCTGCCAATATACGGAGTTTGAAATCTGGGATATTTATTTCGAATAGTCTATTTATTTTGACTCTTCTAAAATTAGGAAGCTTTGTTGGTACCTTTTTTGGTGCAAAGTATGAAATTGAAACGATACGAATATTTTGCCCAGTCTTATAGGCGAGGTTATGATATTAACGCAGAGAATATTTGTAAGCATATCACTGGATGGAAATATTTTGCACCAAGACTGTTTGCAGAAGTTGATTTATCGAATACACGGAAAGTATTTATTTATCATCTCACTTGCGAACATCGGGGTTTGGGCGGAATTATACGATTATGTTGTTGTTCTTAAATAATAACTTTTTCGATGAATGTTTATTTTACTTTTGTGTATTAATTATGATATGTTGAGTTTTCGTTTATTTCAAATTCGAAATTGTCGGGAATACTCAAACAGGTGTAATAAGTGTAATATTGATAGTATAGTGTAATCGAGTAACTAACTTAGAAGTCTTTAGAGATGTCTAATGAACTTGATGTGTTACGGGTGTCGTAACCCCCGTTTTTTTTTTTATTAAATTTGATTGTTCTACCTTCCGCTTATAAAACAACATCGTTATACGGTCATCTAAGGTAACTCTCGCGACCAAATCTTTTTGTTCTGTATGGCATCACCTTAGCGCCATTTATTACCGACTGAATTTTAATTGTGATTTATGATAAGTTATTTTCTGTTAGTTGGCGCTGATAACGTGGCTAATTTCTTTATAAACATTTTTAATATGTTTAATTTTAAAAAAATATGTTCCTTACGTCTCTGCTATAATTGACAAGCGATAGCACAAGATTCAGCAGCAAATGATAAGCAAAGCTATTTTATAATCATGGGTTGCTTAATAAAGATTTGCTAATTATGGCAGGATATAAAGAACATGGCCTGAAATATATAATCAACAGAACGATGTTTATTTTTCAGTCGACGAAAACCCTTAATAATAACGATTGCCGAAATCGCGAAAAAAATGAATACGGATTTTCGATTGTGATCAGATGAATGAGAGAGCACATGTTTTTTTCTCTGTTCAAAGCAGATATAAAACGAATACCATGTTGCCGAAAAGCGGTTACGTGTTATCTTTCTTTAGCCAATCAAAATAGTGGTAATGGTATATACAAGAGGTTTCTAAACTTTACAAACTCGGAACGCAATTAATATTAAAATTACAAGTAATGGTGCATGGAAAAACGAATTTGATTTTATTGAAATTGAAACGCACACACATAAGAGTTTTATATTTCATGCACAACTAACCGATGCTACATGTGAGATTTGTGCACATGAACGATTATATATCGCGATTATTTATGTGAGAATGCGTACTTCTCTTTCAACTTTAATTTCCAGGATTTCGGCGTTCATGTGGTCGACTAAAAAAGATTTATCAAATGGATTGGTATTTCGCGTCACACTCAAAATTATTTGGGAACCACTATCATGTCATTCGTTTATTTTTACATTCATGTTTTTTTCAAGAATCACCCTGTTGTATTTCCTGTACCTTCGCAAAGGAAAACTCTTTGGTGTCATCATTACTATTAGTGTAATTGAAAGTGGCGTTGAGATGCGAATATTTCATACTAGGTCTGCAGCATTAGAGAGAGCGTTATTTATAAATGCTGGGAGTACATGGCATTTCTAAAAAAAATTGCAAATATATGATGTTTTCTACCCGATTTGAACTAACTGGCACGCAAACCAATGCAAGTCGATATTTGAAAATTACACGTCTTAGCGTAATCCGTGAGACAGTATAATATAAATTAGGCCAAGCTAGCTCATGAAAGGGATTTCAAAGTGATCTTGCATAATATTTCGGAAAAAAAATCTTCGATAGAAAGTAGGTCACTCTATCTATAAAAACAGCGGTCCTTTCATGGTGATCTTGCGTTATTTCCCAAAGAAAAACTGGCCGGAGAAACATGACGTTAACCAATCTCTTAAAAGGGAAGAGGGCGGACTACTTTCAAGCATATTCTTTCGGACGAGGAAGCGTGTTATACTAAAGCGATATTGGTGATGGGTCATGGGGATGTCATTTTGCCCGGGTTTTGTACAAATGATCCCCCTCCCTAGCTATGGCCGGTAGTAACTAATATCTGCATGTATCAATCGGTGTCTGTTAGATGGAAGAAACAAGTTTGCAAGGCTTGTCTGTTCAGGCGGGAGTGCGCTTCGTTACTGACGCTGGTGGTTGATTGCACGAAACTTTTATTCCCGACAAGTGTGCTTATCAGGTGTCCTTTGATGAATTCGCTTGTTTTTAACAAGAGTTTAAACGAAACTCCGTTAACGGAAAGACTTCAATTCACAATATTAACGCAAGGAGCGCTTTTTCGAGTATCTATGCTGTTTGAAATGAGTTTAAACGAAAGCTAGGGCACCTAACTAGTTAAAATCAGAAAAAAGCACTTTCGCACTTTTTTTTTCGACTGCGAAGCACTTTCGCACTCATAATTTCCTTAGAGTTAACACTGCTGCTGGTGTCCTATTTGCCCTGCTTCTTAGGTTCTGCTGGATTCTAGTTTCTGACATTTAATATACATTATGACTCTCACAAAATTGTCCACTTATCCTTTTTGGCATGAATTGACAATATCAAAATTGTTGGGTTGAAATTTTTTTTCATTGGCAAACCTTGAAACTTGGTCACTAATTCAAGCACTAAGGGACCAAATGACCAGATTATCAGATATTAGTCTCTTCAGTCCAAGTCTTTTTATGCTAGCTCTTAAAATTGCAACTGGTATTGAAATGCAGTCAAAACGATTCATTTGTTTGTTTACTAAAGATGTATTTCTTTAGTTGGTTATCGAATAATGTCATGTTTAAAAAGAAAAATCGAAAGTAATATGAGGCACTATTAGTGAAAATTTTCTTCATATTGTATTATTTGATAGGTGTATAAATAGTACTGTATGCTATTATTATACTGTGCAATTTTTTTGATTTTAAAAAATACTAATCAAACTCAAGTCATTATGAACAAGATTCTGGTAAATGGTGCAAAAAGCAATATTTCCCTCCAGTCATGATATACCTACATGTGAAAGGTTTAATAATTAAGTAAACTTGACTAATATCATTCTTTGACATTGTTTTTTCTGTATCTTTGTCTAATCTTAGAAACGCTTTTGTAGTGAGATATAGCCCTGAAGAATGAGGTATTTCAGCCATTTTTAAGTAGACTCATTGGTGCTTTGTTTTTTAGAAATGTATGGAGTAGAGATGAGTGGACCCATATTTGGTGAAGATAGTTGGTGCAAATGTAGAGAATGCAGATCAGCAAAACAAAATGAAAATATGGCTGTGTTTTGTAGATTCTATGGTTTCAGAAAGTGAGTACTTTTTTATTCTAATTTTTGGAGCATTGTGAATTTTATTCCTTAGAATTTCGAAGTCTTGTTTTACTTTAACCTTCAGGGCTACTTGCATTCGTTTTCTTCATCCTTTTTTATTGTTTTTTTCTCTTTCTATCTCTAAAAGGTTTAGTTTAATGACTTTTAAGCTGTAGTTTCTGTACCATAATTACAAATTCAAGTTGTCTGATTTAGTTTTTCATAAAATAAATGCAACTGGAAATAATGATAGTTTTTTGCAATTCATTAAATGAATTAGCAAAATCAACTATATTTCCATTTGAATTCTGTACCTTATCTGTGTTTTAAGTTTCTCAATTATTTGTTTACCTGTTTCTTTAGTACACATTATTTACTTTGGAATAGTAAACACTCGAATACTGCTCACAAGTAGGAGTGTTCACACTTGGATATTTTGCTGTATTGGAATTCATTCCTATCTGTAAATTCTGTAACGCATTTGGTTTTATCAAATTTCTATGATATATTGCATAATAGAATTCATGTGAAATATAGGAATGATAAATGATTCTGAATTCTGATTATTGGAATATGAATTCTTTTAAACAAATCTTTTTGGGAATAGTGTAAATGTGCAATGTCATGAAAAATGTAATACATGTTGTAAATATTTTTATTCCAGTTCATGATTTTGATACATATAGATTGAATCAAATTTTATATTAAATAATTGAAATTTCATTGATACAATAGCAATTGCTATTAGAAAATTTTAGTTTTCACATATCAATGTTTTAAATTTATTTGATAAATTTTCAACTTTTTCCTATTTGCAATTGAAATTATTTTTCATCTGTTCATCACAGATTGAGGTTTAAAGATAAGCTGTTATGTACATCTGGCTTTCTTCTTCCTGAAGAATGCACAGAAAAAGATCTTCAATTATGGCTGCCTCAAAAACCTTGCTTTTGGGAAGATACCAAAGACTGTACAGATATTTTAAGTCCAAACGATCCATTGGACGATACCATGAGTCAATTTCTACTCACACACATAGCAAAAAGATTCTGTAGTATTGTTATTCATGAGAAAAAAGCAAGATCATGGGTTGGAAAAGACGGTTAGTTCACTTTACAAAACTATTCAGGATTTAAACAATTACTGGGCCCTGATATATACTGATTTGTATTATTAATAAGCTTATTTAAGTTTGTCTATAAGTGCATCATTGTATGATTTCCTTGCAAATTCAGAATTAGTTTTGAAACCATATTCTTTGCTTTGCTAAAAAAGTTACGTTTTATACTATATATTATGGTTGCGGGCGCAACTTGCTAGTGGTTATGAGCATGCCGGATTCGCCTGATTGCAACACCAATTCGCAGGTTCGAATCCCTTGGGAGATAAGTATGTGCAATAGATTTGATGAACTCATAGTTGTCACAGGGTGGGTAACTTGACTGCTGACTTGTTAAACTTTTTAAACTTGAAACTTTTTCCAACTGGTGTTGAATTTTAATGAAGCCAGCCTTTTGACTTTCTTCTCTAGGTTCTTTAGAAATTCAAAAATCTGTTTCTGAAACTAAGCATTTATTGTAAATTAGAAATTGGTTAGCCTATCCCTGACTGGCCAGATGAGGTCTTTTCAGGTATTTTAGCTTCATGCATATTTGAAGAAGAATTGAAATACATTGATTTAATTGGATGCCCCCTTCTCCCCTGCCCCACTTACTTATTGTTGCCCGCAGTAATTACTGAATATGAATGAATTCAAATGTCATTAACTTCACATAGCTCTGAATTTTGGTCAAGGCAAGTTTGCGCATATACTCACCCAACCATTTGTAAAGGAGACTTATTTTTATGCAAAAAGTGACAGTCACTGAAATTCTAAATGCTGTTGAAACTACGAAATTATGGCAGTGAATTATGCACCAATAAATGCCAACTTATGCTTGATCAGGAAAATTTTAAGTCAATATGATCAAGGAAGCAATTGAGAGATAGTGAATTTGACATGACTGGAATTCCCTGAGACAAAAATGTAAATATACTAATGTAAAATTAGATTCTAAATCGAGATTATGAATTGAGTTCATTGGCATGCAAATTGCCTGGTTAATTTGGTTTTGCATTCGACTGATTGTATTCCAATCTTTTTAACAGAACAAATATATTGGAAAAGGCCTGTTATAAGTGTCAGAGAAATGTGTGATGTATGTGAAACAACATTATTTAATATGCATTGGGTTTGTCGGAAATGTGGATTTGGTATTTGTCTTGATTGTTATGAAAGGAGAATGGAGAAAACAGAGTCAGGTTGGTACAGAGGACAAATGTTTATTAATAATTTTATTTAGAATTTAAAGCTGTTTAAAATGGTTTTCATATATTAACTTGAAAAGATGAGCGAAATTGCTTTTAATTACCGTATATGATTTTTACATTTTTTTGTCAAAATATCACAACTTTTTGATTTGCTCAATGCAAGATTCTACACTCAATATGAAGTGGAGGATACTCATCTCTGAGCAAAGTTTCAGGCTTCTACTGAAATGTCAAGAGTTACTGCAACTATTGAATTTATTTTAAATTTGAATGAAAACCAAAAACTAATTGCGACATAGTTATTGTACAGTTGTAGTTCGATAAGGCATAGCCACATTCATGATTCTTGATGGCAAAGGATTTTGAAAGATGACATAATATAATATGTGATTTTGGTGCATAAAATAACTACCGGTACATCAAAGAATTATTTATTATATCTGAATGAATTTTACGAGACTCTAAACTAACATTACCAGTAAATAATATATTTTATAGCAAACAACGATCTGTCCATATGGGTAATTATGGCTTTAACATCACTATGATTTCAGTGAAGGCTATTGACAAATTAAATGAAGATATACTGTGAAATTATATTATAATATATATTTCTATACAGAACAAGATGTTTATGATTCTGACAAATCAAATCATTTTCGATGGTTGAGATGTACTAAAGGAAAAACTCATTATCATTCAGAGATGCTTCCAACACAAATTATACCAAGGTTAGTGATGAGTTCAGACTTACTCAGATACTATTGATGACGAAACAAGTGTGAAATATTCCATTACATTCTTTATCTTTGAGAGGAAATACATGATGACAAACCTATAGACATATGCTTGATTTCAATATTGATCAGGTTACTTGGCCCTTTCATACTATGGACCTCTTATTGGATATCTATCTTGTGTGCAAATAACTTCTAAAATATGTGTCTGAGCTAAGTGTCTTAGTTATGCCAGAGCATAAGCTTGGCGAATCAAATATGGTCTCAGTGAAGTGTAAGCAATGCTCCATTTTAAAAGGATACAATGCGATAGATATTACTTTGGCTCTTGGAAAAGCGCCAACATTACATACAGACTGTTGTTTGTAATAAATGAAAGTTAAAATTATTGCTCTGTTAATCAGCAAAAGCATGACAACCATTTCCTAATGAATTTTCCCAATAATGCTTTATTAAACCAAAACTGTCAAACTAAATTTAAATGGATTGCAATATTACTTTGAAAAGGGAACCTCAAGATTCTGGTGACTGATTCAATTTGAGGTTGTCATTGGTATCCTCGGTCTGTCTCGAATCAGTATCCTCGGTAGCAAATTCAAAACTAAGCAAAGCAAAAAAAACAGCTACCGGTAATCTCTATTTTGTATATACCAGTACTTGATTTTCATCATTTCTTGTCAAGTGTATGGTAATGATGGTTAGCAATGTAATTTAATCTTTACTACTGTGAATTCTAAACTTATTGTTTTTCTACTTTTTTAGTACGTGCCTCATAGATCTTGGTAATATGATGCACGATATTTGTTCTGCTCGTAATATTGTATCTTCATGTCCATGTGAAAAGAAGACGTACTCGTCTATGGAGATTCTCATGAAGATTCATAAAATGCGTAAGTATGAGTTTCCACTGAATCAATGTACCTAGATGCCAGTATGAATTGTTTTCAACTACCGGTAACTATCAACATGCGAAATTTGGATCTTAGTTTTAAAATCGGCTCGGTAGATGGTGAATTGCGCTGGGCGTTGCTTGCCACCTTACCTCTGATTACCCTGGGTTCGCAGGTGTGAATCCCATGCAGGGTTAATTATGTGAGAGATGTTTGCTGGACTCATCGCCGCAGTGGGTAATACCATACCCGACATGGACATGGACTGGTAACCGAACAATAGGCCATGGTTCGCCTTATGATTAAGATGTCTTATCGGCTTTCATCTCCTCCTGGAATAAACATGTAGGCTATATCCTATCTCATCCTAAAATGCCACATTCAGAAATGGCAATCATAAATCAACTTACTATTTTAAATACTCGAAATAAATCAATTCGACAGAAATGATGATAAACATAATTTTGATTGATTTTTTGGTTCACAATGTCATTAGCTTAATGAAGCTTTTCCAAATTCTTACTAAAATCAAGAATCTACTAATTGAAATATAATCAATTACAAATGTATTCGAATATTAATTAGTTTTTGATATTTTAGACCATATTATTCAATTTAAAAGTGTTTTTTTCATTGGACAACTTTATGCATATTGAATTTTTCTGTAAAATTGTTATACAAAATTAATCTGGAGAAAACATAGCCTATAATGCATTGATAATTCTTTGAATCTATTAATTCTATTATTTAATCACCTTCTGAATATTGTTGTCATTTCAGAGCAAAAACAATCTGTATCTTCCAATCCTGAAACTAATTCTTCTGCAGAAGAGCAGCCTACAGAGGAAACAAGCAAGTAAGAATGTTTCTTATTAAATTGAAAAATGGATGGGAATTGTGTCTCTAAGTATGAAATTGTTGTATGGATCGCTTTGCAAAATTGTTTTGTGAGATAAAAATTTCTCTATAACTAGCTACTGCAGAATAGCTTCGAATTATCCATAGTTTTAAATTTTTGAAGTTTATTATTTTTTTGATAAACTTGGATCTAAAACCTGAATATCTGATCTGCAATGCCGAACTAGTAACAATCAGGCCAGTGCTTGACATTTAGCCTTTAAGTCAATGGTTCCCTACTTTTTTCGACAAATTCCTCTATTTGCTTATATTTTAGATCTCTTTATTCTATCCTCACTATGTAGGCTATATCCCTGCAATTTGTTTAATTTTCAAATGATCCTTAGCTGGTGCTTCTTCCAACTTGCTTGGTTTGAGTAGTTTATTATGTGAGCATATCAGACAAACATGTGCAAACTGAATAATGATATATTCGAAGATAAATTTGATCATATATTTTTGATTTCAATCCGATGGCTATGCTATGGAATAAATGTACTGCCACCTTAAAAATATTAGTCATATTATATAGTTGTATTAATTTCAATTGCAGGAAACGGAAATCGTCAGCGAGCAATTGGTTATCAAGTATCAACGCTCACGAACAAAAATGCAAAGAACGGAAATTGAATCACAGCCATTCTAGATCAATAAGGTGAGTGTTTCACACTTGGTATTCAATATTCAAGTATCTTTATTTTAGTGAGCATTGATAATCAGATATTTTCATGTAATAAAAACACTACTCATTCTCAGGGGTGATGGTTTTCAACCAGGATTCTGTGGCACCCTGGGTTTTCACCAGTACAGTTTAGAGGCTTCGCAACTTTCCATTCTAATCCCAGAGTTCATATTAATATATGTAGCCTATATTGTTTAAATATATATAGCTTACTTGCTACACTTCAAAGATCATTTTATTTTGTCAATATTTAGTTTGCTTTTATGTATATTCGGGCTATTATAGAATTCAATAAATGGCAATAAAAGACAATTAAACTATTGTACAGTACAGGGGTTCCTCAAGCTTCCTCAAGAATGTCTTCACAAAAAGGTTGAAAAGTCTTGCTCTAAGGACTTGGTCATAACCTGTATTAACTTGCATTAATTTCAAGTTTATGAAAGCATTCTAATATAAAGTTTCATGTCACTCCTCGTTTTTTATTTTATGGGATACATTTTTGCATAGCAATTTTATGTTGTTAAACAAATATTTGTACAGTAACAATAAAGGCATTTGCTTGAAAGACATGATTGCAAAAAGAATACAAAACCAAGATCAGCTCCGGAATACTTCATCACATCAGAAAGGTTTGATCACCCTTCATGCTTCTTTTATATTATAGAATGCAATACTGACTTATAGAATCATGTACACTGTACAGCATTTTTAACAGTAGCAATTATGAGAATTCTATTCTGCCTTATAAGGTTCAATTATTGCTTTAAAAATATGGCAAATTTTACTGATCATTTTGATCAATATCGCATCTATTGTGCCAGGGTTTGTAAACTCATGGTATCATGGAGCCTGTGAAGAGTTTGACTATTATTTATGGAGCCTCACAATAAATTTCTAAAAATTAAAGCAAGAAACACAAAGATAAAAGTTCCTGTGTGAATTTAAATTTATTTAATGGCTTTGATGTATTTGTTGCTTTGTATTTAAAAATATAGTTGATAAACATATTAATAAAGTAGAGTCGAATTGTAGCAACAAGGCGGTAATTGAAATATGGTGTTAGCCATTGGAACTTATGGATGATGTCATGTTTGAATTACCACTACCAATGTCAAATTTTATTAATGCCGTTATTGCTTTGGACATATACGAAACTAGCCAATTCATTATTTAATTAGCGAACGAATAGCTTGTGGAGTCCTTAGGTTTCTCTCACGAAGCCCTAGGACTCAGTATGGAGCACTTTGAGAACCCATGTATTATGCTATGAATGAGCGGAATTCTAATTAGTCCAATCATTCTCTTGAGAGAGAAAAATAGAGAAAAGATCTCATTCATGTTTATAAAGTAAATTTTTTAGTCGTATGACAGTTGTTTGATTACATTTTTTTCGACAGATGAAGACTATGCACAACGAAACTGGTTATGTGAAGGAAGACTATTGCAACTATTAGACAGCCAACATCCGAATAATACTGATATTTTTAAATTGCATTGGAAATATGGAATGGTAGGCATCATTTTTATTTTGTGACATGTTTTCATGCCTTCACTCCAAACAATATGATATCTCTAACAGAATTGTGGTTAAAATTGTATTTGATAAAATTTAAAATCTCTGCATATCATTGTCTCGTCGTTTAAATGATTTCTTTGACTCAAAGTACAGGGTGATGTAAAAAACAAGATCTATCAATTTATCATTTACTTCTATGAAAATAAAATAATATTATTGAATTCCGTTTACACTTAAACTAATGTTTGTGTAGAATGCTTTGCACAAATTTTACCCTGTCTAGAACTGGGGTACTCAACCTTTTTTTTTTGTGACTCCTTTTAGTTGCACAAAATTTCTGTGGCCTAATAACTTTCTCATGCAAGGGTAAACTACAGAAAAACCAAAAATTCTTTTCGCCAAAATGAACACTTTCACCTCATTAATTTGAATGAAAATCACCATACATATGAAACAAGCTATTTTCAGAAGGTCTGTGGTCAATCTCAAAATGTTTTCGCGGCCCAGCCGTTGGTCATGGCCCACTGGTTGAAAATCATAGTTCTACAATATGTTTCGAATGACTTGGGTTTTGGTCACCCTGTACTATTTGCATATATGGACATGTATATTTAATTATGTATTAAGGAAATTGAATGTTGAATGATTTTTGGTCGATTTGAACTTATGAATTTTTTTTTCATATCTTCATCATTTTTAGCCTGTCCTTGTTTCCGGTGTTGGAAAATATCTTAATATGGATTTGTGGCATCCCAGTCAGTTATCAAGAGAATATGGAGAAGAAAATTCTAAAAATTCTATGGTTAATTGCATGTCTGGCTCTATCATTACTAATATGAAGATCAGAGATTTCTGGGACGGATTTGAAAATATTTCACGTAAGTTGAAAAATTAGAATTTGTATTCATATGGTTTGTGACTGCAGACTACTGGATTAGGCCCAACATCTTTTTGATGTTTAGATTGTTTCATTTGTAAGTCGGTAAAATAATGATATAATTTGGTTATCCCTTCTTATATTTATGTTTTCATTAGAACGTCTTCTTGATGAAAACGGCAAAACAATGATACTGAAGTTAAAAGATTGGCCTCCTACAGAAGCTTTCCATGATGTTATGCCAGAGATGTTTGAGGTAAAATGTGACTCGAAGAAAATAATAAGTCTGGATATGAATTTCTATGTTTCTTATTCATGTTGAAAGTAAGAGTATATATTATTTTATTTTTAAGAGAAAAGCAAGGTTATGCACACTCTTCAGAAGTGAAAAAATAATTGACCACTGAAATGTTTTGGGAAACTAAATAAATTTATGATACTGCATTGGGTACTCCCGCAGTGTGTGTACCAGGTTAGGGTTAGGTAGTTACTTCCATATTGGTACACACACGTCTGCAGCGCCCTGCATTGCGCATCAGCAAGTGTCGATTAACGAGAGACTTGATGAAGTTTAAGCCGATACGATCACAAAGTTTACTGCCGGTTCAAAAATTTTTGTGTCCATTTTCTTTAACGAAATTATTGCTGTTTCGATATTGGTATATCTTTCTCATTTTTTAGGATTTACAACAAGCCCTGCCTTTGAGAGATTACACATTTGTTGGTGGAAAATGTAATGTAGCGTCAAGATTACCTCACTTCTATGTTAAACCTGATTTAGGACCAAAAATGTACAATGCTTATGGTAAGTACAAGGCTGTTGTGTGTTCCTTTTAAATTCGGATATTCTGAAATAAAGTTACTTGAGCTTTGAAATAAATCACAGCGGGGGGCACAGTGTTTCAAGATGTCGTTTTCTAAAATTTTGTTAGAAGATAGATGTTTTTGGATTTTTCATTTCCCAGTAACAAGTTAACAGTATAGAAGGCAAATACCGCATATAAATTGATTTTTTTAATCTCCAAAGATGTGGAAAGATTTAAAAAAAGACATTTTGTGAGTTTATAATAGTTATATTTGCATAGCTTCCCGAATCGTCAAATTCACAAGTGATTTCAGTTTTATATTGAGTGGCTCACTGTCTCATATCATACCCACATATTTTATTTTGTATCATTTTATACGACTCGACGCTTAATCCTACCTTCCAACAAGACCCTGTATTAAGCCACTGATATCCATTGATATGGAAGGAGCTATTATTATCTGAAGATATATCCGATTCTGCATTGTCTACCCAATTGAACTTCGCTTAATATAGTTATATTAATTCTTGTTATCAATCCTGTAAGTTCATATGGATCCAATACAATAATATAAAAGCAGGGAGTAAGGGGAATTAGTCAGGTACATGATACTTCATGAACCTAATTTTTAATTATAAAAAATACAATTTCGCCGTTTAGGTTGGGTCACCGAAACAGACTGGAGACAAGGTACTACTAATTTACATCTTGATATATCTGATGCCGTAAATATCATGGTTTATGTTGGTATTCCTGCTGATGAACCTTTCCAAGCCAGAGAAACTCTATTGCAGGTACATTACATTGTATTTAATTGTTAAATATTGCTGGGTTGGCGCATCTTGCTAAGCGTTAGGAACGCGCTTGCCATCACAACAACCCGGTCTGTGTTAGGATAATTATGTGCGAAGGGATTTCTGGGCTCCTCATCATCGCAACGTAGTTCACGAGCGGTTATAGTTCCCTCTACCGTCAAGTCCATGCATCTGAAACAAATAACTGCATAACTATTCCCATACTCGGTATGAATTGGTATTTGAGGTTTGCCTTATAATCAGGCCATTCCCCCCCCCCCCCCTACCGATCCTATCGTGTGGCATATTGATTACTCAAAACTTGGAAAGAACATTGATAAAGTATGTGAGGTGCGCTAGCTTTTGCTCTACAGTCTCTAGAAATGATCAAATAGATTTAAATGGCTAGAAATATTTTGATTAATTGTAGCTTAGCCAATTCATTGCACCTCTAGTAAGGCTGGCAATTGAGTTGTGGACTTATGAATTGGCAAAGGCTTGAACTCTTGATCTTAAACATAATTAGTTCTGCTCCCAAGAAAAGATTAGAAAAACAAAACACAAGTTTATACTCTTTTATATTGAGCTACAGCAGGGGTGGGCAGAGTTTTTTTGCAAGGGCCGCATTCAGAAAATCATTTTTGTAAAGGGGCTCTTTAGGAGAAGCACTTATTTCTCCTCAAAAGATCATATCATATAGTTTCCGTGAGTTAAAATGTAATATGTGAAATATCCCAAATTTAAGATTTTCAAAGAAATATATTGGAAGACGAAGTAAAAATATCAACTGACACAAATTTTTTGACGAAGCAAAGAAACATATCACCAGTTAATATTCATGAAAAGTATAATGTCAATACGAATGCTGCATTGATAACAATTCACAGTATAGATATTTCAAATAAAGTTCGAAATAAGTCTAAATTTCATGTGTCAGCACTAAATGCTTTAGCGGGCTGTAGTTTTCCAATCCCTGAATTTCAGACACAATCCAAGTTTTATTTGGTCTCTCTTATTTAGATTGTTCGGGAAGGAGAAGTGGATGATTTACAATTTACCAGAGCAATAATGGATAAACCTGGTGCCTTATGGCATATCTTTCATCAGAGAGATGTTGATAAAATCAGGCAGTTCATAACCAAGGTAATATCAATTTTGAATTTGAATGATGAAATAAATAAAGACATTACAATTTGTGGCAATCTGGGAAAAACAAGGCTCAAAAATTTTTTCTACATTAGAGAGTTCTAGTTGTTTCACCCCGTTTATGATATATTATGAATATCAGTCTTTCAAAATATTTTATAAGTTTTGTCGGATGTAATCTGGCGCCGCTCAAAACAAGATTGCTGGCCACAAAATTGATGTAAACAAGCCTTTTTTGTTAATTTTAATTAATTGAGTTGGTAATCTTAACTAAGCGAGTTAAAAATATGTGTTATATAAGCAGGCCCAAAATGCCGAACTATTGTAACACCCATTTTGACGCATTTCAGGTTTGTGATGAACGTGGAGAGACGGTTGCCCCTGACCACGATCCCATTCACGATCAACAAATATATCTCGATAAACAGTTGCGTCACAGATTAAAGGAAGAATATAATGTGGAAGGTTATGCTATATTACAATGTCAAGGTGATGGGGTTTTCATTCCCGCTGGTGCACCACATCAGGTAATACAATATTAAGGATTTAGGTGAAATCATATATAGGTCTTCACCAAATATTACAAATGGATGGTTTCTTGATCTTTGACCCCAAGAAAAAAACCTATACTTTTATACCTTCCTTTACCATTGAAAATTTTAGATGCCTATTTTGAGAGTAGTTTTGTGAGTTAGCACCAATAAATTGGTTTGCATGTTTTAAACAATCTTTTCTATTCAAAATATTTAACCACTCGTCATTTAAAAGTGCTTACCGTACATTAGAACTTGCGACAATTGCATCTGCATACTATTGCACCTATGGAAATTTTTTTTGTTTTGCGGATATTTTAACCCATACTAACCCTAACTCATGGGTTTTAGCACCCGCATATAGATTGAACCCGCGGATATACAGATGGGTTCAAATCTACGGTCACCTTTAAAAGTACTGGTAGAAAAGTGCAACGAACTAAAAACTGACAGATAGCCCAGGAAACTACATGTCTTAGTGACAAAAGCGTTCTGAGTAGCTGCTAAAATTTCTATTGTCATATCTTGCTTATTAACCAATGTTATAGAAGTAGGCAAGAAAGACGATGCTCTGGGAAACATCATTATTTTAAGATTTTTGTTTGTTAATATCCTTAATAGCAATATCTAGGATTAATAATTGTTATCTCAGACAGAATTTCTAACCATTATCCATCTTTTATCAAAGGTATTCAATCTGCATAGTTGCATCAAAATTGCAGAAGATTTCGTATCTCCAGAACACATCGATAAATGTTTTCTGCTAACTAACGAATTTCGTTATCTTTCATCGAATCATTCCAATCACGAAGATAAACTACAAATAAAAAACATGATTTATCATGCTGTGAAAGACATTGTTTCCAGTTCTTTACACACACACTGCCGTTGAATACCATATTTCCCGAACCATAACTGTCATCGGGCTATAAGACACAACGTTTTTTAATGAGTATCGGGTGACAGGACAAATCTCATTCAACATAAAAACTAAATTTTTTTATGGCTATTGTATTTTATTCCAAGAAAACGTAAAACGGCTGTTTGTTTATGAAAAAATAGTACTTGTACTGGTTGGTTTTGAGTGTATGCAATAAAGCATAAAGGCACAACGGCTCTTAAGACGTGTGATCGATTTTTGAGAAAAATGCTTTATGGACACTTACTCGCAGTTCTGATTTTACCATTTACAACCAGGTACAGTATTTCTGCTATAGTCATACTTGATTTGTAAGATATTTTTAAACTTTTTTTTTGCAAGTTCAGCAGTGTCAGCATCAAAATTGTCTTATGATAAGTAAAGTGAAATCAGAGATATACAAAACAGATTGTACCCTATTTAAATTGTCTCAAATCAAATTCTCGATTTTCAAATAATTTAGAATCGCTTTCTTCGGTAAAAAATTATCATTTTGAGTACCTGAAGTTTCACATCAAACCAAAAAGGATTTTCATTTAGTTTCTTGATATGTGAAAAGGTAGATAATCAAGCCAATTCAATGAATTTGTGTCATATCGGTTTTCCTGCAATTCCAGAACAAGCTCATCAAATATACATTGACTCAAAAAAATCTTAGTTGTGAATTAATTGAAAAAAAGTTAAAAATAATAGAAATTTCTGTTATCTGCACTTTTTTGTATTGTACTATTTAGGCAATTTATTTTGAGCATGTTCCTACTTTACTATAGTTTCATTTTATCTGGTTTAGAATTAATTCTCAGAATGTTTTCGATAATCAGTAATGGTATTTGGTAATAATATTGAAATTTTCCAAACTTGTCTAAGCTTAGGGAAAGTTTGTATTTATTTCTTTGCGTTTCATATTTTCCTTTCATACTTAGCATTTGGACTTAATAAGTTGATAACATAGTTTTCATATTCTGATGGTTAATCTAAGATGACCAAGATGAGAATTTCCTCAAATGCCAAAAATTGGTGCTCCAGCGTTTGAAGCAGACGAAATATTGCCATGTTTTAATCCAGTGTGAGATTTGCATAAAATAGCATATTTGACCTGTTTGCAATTGTCATATCTGGTTAATTTTGTGCCCGTCTTTTTTATGTGTATTCGTTGTAGCTATTGGGTGCAGGTTTCTTTTCTAGGAGTTTTCATTGATTCGCTATAACTTGTTTCTAAAGAAATCTACTCTTGCTGAATATGCTTTATGACTTTAGTGTGTTTTTATCAGGGATGTTAAGTAGGTGATTCAGGTTTTTGCTCCCAGCTCCCAAGGAAATTGAATGGCATATGCAAGCTTTTTTTCATTGTCTGCTTCGGGGTCTGCTCAGTGATTGCTTCTATGAGAAATTTTAACGTCAATTACAATTATAAATACTGATTTTTCAGTTTAGTCTTCGATTCAGGCGGCTTTTAAAATTTATTCTCCGCTCTGACTGCAATATCATCAAAAACATTAACTCCAACCTCACAGCCATAGTTTTTGTGAAATTGAAAAATTAAACATTTATAAGTGTTGAATAATAATGGTGCCTGGAATGAAATAAGACTGCTGATTCTGATCAAGAAGGCCTCTCTCTCTGTTTCATAAAACCATTCGACAGTATCTACACATTTGTTGGTTCCCTGGTATGGAAATATAGAAAGAGAAAATCTGTAGCTAACTGTTCTTAATTTGAGCATTCACTCTGATAATATGAAATATAATCACCAAGGTGTATGTCTATAAGGTTCAACATAAAAACTTGTTTCATTAGCAACATATCAGAATTCTATATTCTGAATATACATTAAACATGGTATACAAAGATGTTTTCAGTCATTTTTCTCTTTATATCAAAATTACACTTATTGTACATGTTTTTATCACTATAACTTTTTCCCTTGTGCTTGAAAGCGATTTCAAGAATATAATAAAGTGAATTCAACTGATGGGATATGTCATACAGGTACAAGATATATACTTTTCTGGGGCCAGAGATATCCAAACCAGTTTGTAGTCGGGTTTTCAATAATTTTTCCCTGATCTGAAATGATTAAGAAGTCTTGGTTCGCCATATGATTCAAGCCATGTTAGCGGGGCGATCCCGGACAAATGTGAAAAAGAGAATTTTAGTCTTAACTCGAAAGAAGTGTTATGATCAATATAGTTTAGTCTGTGAAGCATTGATGATTTTGCTTGTACTGACTGCATCAGATTTTTTTGATATAATTGTTCTTTCGTAACTTGTTTTGTTTGATGTCCCTGTAGATGTTATGCTAAAATTTAGTGTTTCTATTTTTATCCATTTTGATGTAATTTTTTGATAAAACCAATAAACATAGAACTGCATGAGTACAGTTGTTTAAAAATAAATATTGAGTTTTGGAAGTTGCCTGAATTAGAATATTTGTTGTAACGAACTCTTGTGGTCAAGATGATCTAAATACTTGTGAAGTCATACTAACAACTTAATCTGTGGAAAGTCGCCGTGGATTTGATGATGCCATCTAATTACAAGTATTTGCTTCCAAAGTTTACGTGGCGAAATGAACTGTTAGCCATATTTTTTCAATTTCAGTCTTGACGGTATGTTGGACTGCCGTGGCCTGCGAGAGAGCCTCCAAACAAAGTTGAGCGTTGGAAGTGATTTCCCTCCACCCCGCCCCCCAACATTTTCAGGTGTGACACCGTACTACATTTCGTAACGTAAATAAAATTATATTTGAATATTCAGATATCTATCACCACCTAAATTTGGGTGTTACTGAGTGTTGATAATTTTACGGGTGAAACAAGTGCTCCTATACTGAAAAAGATACACGCAGAAAAAGATCAATGTGTATGTTAACCCCAATCCACCAATACGACACCCGGTCAATGTATCTAGCTTTCATTGCTCGCCTTTCTGTTAAACTCAAGTAAAAATATTCACCAAATAACCCGTTTCATGATTCTATTATGTTTTCTGATCCATGGAAGAAGGCGCGAGCAGCAAAATTCGTACGACACAAACTTTAAGAGAGAGAGAGATTTATTGTTTTGTCAGACGTTATTATTACTCCAACACCAATTTTCTGAACTGCTTTCTTAGATTTCGGGTAAGGTTAGATTATTCTTGGTTATACTAATCTAATCAGAAACAAAAAAAATTAGCCGTGGAACTTGGTATTCATGCAACAACGAGATAGAACCGAAATTTCTACTACTGAAGTGCAAATAGTTATAATTTGCCCAGAATATACAAGAGAGTAGAATGAACGAACGATGAAACGCTACACTCGGAAGTCTATTACATTCAAATCACAACATACATGAACTTATGAACGGAAAAGGAAATGTTATTGCTATAAGGAAATTTACGAGCGCGTCTAAATATGGTGTTATTAGAACTTGAATATACGAGTTTTGAAACCATAAAACAATTGAGTCAGTCGATTGAATGTGCTTCGAGATATTGCAAGAGACGTTGTTGTGTTGACGATCGTTGCATAAAGTATTTTTGGCGCTCGAGATGTGTACCAATATAGAGGTAACTAATTTTGTTCGCCCATTTTACATCAAGTTGTGTAATGAGGACTGAAACCTATGGGCAGGAGGATATTTACTTGGATATCACAGACAGTCCCCGAATTTGTAATAGAACTAAAATAAAGAAAATCCGAATAAAATTATGGCCTAACCCTAGCCTGGTCCACACACTACGGGAGTACCCAGGAAATAGGAGGGACTCGAGGAACAAAAATTGTACGAAATCAACTTTGCCGTTATTATGCCCCCCCCCCCCCTCACCAATTTCCTGAACTGCTTAGGTGAGATTTCTCCTGGTTATATTAATCTAATCAAAAATAAATTAATAATCAGACGTGGAACTTGGTACGTATTCATGCAACAATTTATAATTTGCCCAGAATATACAAGAGAGTAGAATGAACGAACGATGAAACGCTACACTCGGAAGTCTATAACATTCAGATCACAACATGCATGAACTTATGAACGGAAAAGGAAATGTTATTGCTATGAGGAAATATATAAGCGCGTCTAAATATGATATTATTAGAACTTGTATACGAGTTTTGGAATAATGAAACAATTGAGTTAGTCTATTGAATGTGCTTCGGGTAAGGGGAAGGGACGCTGTTATGTTGACGAAGGTTGCCTAAAAATACTTACATAAACATAGCTTGTATTTTTGCCTGTCTTGCTTTTCTTATGTTAATGATTGTGAGATATTTATGAGGTCTGTGGTTCGTAACATTTGTGCGGCAAAACGGTGGTCAGCTTCAATTGTGTCGACGTGTTATTCCACGTCGGAAATATAAAATGATAGTCTGCTGAATTCAATCGGGGTAAGTAATTGCATTGCGTAGTTGCATAACCGCTCATCTAGGGATTACATGAAGCTTATAAGAATACGAATTATATATAATTCTTTAATTAGAAATCGATCTATGTGGCGTTCGATCAGTTCATAATTCTTCATGATTGAGTCTCTACCCTGTTGCAGAAGTAATATCAAGGTTTTCAACTAGGCCTATTTACAGTTCAGGGAAAAAGTGAAAACCCAAAGTCGGATGTAGTATATCGTAAGATTTTCATAAGATTATTCTCATTGTATATTTTTGAAGTACGACCTGTTTGGTTAAGGCAAATTTATGATCTATCTCTTCAGATTTAATTCAGATGAGGAAATTTATATAAAGCGTAGAACAACGTTTTTATAAAATAAATCAGTTATCGACAAGAGTCTGTTTCAGGGTCGTGTACTTTTCCGGGCTGAATGTTTTGGCACATGCAAAGTTAAATATAATTTGCAATGGACGCACAATAGAAATAGTCTATATTGGATGAAATTTAGCATCCTGTAACGAATAGGGCGTCGGAAAAAGAGGTGCCAGATTCAAGCGTTTCGTTGAAACAAAACAAACGCAGGGTTCTCGTGCTGAATAAATATAATACGAGTTTTGTGTCTTTTGACAGTCAGCCTGCTGGAGGAAAATCAGTTTTCCGATCCACAGTGCGAATAGGTTAACAGGCCCGGGAATAAATGACGCTTTGTGTAATATATAAGCTACATTTATACATAGCAATGAAAGAAAACGGTTGAAATATTCCCCCCAAAATAGCATAATGTAGTCTTTGTTTTATCACAATGCATAGACAATGCCTTGTTTTATTTGCAATTATTTCGCCAATTCCTGATTACCATATCTACCACACTTCTCGCGGCTTTCGAGAATTCAATAAACAAATGACAGAGGTACCTGTTATCCGTGCATGTTAATAAATTCGATGGTTATTAAATCTTCGCCTACTCTTAATTACATCCGATTCTATTTGACGTATCTGCCGTTCAAAAATTACGATAGGAAAATGTGTATCACTGAAGGAATTTTGACGTAACCGTAGCGCATTCACATTATTTAATAATTTACCAAAGATCTAAATTTTCATCTATGCACATTGGGATATTTTGTATAGATATGTTTCTTCAATTGTCAAAGATACCAATCGAACTTCAACGAGCACACACAAGAAATGCGTACCTCGTAACAGGTTTAGAGTGTATCTGGGTTAAATTCGAACAGCTCGTTGGTCTGATCCGGTATTTTTATTAAAACCCTACTAACTTCAACACTCTCCTAATGAAGAATTCTGAGTGAGTAACTGCCTCTACCCATCCAATTTGTAGTGAAGGCGCATAAAATATAAAAACAACATTGTGGCAATTCCATTAAATTTTACTTCTATTTATATTCTCTTCTTTCATGGGGAAGCGACTATCACGCTTCTTCTTGCTGATGAGTGCTACTGAGTGATGCACAACATGTTTTCTTCACCTAGTTATTATTATATTTATATAATACAGAATATAAACAAGCAATCTGAACACATGGTAGATATTGCTATCCTTTGACGTAACCGTAGCGCATTCACATTATTTAATAATTTACCAAAGATCTAAATTTTCATCTATGCACATTGGGATATTTTGTATAGATATGTTTCTTCAATTGTCAAAGACACCAATCGAACTTCAACGAGCACACACAAGAAATGCGTACCTTGTAACAGGTTTAGAGTGTATCTGTGTTAAATTCGAACAGCTCGTTGGTCTGATCCGGTATTTTTATTAAAACCCTACTAACTTCAACACTCTCCTAATGAAGAATTCTGAGTGAGTAACTGCCTCTACCCATCCAATTTGTAGTGAAGGCGCATAAAATATAAAAACAACATTGTGGCAATTCCATTAAATTTTACTTCTATTTATATTCTCTTCCTTCATGGGGAAGCGACTATCACGCTTCTTCTTGCTGATGAGTGCTACTGAGTGATGCACAACATGCTTTCTTCACCTAGTTATTATTATATTTATATAATACAGAATATAAACAAGCAATCTGAAAAAAACATACGGTAGACATTGCTATCCTGTAACGCACTTGTCTTTATTTCTTTCATACTAGGTCCATCATTATTCGTAGAAAGGTGATGGATTAAAAATTCTATTTTCTTTTGTTGAGGAGTTTTATGCGATAATTCATGCTTATTAATCCCTTTGCGACCGTATTGAAATTGTAAGAAATATTGCGGTTTTTCCACTCCTAGTAGCTTTCTATAATTCAGCGGCTTTTGGTGCGGGGTCTTGTTTGATAAATTTTTGTTTTCGTACTGTTTTCATTGGGATATTTTACAAAGCGGAAATGCTATATAACTAATATCATATGTTCTTTTGTAAAAACGTTTTTAATTTAAACTGTATTTTTTGCACAGCAATATATTCCTCGAGTTAGTCAAGTTATTTTATATTATGAAGTTCAATAATTTTCATGGTATCTGTGATCAGGAAATTCATTTTATTTCTTCTCAGAACGCATAGATAGGGAATAGTTAGTTAGGGTAAGTACCCAGAATGACATTCCAATATCTTTTTATCTGTTTGATGATTATCGTCTGCGTGTCCGTTCTACCTTCTACAGCTGGTAAGTAGGAATAATATTTTATAATAAATTGGAATTTTGTTTCGAGCTAACGTTGGGAAACATTGAATGAAACATTAATTTCTCAATTGCTAATTTCTTCTTGCTTCAGATCCATGTCGCGATAATTTCGGGGGATGTGATAAACAAAATGGACTGTGTTGGTATACTGGAAGAACTTCTCATTTTTGTTCTTGTAAAGCAGGTTACAAAGAGGATACAACAGCTATAGTTCACACTTGTATTGGTATGTTAAACCACCTAAATACACGTACAAGTTGATGTTTTTTGTGGGTGATGCCAATAGTTTTGACGAGCTCGCGGCTTCTATGGCTAACCCGTCGATCGCAACAACTGCCAATTCGAAGCCCAGACAAAATTAAACAGGCTGTAAATGAGGCTTCTGTCGGTCACTCAGCTTGGTCGAATAAATCTAAATATACCAAATATGACCAATTGGCGTGAGCGATATCGTCTGAAACCTAGGTGAAAAGTGTGTAACAAATTCAGTAGTTGGATTTAAGGCGGTTTTTTTTTTGAAGGCGTTTTTTTTGCGAACGTTTTTTATTAAACTGTTAAGCATCATTATAGAGCTGAATGCTAAGTATGGATTGCCTCTAACGGCAACGACATATCAAATAAATGATAAACAGTTACCGGTAATTCAAAAGTAAATTGTGATTCAGATAACTAGAGTTACGCCGTACACATCTAGTATAGCCTACATCAAGTGGAGAAGATTTTGTCTACTCCAGGTCCCGAATAGTTGCTGATTGAAAAAGTCAAAATATTATCTGCTGGCATTGAACTTGATATAATTTAGCGTTGAAAATTTTTTTGTACCACACAGTCATTTCCTTATTTTTGACGTATTTAATTGTACTCTATAGATGTGAATGAATGCGTGGAAGTCCGCCCTTGTGACGAAAATGCAATTTGTCAAAATACAAACGGAAGTTATATTTGTCATTGCAAATGCGGATATATCATGGATTACACCGGACAGCATTGCGGTTAGTCTTGTTACTAACAGTATTTTGTTTTTTCAAGCGATTGATTGTTACCGCGAAATTATCCACGGACTGGTTGGCCTGATCAAATCAGCCATTTTGAAAAAATCGTCTGAACCGTTCTTGGACACGAAATGTACAAATGTATCGTTTTGTTATTTATTTTTCCACTGCCGTAACAGCATACATTCCACATACACATCACAGATGTTAATTTTGATTTTGTATGTCTTTCGGCCGTACGTAATAAACTGAGCAGAACATTCCAAATCAACGAATGCTGGACCTTCAATTATTAGCAATTCAGTACATACTTGGTCATATCGGCGAAGCAAATAAATCGTAAATATTTAAAACATTTCTTAAAATTGTACAAATATTTCGTGTGCTTTTCTATTATTTTACTTTTCAATTGAACGATTATATTTTATTTACCAATTTCACGAAAAATTATATTCTGTCACCTTTTCAGATATAACAGATTCAGTAAATAGCGAATATCATTAAAATATTATCAAGGTTTATTTGTATATTTTCTATCTAGTGGAAGGATCTAAAATTGTGGGACAGTGCCTCCTCCCATCTACTTGTAAACACCTAATATGGCGATGGTTTATAAATATTCCCTTCGATATCGAATTTTCAAAATGGAATTTCATTACAAACGTCGATTCAACTCCGGAAAGAGTGCAAGATATCAACAATCCTCAGTAAGTGTTTGAAGTTTGAGTATTTCTTTTTTGCTTTTCAATGTTAAGTAATAATATGTTTAATCATTTGTTATCACAGTGGAACATGTAAATGTGAAACAGGCTTCAGACTGAACTATTGTGGGTATTGCACAGACATAGACGAATGTTCAGAAGGTAATTATTTGAATCTTGCGTGCTTAAAACTGCCATAACTATCCCATACAACTCAATTTCTGTATTTCATTTTCATTGCCAGGTAAAAGCAATTGTACCGGACCAACAGCAAAATGCGTCAATACCGAAGGAAGCTATTACTGCGAGTGTTCGTCGGGTTACACGATTGGCCCATGCAAACGCAGATGTTATGGTACACTTTATTTATTTATTCATTTCTCAATCCAGAGAAAATATGTTTAATTTAAACAAACTATTTTATTTTTCAGCTGCGGGAGTCGAACCATCTTTATGTGAGTACCGCCAAAGGCATTGCTACTTACTTATCATTAGCAGGAAATCAAAATAGGAATTAAAAATCAAATTATTTTTTAGGTGAAACACCGGATCTTTCAAGCTTATCTATTGCTGGTAAGTTTGATATTCTGTATTGAATTTAATAAATAATAGATTTTTAAATATAAAAAATATGAAAACCGAAATCCATTTTCTTATAAATAACACGTTTTTATTTAAAATAACTGCTAAACATAGATTATTCAAAAATGACCATATCGTCATCCTCAGGGATGACTTGCAAGTCACTAGATTCATTCGCGCTGTCGACTATAGGTCTTATTTTCGGGGAACACGGTAATTTCTCGGTACTGTTTCTATGTTTTACATCAAGTAATACTGTTTGAATGTGATATACGGTAAGTCTTCAGTGCCCGCGACGTTCTTTCAGGTTTAGTTTGAATAAGTTACGATTTCATACATGGCGAACAGTGGAAGCGTAAAATATGTTAAAATGTGCATTTTTGGTACAGGACTTCCTTCAAAATCACCTACCTTCAATCTCCCGATTGTATTAGATAACTGGAGAACATGTGCAGACAATGTTTCAATGGGAGTTACGGTGAGTTTTGCCGGGAAAATCAATTTGTATTAGATTTATGAAGTTTAGGTAAACTATTATAACTTGATCGGCTGTACCCAATTTTCTCAATCGGAGTCTACTAACCTATTGTGTAAGACGAATTATTTGCTTTAAATGGCTGCTATATCATAGTATCATTAGGGGATGCAGACACATCACAAATACATGTAATAATAAAAAGTTTTAATCGATAATCTTTCACATTACCCCAGACTGTCGAACCTTATGACGTTGATCAAGATGGAATAACTGACGTAACCCTTACTTGGTTGTGCAAAGAAAAACGACCTGGAAGGGAAAGTAGTAGCGTTCTAAAAAAGTTCCAAGAAAATGAAGGTATTCAACATTCGCTCAATTTGCTTCTATATTGTTATACGCTTCCAAAAGTTCTGTTAAAACAGCTAGCGCAGTCTGAAACCTAAAGAGATATTCATTCCAATTCATTCATAGCTTACCACATCTGTAGAGACAAATTCCTTGACAAAATATGAATGAGCCACATTGACCATTTTGCATCCAAAACACTTATATTATGGTATAAATTCACAATGTATCCAAAGGCACAGGCTGTCGTCGCTTTCTCGTGGGGATAGAATAAACAAAGAACAAAACGAAAGAGGCATAATTGTTGCCTAATCTTTAGCACTAGTGACTAAACCCTAGCACGGAATGAAGTACGTTACAGATAGTGCAACCAAAATACAGATTACAGAAGGCTGGCAATTCACAATTATCCGAATGCGACGCAATCCGTGTTGCACAAAAAAGATGCACGTGACATATCGCTGAAAAAAAATGGGATTTCGTGGATGTGCAATATCTGACAACTCGAGGATTTGTAGCAGGAATTCTCTGTATTTAAAAATCCCCGACATTTATGCATTTTTTAACATTTTTCTCTGACGCAAATTTGACAACTAAAATCACGGACATGTCAGGGAAAAATCTAGCGTATGGCAACCCTATCATAGCTACAGGAAAAGCATAACCTAAACAGGAATTGCAAGCTTTACACCAGCAAACTTACTGCAGTACAACATTGGTGAACCAATGTCATGCGTTACCAGAAATAACAAATACGATAAAATACACGCGTAACATTATTTGCTCATACGTTAACAGCTGTGTGGGAAAATTGGTCTTGTTGGACAGAATGCAAAACTACTTGTTGGGGAGGGTTACAAACTCGTACACGGCGATGTCTCCATGGTCTTCCCGGACAGGACATAGGCTGCAAAGGAGAAGGAAGTCAATCAAGAGAATGCTACACTGGAACTAAATGCCGTAAGTTTAAATAAAAAAATATATATAATTAGTCTAAGTTTAATGCACTCGGTGATATTAAAACAAACACACTTTCAAAGAGTAGATTGAAATTCTCAAAGAAATACATATTTTTCTCAAAACAGAGGATTTATTCAGAAGTAAGAACTATTATCTTTACAACAATTGTTTCAATTTCAGAGTTTCGAGTCCGAAAAGATGCTACCACTCTCACACCAACCGAGATTCAAGATTTTGTTCAAGCAATGCGAAAGTATAAGACGGACATGTCAGTGAGGGGGTTCCACAATGCAGGTAGATTATTTTATTACGACTTAGACAGTCTTTCTGCATTTCGGAAATGAGTCACAAAACGTTATTTTTTTTTATAGCTAATCAAAGTTGTCCATTACGTGTTTCTCATTCTCTCGGCTTTGCCACATGTTGTTAGATAGCCTATAACCTATAAGGTAGGAGTGGAAATTTTAACCCTGAAATGCCTTATAGCTGACATGCTACGAATCCGTGGCGGCAGCTTCGTAGACAAAATAACAAGTCAACGAGACGAACTGCATTCATCAATTTCCACTGATTGTGACAGTGCATAAACTGAAAGATCAACGATAAAACTAATTCATGGCTATATGGATCTTATATTCTCTTGTATTTAGCATCTGCTCACGGTTGGCCATTCCAATGTGAAGGTCTCTCATGTTGTCCACATGGAGCTAAGATGAAGTTTGCGGCGTGGCACAGAACTATAGTCTTGAACTACGAAGAGGGTTTGTCAAGGTATGAATTGTCATAATATTTCCTCGATGACTTTTAATCGATGGGCGTACTCGCAAGAGAAAGGACAAGTCCAAGTAGCCATTGTCATAGTTTTGTTGGAATGTTTGTTTCACTCATTCATCCATTCTACTTATATATAACTATATTAGATAATATGAATATAATTGGTTTTTCATTTGATGTTGACTTTTCCGTTGCGAGAAATATATAATACTAATACGAGAATAACCTCTAAAATGTCATATCTTAATAAATATATTCAACGTGCAACTGCTTAATTTGAATCGTACTGGTTTCAGTGTTGTCTTATCGTGCTCAGAGTTATGAACACGATTGTCATCTCTTGCCGGATAGTAGATTCTGATATATATTTTATATATATATATATATATGCGATTATGTAAGAGTGAAGAGATCCTTTCAGTCTATTTTTCAAAAGTTTTCTGATAAATCTGAATGCTTTATTTTGATAAAGTAGAATGAATAACATTCTAGATACATGAATAACAAATCTCTTGGATTGCCGTACTGGAACTGGTTAGCTAAAGACAGGAGCCCACCTAGTCTGGGATGGGACAGGTTCATCAATGGACAGGAAAATCCTTTCACAAATATGACTATTAGAATTGATCTTGAGGGGCCAATGAGAACAGTTCAAAGAGACCAAGTGATATTTACGGTAAGACCTAACAATTACAATTCCTAATTTTGGTAGGGGTGAAGATATTTAGGTGATATTGAAACCGCACGTAAACAATTCCGGCATGCCCTATATTCATATTATTGCTGATTGCTCCGAGCATGTGCGCTTTCACATTTTACTCCAATCGTTTCGTGGGTATTTTGCAAGCCATCCCCATGAAATGGTCCTGTTCACTGAATATGTGCGAAGGTTTTCCGACATCAGACCAATATTTTTATGGAAGGAATCTGACTGATTTAATCGATATTTGGCATGAGAAACTATATTCTAATTTGGGTTATAGGATAGGGTATTTCATATTTGCCCCATCGACAAGGAAGCCGATAAGCAGGGCTGTAGTGTCGGGAATCGGAGTTTGGCATGCTTTCTCTATAGTCTATAGTCGGTGTCGTATTTTTAAACTCCCCAGAGTCTGAACTGAAATTCTAAATTCTCTGGAGTCGGAATATCAGACTTTCAATGATATAATTCTTCAAAAATCATCAAAGTTTACATTCGTAGTAGTCTAAAATAGCTTGCATAATTCAAAGTTTTTATTATCTAAATTTATTTTCTTGGAGTTGGAGTCCCAAACGGTGCCGGAGTCAAAATTATTTTCAACCTGGAGTCGAATTCGGAGCCAAACTTTTTCCCTCCCAGAATAGGTAATTGTAGTCGATTGTAAATTTTCTCTAACTCCCCAGGCCTGCTTATGAGACAGATTTTCCCAACTACTTACTTTTTATTTATCTTTAGCCACCTCTCGACTTTGCCCACAACCAATGGATCGACGTAGCTAACAAGCTCAATCAAGCACACAATATGCATGAATTTTCAGAAGCTCTTGAAAGCGCTCACGGTGGCCCACATGTTTCTGTGTGTGGAAATGGCAGATTTTCACCCAGATGTTCAATGTCATTAGGTACGTTGAAACTCGTAGAAGGTGTATAAGAGTTCTAGATTTAGGTTTTATATATGGATTCAAAGCCAATGATATAGTTGCTAATTAATGGTAACTTATTTAAATGCTGACGTATTAACAATAAAGTTCTGAGTAGTAAATGTAATCTTTTTTTTATTAGCTTCTTTAAGGTTTGCCGGGTTCGACCCTTTATTCATGATGCATCACACGCAAGTCGATCGTTTATGGGCGATTTCACAACAGAAACTTAAAGAGTCTGGAACAGTAACGTGGACGACACAAACTGCCTTGGAAGCAATGGAAGAACAAGGAGATTTCGGGTACAGTTAATTTACCCCTTGTAATCTTGTTGGACACGAAGTGGACCTATGGCTCGGATCGTTTGTTATTATGTCGTGGTTGTTGAAAATAGGCTTTTATCGGTACTCCCGTAGTATGTGAACCAGGATGGCGGACACATGAACTTAGTATATGTACCAGGTTAGGGTTAGGCCATAATTTTATTCCAATTTTCCGTATTTTAGTTCTATTACGAGTTCAGGGACTAGCCAAGTGACTCCCGGAGTATTTGTAACTGAAATTATGGCCTAACCCTAACCTGGTACACATACTACGTTCCTGTGTCCGCCATCTTGGTTCACATACTACGGGAGTACCCTTTTTTCAGCAATCGGACCAATTGCTTTGAAATGTTCAGTTGTTACAGCTTTTTGTTGTCGCTGAAAGACTATTACTTATATTCATTTTAAATAATCTGTGGGCTCTATGGGTTTCGTTTTTCACCTGGAAGTTTCATGTAATGACGTCTTCAAAATGAAAAACTGCGTGCCCTGTTTCCGTGATCACATCTAAGTTATATGATGGTCAGACTGCCGGTACTCTAAAACCGGTGCGAGCAAACTGTGGCCCGCAAGGAAAAATTGTGTGTCTCGTGGAGAAGTGCCAATTTTAAATTGGAGGGCCCGCGAAACGGGTTTTTAGTTTAGTTAATCTGGTACGTGCGAGCAATTCTAATATCTTTGTATCGCAAAGCCTATACCAGTAGTGCCGCTGTCATGTTAGTAAAACTAGCTAACAAATCTTGTTGCAGAATACACAATGTTATAAAAACGTGTTTCTCACTGAATTCGTTCAAAGTCGGGTGACAATAAATTTGAATAGCGGTCTTCCTTAGAATGTTATGCGTTTTAACTCACCCTTTCTGCATTTCAACAATGAAAAAGATAAATATCAAAAAGAAATCAATTTTTCGTGCCTACAACTACTAGAAACTTAGTAGTTTCTTACTGGCTTAATTAAAGATGCGGCCCGCGGCTTTAGTCAGTTACTTGTATCTGGCCCTCTTGTAAAAAAAGATTGCACACCCCTGCTCTAAAAGATTTGATAATACTTCGTTTCGGAATTCGTGTTCATATATTTGAGCGTTGCTCTCTTATATATGATATATATTGTCTAAACTGGTGATTGGAAAAGGATTAGAGTATTAAAATTGGTAAATACCCAATGGATTTAATATATTTTCTACTAGTATATGAGGGAATTTTAAATATGTTATTGACACAGTTTGCAGGTATACCAAAATGTAGAATAAAAAAAAAACTTTTATATATTTTTAGACGAAGACACATGCCATTTGGAAACAAAACTATAAACGCTTTTAAAATTGTTCAAGCCGTCAACACTATGCGAGACTCATATTATTATGAAGAACTGACAGGAGTGAAGTACGATTACTTAGGAAACGACGGATATCCAAAAACTAAGACAAATGGACTAGTCGTTGAGAGACTGCTTCGCGTTGGAGGCGCAGAAGTCCTTTTTATTGGTAATGCTTAATAAAAAAAAACATATATATAGGCCTACAGTAATGGTATTTTAAAAGATCCGCGTTTGATAAGCTCATAAAAATTATTCTAAACTTCTATCCTAGTTTAGTTTCCATAAATGTTGAAAAATGTCACAACGTTGAAACACAATGCTTGTAGTTTTATTTTTATTTCTATAATGATGTGGGCGGGTCGGAAGACTAGTCGTTGTAAATCTAACGTTAATTAATTTTACCATTCTATTTTAGCACACTATCTCCGAAATATAAGAGGAAACAGCACAGCTTATGTCAACTATTATCTGATATTTGGATCTGATGTTCCATGTAATGAACTAACTACATGGGATAGAGTCGCACAAAACATTTTGTTACCTACTGGCAACAATTATAAAAATTCTATTCCAAATTTGATAATGCTTCAAGAGGTAAATTACTGCAAATTATATTCGAAATAATTTCCTTATAGTGCACCCAGTTTTCCGTTTTAAATGGAGCGAGATCAATTTGAAATTAAATGGAATTATGTACTGCTTAGATTTACAATATAACTATAATATAGCGACGCAAATCAAACAGCTCTATTAATCCTATCGTAATGGCTCATATATTTCATAAAATATTGGAATCGTAGTTCTCCTGAAGCAGTGTCATAAGTACGCAATTACTTTATAGCCTCTTCTATAGATTTGTGATAAATTGGCAGACAACAACTCATAATTTAGAAAATGAAACAAGAGGCAAATTATTGGCACAAGCTTATTTATTAATTTACAAACTATATGTATCTATATTGCTTCATTTTATTCAGTTTGGATCCTCTGGCCTAGATCGTGATTATGACATAAAAGCCTGTTATACCAGTGATCCATCTTGTTCCGAATATTGTACTGACGCTACAAATCCAGGATTAGAAGAATTGCCTGCACCTGCTTTGGTACATTACCTACCCAATGAACGTAAGTTCAGTTTTTTCTATGTTTTATCTCTAGTTTGATTATTATTTGAAATTTAAATTCTACTAGGGTTATACCATATTACTGTATACCAATTAGTTCACTTAGGCTACATATTCTCGAATTTTATTGCCTGTCAGCTGTAGAGACAACAGTAGGAATTAAACTGATAAAAAAGTTGTCGTCGGAAATAAAATGTCGAATTTGCTTGCAATACATAGTTTCTAACTATAAAGATGTACTTTCTTTTTAGCCGCTGATGTATACAAGTTCAATTGGTCGCCTGAGAGGCCTCTCCCGACTTGGCATATAAATCTTGACGGCAGCTCTCAATGGCTTTATTTTTATGGCTCAAGAGCTGCCAATATTATGCAGGTCAGTGTTTTAAAACAGTTATAGTTAATATATTTAAATGAAAATCTAAAGTTCATGGTTCGGAGGGGTACGTTTCACGTTAGATAAAATACACATTTTATTTCTAAGGTCGGGACTGCCGAAGAGTGGGAGAATTGCAATTCAACTTCGGGAAGACTGTTCAGGTGTTCTACCGCCTCAGGTGGTAGCGCTTGTATGTTAAAAATTGGGATCTACTATTTGATTGACAATGAATACTCATATTGTAACAACTCAATGAAAATGATCGTGATATCTCGATCTTAGATTTTTCCAAGCAACCGAATGTTGAAAACCACTGATGAAGTTTATGTTAAGAATACTGTACTTTACCGTCTCCCGTGTTTGAACAATATATATATTGACGACTCATAAATATACAGTTTACTACGCAAGAAAATGTTTCTGTAAAAATTTGAAAATAAGGCGTAACGCTTTTTCATTATTTTGTGTTTTGTACTTATTACACAGTATACGAGCATTCAGAAATAAATTTGATCATTCTAGACTAGGTTTTAGGTAGCTGTCAGTAGATACTCCACAATCTTCCTACGATAGATGCCAACTTAGATAATTGGTCTACAGTTGTTTACGTTTTTAGAACTTAAATACTAGATGAAAGGTCGTTTCTTTGCATCCGATTATCACCTTGTGATCGATCCGACGTCTTTCGTATAGGAGCCATTACTATACCCATACTTTCTCCACCGAATTTCTTGTAAAATTTGATGGTTAGATCGATATACCCCGTATCATCTCAGTTAATGTTCTCTTCATCTGTCCCGAAATAACATATGATAGGTCGTTTCCTCGCATCCGATTACCACTCTGTGATCGATCCGTCGTCTTTCGCAGGAACAATTACTATACCAACACTTGCTCCACCGAATCGCATGTAAAACTTAATGGTTAGATCGATATACCCCGTATCATCTCAGTTAATGTCCTCACATTTCAAATAAGAGAGAAAAGGTGACCAACACTTGCTCCACCGAATCGCATGAGAAAACTAATGGTTAGATCGATATACCACGTATCACCTCAGTTAATGTCCTTACATTTCGAATAAGAGAGAAAAGGTTACCAACACTTGCTCCACAGAATCGAATGAGAAAACTTATGGTTAGAACGATATACGACGTATCACCTCAGTTAATGTCCTTACATTTCGAATAAGAGTAAAAAGGTTACCAACACTTGCTCCACCGAATCGCATGAGAAAACTAATGGTTAGATCGATATACCCCGTATCATCTCAGTTAATGTCCTCACATTTCAAATAAGAGAGAAAAGGTGACCAACACTTGCTCCTCCGAATCGCATGAGAAAACTTGAGGTTAGAACGACATACCACGTATCACCTCAGTAATGTGCTTAAATTTCGAATAATAGAGAAAAGGTTACCAACACTTGCTCCACCGAATCGCATGTGAAGCTTAATGGTTAGATCGATATACCCCGTATCATCCCAGTTAATGTCTTCAGTCCTCACAATTCAAATAAGAGTAAAAGGGTTACCAACACTTGCTCCACCGAATCGCATGAGAAAACTAATGGTTAGATCGATATACCACGTATCACCTCAGTTAATGTCCTTACATTTCGAATAAGAGAGAAAAGGTTACCAACACTTGCTCCACAGAATCGAATGAGAAAACTTATGGTTAGAACGATATACGACGTATCACCTCAGTTAATGTCCTTACATTTCGAATAAGAGTAAAAAGGTTACCAACACTTGCTCCACCGAATCGCATGAGAAAACTTGTGGTTAGAACGACATACCACGTATCACCTCAGTTAATGTGCTTAAATTTCGAATAAGAGAGAAAAGGTTACCAACACTTGCTCCACCGAATCGCAATAGAAAACTAATGGTTAGATCAATATACCACGTATCATCTCAGTTAATGTCTTCAGTCTTCACAATTCAAATAAGAGTAAAAAGGTTACCAACACTTGCTCCACCGAATCGCATGAGAAAACTAATGGTTAGATCGATATACCACGTATCACCTTAGTTAATGTCCTTACATTTCGAATAAGAGAGAAAAGCTTTTCAATACGCTGCTAGGAATATATCATTTCAGAGCAATCTCACCAACAGTAGAGAATTGATTCTTTCTTTTTGCAGTTGAAAATGTTAGAACTTTTCTCTTTATATAATACAAGCGTTAGCGCAGAACAGAAAATTTGATATGTGCTTGCATATAATCTTGCTTAGAAGACGGGGGAGGAACCGAAGATTATGATTTCTGACTTTCTCAAACACAGTAAGCTTATTAAAATTCAGCATTATCTCATGCAAAGTGATAAAGTATATACCTCGTGAGACATCTAGATTTTAGAACATAAACAAGAATTTACTAATTAAGAATAGCAGTTGAGTGTGAACAATACTATTATAGAGTAGGCCTACACATCAATGTTCTGTTTAATCAAATAGACAGTGTTTCACAGCCTGTGCGTCGCGACCCAAAATAAAGTTTCCCGAAATCTTCTTGAGTCGCTTGGTTTATAGCGCAAAAAATAAAAGTTATTGATTATTTTATTTCTAGTTAAATATATCCTGAGCATATTTTTGGTTAGCAAGATTTGCGTTGATAAAAAAAGGTTGGGAAAAGTATATGGATTTACATATAGACTAACTTACTTGATTAAAAGGTGATTCCTCTTGTAAACTGCTAAATACAGTACCGGTATAGAGTATACTGGTACAAGTCGAACGATATTATAAAGGGCATACGCAATGGAAAGTAGGTGAGATGAATTCGTTCTATTCAAAACGGTGTGTTTACTTATTACGGAAATAGCGCGGTTTTTAACCGAACGTGCCGCCTATTTATGAAAATGCACATCACAAAACGATAGCACGCGATCACCACAATTTATATATTCTTAGCCTCAAATAATGCCTCTGGAAAAATCAACCTCGCTTGGACTTTCAGTTCAATGCACGATTATAAACTAAAGATTCCACTGTTTTGGGCCTAGCGTGGTACGTGACAGACGCATGCTTTTTAAATCAAAATTAAATTTTGGTCCGTACTTGAAATCTACTACAAATATCGAACAGCAATTTGTTGACTCGATGATGCATCAGCTCCTGTAATACGATCATGCCAAACAATTCATGCCATGGGCATTTTGATAAAATCATTCACAAGTTTACTGGTGTCGTTTTAATTTATTACTGTTTTGAATATGAATGGTGGATTTAATTTTCTAACAACTTTTAGCGTGTTCATATTAAAAGCTTGACTTCGGTTTGTAAACAAATAGACTTTATAGAAGATCCTGTGGGTGAGGTGTAGCTGTAATTATATTTTATTCATATCAATTAGTATACATACCTTTCCAGTCAAAATATGACTTGGAATAAAGGTACTCCTGTAGTATATGTACCAGGTTAGGGTTAGGCCATAATTGTATTCCGATTTTGCTTATTTTAGTTCTATTACGAGTTCGGGGACTGTCTGTGTCAGCCAATTAAATATCCCCCTGCCCATAGGTTCCAATCCTTTTACACAACTTGATGTAAAATAGGCGAACCAAATTAAATACCTCCATATTGGTATACACATATTTTTGCAGCGCCGAAATAAACATTTATATTATAGATATTTGCTGATTGCAATTCACTTGACATCCGGACGAATTTATTGTGAAAATAACACAACTGATAAAATCCAGACTTTTGATTTATTTGTGGTACCGAGCATATAGCCTACTTCATTTAATTTAAATCTAAATTATTGCGGTTTAGCAATTTTCATTAGAGGAGAAATAGTGGAAAAGTCAACTAAAATTCAACTAATATACTCATTAAATGAATTCTAAAATATAAATTTCATGTATGGTAAATACTTACAAATCGCTATAATATGTATCATTTCTAAATTTTATGAAACTGGGTTTATTGTTAGGTTTTTTTGCAATTATAAATCTAATGAAACTATTAGATTATACAAAAAGAAAATTTTGAAATGTATAGAGTCCAGTTCAAAACATTACGTTATTAAAGTAGTTTTTAATAATATATATTAATCATATTTATTTATTGTGGGGATTCAAATTCGAATGATGTAGTATCATCTGGCCATCGTGTGTTGACAGGTTTGGATTGAACAGGAGCTTAACTAACTATTGGCAGTATTTCTCAACTTGGCGACGAAAAATTTGGAGCGATATCTAAGTTTGTGTTGCTAAAAAGTTTATGATTGGATGGTTGGCGAAATAATCAGTATTTTTATGTTTAACATAGCATAAGCTTTCAGGGCTATCGTGTGTTTTTATAATGAAATCGTTGGTTATTTGACGACCCATATATGGTGAGCTCAGTTGAAAACTACAATATCCAGGCGAGCCCCCTTTCGTTAAGTTGCGATAGTTTTTGACAAGATATATAATAAAAGTTTTATTGAATTCTTTTTTTTTATGTTTCCGTAGTTGTTTTATATTACATTGATAAGGTATGAAAACACTAACTGCGGCCATCTTGCTGGCGATATGTACCCCGACGTTCGCTGTTGAAGGTAAGTATCTAAGCATATGTATTGTAGCTTGAAAGATATAAATAATAACATTCTTTTGTAAAATAAATTTTGTGCGAAATACTCAAACTATAATAGATAAGGAATGGATACCAATATATAGCTTACTTTCAATTTCACTAGACCCGTGTAAGGATAATGGTGGCTGTGACCCAGAACATGGATTGTGTTGGAGAACTGGCGAAACTACGTCATATTGCACATGCAAAGCTGGTTTCAAGCAAGTAGAAGTGAATGGAACCCATGCTTGTGTTGGTGAGAATTTATACTATTTATGTGAGAAAAACCACGAACATTCAGGTCGAGGTTCTGATTTTTTATCATAAAAGTTAAAACGAAACCAGAATCAGACGACATTGATATCAATAAACGTATAATATTGTACATAATAAACAAGAGAGCAACTCAACTCACCAATATATGATCACAAAATCCTTTCTCGGTAAATGACAGTTCTCTCGAAGGTCACCTCGAACTTGAATCCACACGATGGCGCCATATTTTGAGAGGCATCAAAATTTAGGGATTAAAAAATGATTCCCAGAGAGCTCATAGAAAATTATAAAAGTTTTAGTACTTACCGGGCAATACCCTTTTCTAGGACATCGAAAAAAGTAACAGTGATTGGTAAAATGGTTCAAGATTTTGACTAAACATCAACAATTTATCAAAACATTCCACATGACTTCTTGTTCAATAATATCATACTTTAGATATAAATGAATGCTTCGAAGCAGGAGCATGTGATGAAAACTCCCTGTGTGAAAATGAACTCGGTACCTACTCATGCAGATGTAGATGCGGATATACAAGGGGGTATACAGGACATTGCCGTGAGTACCATTTATTGATAATGAGAATGAAACAGTGTGAGGGAGAAAAAATTCATATTGCTCTTTGTAATTCAGTTGACGCTGCTAAAATCACGGGAATTTGTATGATGCCGCCAAGATGTTAACATGAATTTTACTGGCTTCGTACATGGTGGTGGGATATTCCCTTCAAAATCAAATACGGAAAACAAGAATATTTTCCTGATCTTGACTCTGAGCAAATAAGAGTGAATCCTGCAGTAAAAACGAAGTAAAAATTATTGAATACTATTTATAACTTTTATTATCAATTAGTACGTTCTTTTTTATATTTTACAGCTGTTCCTATTAAATGACGATTATTGATAATTAATTATTATAAATTGTGACTTATTGAAATTTATTAAACATCGCGTTTTCTTTGTCTGTCATACTTTCTGAACCCGAGTTAATTGAAATAATTAGATCACAAGGCCATCGCGCAGACAAAATCCTACTTATCAGTAAGTGAGTATATTTATAAACATTTTTTGGAGTTACGCAGATTAGATGTTACCTTCCATCAGCAATGCTTCCGCCAATTTAATACTAATTAACGTATCATTTTCTGTGACAGGGGTATATGCAAATGTGAAAGCGGATTTTCTCTCAATACATGTGGTTATTGCGAAGATATTGACGAATGTCAAGAAGGTGAACTAATGAAGTTATTAAATTAATCAAGATGTGGAAGATTTCTTTGTGTTTTACTTTTTGAAGATAAAGATAATAATATAGTTTTACATAACAATATCAGTATCTTATATTATATTCTACAACAACATAAATATTAAGAAAAGCATTTCAAATTACAGTTAATAACATTTGTGAAGGAGAAGAATCTGTTTGTGTAAATACGGAAGGAAGTTACTACTGTGATTGTAAACCAGGATATATTATGGGACCATGCGGAATTAAATGCTACGGTAAGTTGACAACGTATTTCAAAGTTTCGGCTAGGAAAATAAAAATTCTGGATAAGATTTCAATTTGTAAAATCTATCAAATTATTCGTATATGTTCTTATAATTATTTATTTTGTATTTTTAGCAACCAATGAGCCCATACCGGTGATGTGTAAGTACAATTTTTTGTCAAAGTACAAAGTCAGGTAGTTTCATTAAAAAGTTACAAACATGGTATATTTAGTGTGTATCGTCTATTTTTGTATCAAAATAGTAGTTAATGCATTATTTTTTATTTCTATTTTAAGGTGAAAATGTGGATCTCAGAAGTCTTGCTCACTCGGGTAATAATTTCTTGCAAATAACGATTCAATTGCTTTGATTTTGGCAAATTATCTTTTTGTATTACTTTTTCCAGAGGTTGAGGCCGCAAATGCTTCGTTTATTCGTCCGATTGTTTTAAGAAACTTCGGAAGATGTAAAAGAAAGATCAGAGTCGGTGCAACCGTGAGTTTCTTAAAAAATTAAAAACACTTTATTGTATAGACTATAGATGGATATTGTATTTTTATTCAAAATGTCATCATTTTGCCTGTATTAATTTAATGATACAGTTATACTTCGGCGTAATCTGATATTTGTATTTTTGGGATAATATTGGCCAGAGATTTTTGCTTATGGGATTATATAATTATTAGTTCTATAAATAACAAAAACGTTTATACACAGCAGTTACTACCACAAAAGTTTTTACAATTATGAGACCCCTAAGAAACGAGATGGTGAATATAAATAACTGCCAACTAATAAAAAAATAATTTAGTCCGAACAAGAACTTGACTTAGATCGCGACGGTGTAATCGACATCAGATTAAGTTGGACTTGCGTTGATAAAAGTTTAGACGGATCATCCAGCAGAAGTATATTGACGTCATACAGTGAAGAAGAAGGTTAGTTTGTGATATTTATATCTTGCGTATTATTATATTATTATTAGGTATGGTCAAATGAATCTTGTAATATAAAAGTACACCAATACTGCTACATAATTTATTTTAGCAAAGTGGGGTCCGTGGTCATGCTGGACAGTGTGTAAAGCAACGTGCTGGGGAGGCCTTCAGACCAGAGTAAGAAAATGTTTACATGGACGACCAGGTTTAAAAGGATGTGCGGGAGAAGGATCTCAGAAACGAGATTGCTATTTCGGACGTAAATGTAGTGAGTTTCTTATATATATAATTATATATATGGAGTATTGGCTATATATATACTGATTTGATATCAATTACTCACGGTACTGCGTCTAAAACTTGAACGTTTTCTTAGATCTGGCGTTGTCATGAACCGAAGCATTGTGGTCGCATCACAGCATAAACCAAAAGTAATTGTATCAAACGCTCAACATTGTCGCGTATGACATTGTCGTTCAATCGCATTGTTTCTGAGATAACTCAAAATGACTTGCATGATAATTCAGGTTGACAAAATGGAACCTCACTTTTATTCATTTTAGTGGATAATTGTCTTATTGCTCGTGTAGTATTTATAAGTTCGTTTTGAAAAATACGATAGATAGTTTGTGATAACATCTAAAACGGGTCCCACGGCACCCCGTTCCATTTTTTACGCAATAGCAAAGCATATCAACATGAGTCTTTGATAGGCTACTCTTACGTACGTTAATGGTATTTTAATGATGTTTATTGAATCTCGTTACTAACAATCATTCATTGATATAGATTTTAGGATACGTAAAAATGTGAGAAGTCTGACTGAAGAAGAAATAAAAGATTTAATACAAGCAATGAGAAACTTCAAGAGAGATTCAACAGCTAATGGATTTCATAGTTCAGGTGTGGATACGTTTATTACTATGTACCACACTCAATAGTCTTTAAGAATTGCTATCCTATTGCGACATCTAATTTTGGAGGAAAATATAGATTATGACCTGGTAATCCTTGGTGTCGAGTGACGCACTTCCAGTACCATATGATACAGTGCATTGACTTTATTAAAAAAATATGCAATGTCTAGGAAAGATAAGTGTGAAACACGATAAGGATAAAAGTGCACGCAGACCGGTGGATTTAGGGCGCAAAAAGGATCGACAACATGTAATGCGAGACCAAATATAAATATTGAATTATAAAAACGAAACATAACACCTTGTTCGCCCTCAAACCCTGCATCCTTAACATAATTGATTGTAGTAAGTCTTTTTTCTGGAATGTTAAAAAGATTGTAGACTGTTTGTATCTCTAAAGTCTGAACGAAAGTGTTATACAATGTGAACGAAATCTTTAGTGAATATTGATTTGAAATATAAGTGAACGTAGATCGTACTATAAATCAATAAAGTATTTTCATTGGGATTTATGCAATGGAAATTGCATGGTAATCACAGAAATTTTGTATGCCTTTTTATCTTTAATCGTATCGTTATCTTAAATGTGTACACAAATTATCAAAGACATTCATAATATTCTCCATAACCTATGTTTTATATAGCGTCAATGCATTCCTGGCCAAACGTGTGCAACGGAAAGCCATGTCGACCAACTGGAGGAAAAATGGATTTTCTGGCATGGCAACGACTTTTCTTGCTGCAGATGGAACTAGGACTAAACAAGTAAAGTAGACAAAAGCTATCATCAAATTTTAAGCTATTCATCTCAATACCCCAATATGTTACACAGACCAAGTTAATTTGACTGCTAAAGAATGACTATCGACTCTTGAAATAGCACTAAAAGTATTAATCCCTTACAAACATGCCTGAAAATATGTCTGAGTGAAAAATGTCACCTTAAATGCAAATTTTTACGTCATCGTTGACTTATTGTAGATCGTTAAAAGAAGGGAGTCGATGTTTGATGACGCATCTATCGACGTGGGTTGCATATTTATTTTATTATGCTCACACAAAAATAATATTGTATCAGATACCTCAAAGATAAAACACTCGGAATACCGTACTGGAACTGGCTTGATGACGATGGAAACATTCCGGACATATTATGGAATAAGAAGATGCACAAAAGAATCAATCCATTCATTAATATGACTGTAATATTGAACGATAAAGAACCAAGAAAAACAATTAAACGCAGTAAAAAGATCTTTTCTGTGAGATATTATTGAATCTCTTAAAACCAAACCAACGCAATGATGGGTGGATAATTCGGACGATTCCAAAAAACAAAACTCATACATTTCCTATTTAAGTAATTATGCTCACACTAGTCTAGAATATGTTCCAAATAATTATTTCTTTTTTATTTGGGGGGGGGGGGGGGGGGGGGGTTAAGTAACTTAACTGCAGATCTTACCAGCTTGAAATGTTTTACAAACCAATTAAGTGCCTACGTACCTTACACATCTTGTGGCTCACTTCTTACACACACGTAGGTGACAAGTGAAAAAAGTGGTGAAATGAACGACAGATTTCTGACAGACAGTTGTTCTCCATTACAATATTTATGTTTTTATATATTTATTTTATATAATATCAGCCTGCTATAGAACTGGCACGTGCAATGTGGGATAATGTAACGAGACATTTGGCAAAACCACATATCATGAGGGAATTTTCGAAATCTCTGGAAAACATAATGGAAATTGTCTATTTAGCTGCTTGTGAAGAATGGTCGGATAATTGTGAAATTTCTTTGGGTAGGTTCTGACGAAGTACAAAATAGATTGAAATTTCGTGTTTCGTTATTTTGAATGCTTAAAAAAAGAATTGTTTTGTATTTGGACGACATGAATCAACAAAGATACCTGAATGAGTAAAAATTAATATTCAGAGTTTGTTTAGACTACTGTTTTTTGTCAGTTTGATGTTAACCTGTCTACCAACGCAGTCGATAGGACTAATAAACGTTCACAACCTATGTTTTTTAAATTATACAATTATGTAGTTTTACCACTGGTTGCTTATTTTATAGCAAACCTCAAGTTTTCGGCATTTGATCCACTTTACATGTTCATCCACTCCAACGCAGATAGACTGTGGGCAATAGCACAGAAAAAGATGGAGGAATCAGGCTCCACAACATGGTCCTCACAAACTGCACTGGATGCTTTAGATAAAGAAGGGTATTTCGGGTAAAACAACGAGTGTGTTACACCCTATTACATAGTATATATAGTAGTATAAACGCTTAAACAAATATTATATAAAAATACCAAACAAAATCAATTTTCATTTTCGTTTTAACTCAGGAGAAAGCTAGCTCCATTTGCAAACGAAAGTGTAAGTGGACACAAGTTATTGCAATCGATCAACAGTCTTCGTGATTCTTACTATTATCAAAAACTAATGGGAGTAAAGTATGATCATTTGAGCAACGATGGATTTCCAACCGACGAAGATGACCAATTTGACGAAGTTGGTGGAAAAGCTTTACGAACAGGAGGAGAAGAACGTCTATTCATTGGTTAGTTAGTCTACTGTCTTAGAAAAACATATAATATATACGCTCATATATTAAAACAATTAACTTTGTTCCAACACTGCAAAAATTTAACGAGAAGTAACTCCAGAACTCAGCAATCTGAGAAAACCGTTACTTTAAATTCCCGTTCGTTTATGGCCTGGCTTTCTGCACGTAGACAACTAATACTATCACGTTTCCTTACTTTGATCCTTAATCCTAAGAGATCATTGATTTTATGGACTGAATTCACATGCAAATATAAGTGAGCGAGCTGAGAATAAAACAACACAAACCCTAGTAGCGATAGACTGAAGTTTACGAACGACTGTCGCTAATCGGGATGACGCGAGAATCGGCTCGCAGAATATCCACGTGGTGACGCTAATTTCACAAATTCACGAAATCGGTTGACATGACAGTACCCTGAAAGACCACAAAAATGTCAAAATCAAACACTTTCAGAATCATTTCTAAGTAAAGAAGTACCCCATATTCGCATTTCAGGTCACTACTTCAAGAACGTCAGGAAGAACGTTTACATCAATTACTACTTAGGTGACGATGAAACACCCTGTCGTGACCGTAAAGTGGAAGGAAAAGTTGGCAGCACAGTTTTGCTGTCAACAGATATTGTTTACAAAAATACTATTCCTACTCTTCTTCCAGTAGAAACAGTAATTATATATTTTTAGTATTGGGATCAGGAGAAAAAAATGCAACGTAACTAAATGACAGAACGCAATGTAACAAAATACTGTTTATCTTATAATATTCAAATTTTAATGATAAATAGATTTCGTGATTGAGTGAAATCCGTATATAAATTAACATTTTTTTGTCGCGGAAAGTATTGACCAATAATTTTCAATATGCTATCGTCTTGCTTAAACCTTGTTGTTGTAAAAAATATCGATTTACCCCGCAAATGATAGATCAATCAATTTCACATTTATAGAGGGCTACTTCAAATTTGAAGTCGCAAAAGGCTAACACCCAATAGAGCCCCATATTTCACCCAAAACTTCGTCGTTTTAGTTAAATTCGCGAGAACCTGTTTTTCATTCCGCGTGAACGTCTCCGTCCAAGAACGGCTTTAAATGAGGGTGATTTCATTCCAAGTTAGGGTCTCTGACTTAGTTATTTGGCCCCCTGCTTTTTAATATACTAAAGCAGTGATTTCTTAGGTATAACTAGCGTTAAATAACAATATTTATATTGCTATTAAGGTCGTACGAAGTCGTTTATCAGAAGATTTTAATGTCAAAGCCTGTTACACGTATGAAGCCAACTGTACTGAAATGTGTCGAGAAGCTCGTGGTATCAATGTTATGACGATGCCTGATCCCATGTTGATATATCACGTAAAAGACCATCGTAAGTCGCGTTTTTATAAAGGACTACTGATACCAATTGAAGTCATCTGGGGTAGTCGGCGTTAGTATGACTGCGAATCATATTATCACTTAAATAGTTATATCAAACACGTACTGGCGACAGTTATTTACTTCGCCTAAAGCATAACTTTATTTACTTTGCGAAAGTTCTGTACTGTATGATTTATTACGGTGGTTATAGATTACTTTGCCGAAAGGGCCAGTGACATGAATCCGACAGATTACAATCTTGATCGTAATGAAGCGAAATTCAATATCACATACATGCCTAGTAACATTTATATAACATAATGAATAGGCCTACTCATAATACACCTAAATTTGAATCGTAGCTCTCTTGCTTTAATTCAAGTTTTAAAATTTGATTGCAGCAATTGATATATACAAATTCAACTGGTCAAATGGTAGAAGAATGGCTAACTGGCTGATCAACTTAGAAGCAGGATCACATTGGATTTATTTTTATGGTGACAGAGCAAGAAATATAGTGCAGGTTTGTGTATTCCAGCGCATATCCAAAATATACTCAAACTATGGGTTTCCGATTCATTGCTGGCATGTTTGTATACATACCCCCTCTTCCATCGATTTAATGACCACTAAGAAAACACACCGAAATGTAAATGTATATACTATATAGAATCGATTATTTGACAAGTTTGTCGCTAACTCCAATCATCGCAATTCATTTTCATTGTTAACAATTCAGTTTATTCAAAATCATTGCAACATATCGACTTTTTTAGTGCTTGTTTTATAGGTACCAACCGTATCGGAATGGATTTCCTGCAATAGAAAACGCGGAAGGCCAGTAGCTTGTGGTAGGCAAAAAGGAAATGTGTGCATGCTTCCTGTCGGCATATATTTTCTTATAGATGGAGATGAGGACCATTGCCGAAACGGCCTGAAAACAGTCGTGGTGACAAGAAAATGATTGACACGTCATTAAAAAAACAGCACACTAAATTCAATTTTCAGTTTATTTGATCACTCCTCGTACTTCTACCAATTTTCCATTTGCTATATCTTTGCGGACGTTATTATTAGTCATTTCAGTTATAAATGAATAAAAAAGATAGTAAGTTTGAAGTTTTCAACGTTTTTCTGCTAATACATTTGACTTTTTCAGGTTATAATGAAAAAGCCAAATTCAGTAATATCAACCATATAATATATATTATATATATGAGTGAAGCAATAAAATTCAGCATTCTTCTGAATTTTTTGACTGTTAGATCCATGTTACTTTTGACGTAAGTGATAAAGACAAAGTGATCTAACGTAACTTGGTAAAGTAAAGGAAAAAGAACAGTTAAATATGATTATATAACCGCGGGCGAAATACTAAGAACAGTTTTGATTACGCTATTAATATTATATACTTATTCATATTTTCGATGAAATAACGGGAGAAATATTATGTGATGTCATATTTCGTATTTCGAAATTGTTCTAATAAATATCACGTTCAGAGTTTTTCGAAACCTGTCGTCATAACAGATGGAAATATAAATTTTAACAAAACGATATGTATGTAATATTCCAGAAAATGACATAATCTTGAAATTGTAGAGTGGGCAGTTTCAATAATGATTTTAACAAGAAGTCATGTTATGAACTATATTATACTGATTACATTTCAAAACACATATTTTAACAAGATGAGTCAAATATATATACCCGCTTTTTCTCCGAATTCAAGTGTATCAATGAATCCGTTTCAATCTGATGTTTATAGATCATTGTTTGGGTAATGCACAAAAAAAGGCGCTCCGGAAGTATTCGTACCAAGATGATGTACAGCCTGAACAACCTTAACCTGGTACACATACTATGTTCAGGTTGTGCGCCATCTTGGTACGAATACTTCGGGAACACAAAAAGAGCTTAAATTAAATCAGTAAACTGCATTAACATAGTCAGAAATTTGCATTATCGAAAGATTCATCGTAGGCTACCCCAAAACCGTTGGAACCTGAATGGACGGTATAGGTATAATGGCTGGATTGAAGTTTAAGAACGGAAAAACCGAAACTAAAATAACTGAAGTTTACAACGTATCCCATAATTAAAAAAGTAAAGAATTTTAAACGCTCCAATTTAATTTTTGTAAACACTTCTGTGTTTTCACTTGAGCCATAATTAAAAAAAACTAAAGACCATGTTTACAAATTAAGGACGTGCAAACGTACATACAAAAATATGCGTCTGTTGGTTCATGGAAATAAATCAGTATCAGTATCAAATTATTATATGACATTTTTTTGTTGGAAGTTGGTGTATCGTGACATTCAATCATCATTCATCAGTGAATTCCAATAAATTGCGCAAATACTTTGGTAATAATAAGTTTAAAATTTATAATTTTCCTTTATTTTTATCAGGTGTTTTTGTGAAAAAACTTTTGCCTAATTTCAAAAATTTCCAGAACGATTTCATATCATTAATCACTATAATCATTACAATAATTGTTACTAATGCTATAAATTATTCAGCTATTAATGTTAATTTCAAAGTATTAATGACAATTTTGTTTCAACAATTTTCCGTATTTCATTATGTTAATGAACCCATAAATTTCTTAATTAGTTTTTACAAGAATAAAAATAAAATTATTTAACACCTCAACTTTGTTTTGATTATACCCAAAACAAAAGTTCCAGTGATCCATGATTCATTCCAAAAATGTTATGTTCTCTGTAGAATATGTTCTAAACAATCTGGATTCTGTTTCGTTGAGACCCCGTATATCACGTGGGTATCTCCAATACATACACGGTTATATCAAAAGAATGTTTCGAAGGTATACTGCGACAACATTACATATTGCTTATGATAAATAAATTATAAGCAAGTTTTAACTCGAGGAATGTGAGAACATTTTCAAAATATAATCAACACTAATTAAGACAAAAAAAAAATGCTAAAACGAATCACAAGTACATATCGAAAGAGTCCGAAATATCATTTTATATGGGACCAAATATGGCATTAATCGCAGTTCGAAACTGAAACCGCTGTAAACTTGTATATAAAATAAAACAAAATATCTCAATAATAGCAATGATACTATTTGATGCAAATTTAGAAAATGTGTCAATTTAAAACGCCAATCAAGCTATAATGCATCATAAACAGACGGACCACATTTTTACATCTTTTCTTATGTTTTGAAATTTATAAAAACAAGAAGAAAAAACGTAAAACTTCAATTTATTCGAATGTCAGTTAATCCATTCGTATTATATTTTTTAGTAATATTAACCATATAATATATATTATATATATATATAAGTAAAGCAAAAAAAATTCATCATCTTTCTGCAAATTTGTTTGAATGTTAGATCCACACCAGAACAACAGGATCTTGAAAATTGCCCTTGGTGATTTTTGGTGGATGCCGCAAAACATGACTCACACATAAATCTTTGTGTATATAGAAGTACCCGACCTGAGATAAAATTCTTTTAGATCGCACAATGTATATCTTTTTCCAACTATACAAGATAATCTGAACTGAATGCAATATGTATCTCACACATCTGGAGGAGATAGAGTTTTGACAGAAAAAGATTAATCTAATGCGATCTTTGTTTAATAAAGTGGTATATATTCTAAGCGCAAACTCGGACAAATAATGTTGGTAATAAAAAAAAGTGATCTCGCTTGAGTAGGCTATGTCGTTTGTTAGATAATGAAATGACATAATTTTGGGTGTAACGGATTATCTTACAATGAGTATCGTACAAGTGAAAAATGAAAATTTATCTAAGAATCGAGTGTGGCTTCTTGGGAAAACGCCAACTTAAATGATTAGTTATGACGTGGTTTACAATGCTTATCGTACATTCTTTATTTATTATCCATATTTATTATATATTTATATGTTATATTAACATGGTCATCATTTACAGTTTATTTCCATTTGAGAAACAAATATGCCATTATTCATCAATAAGATGTTTGCACACATCCGATTCATTCATAAAAATATAGAACTGACGTGTTTTCGTTCTCATATTCAGTTTCAACAAAAAGATATTTTTTTAATAAGTCAAATTTCGATTTTCGATATTACCGTGCCTGACAGAACCACTGTGCTTCTATTATGAACAACAAAACGGGTTTCGGTTTGAATCTATTCTTCAAATTTAAGACCGCGTGTTGCCTCGGAGGCGTATTAAAACGATTAAATGTTTTAATCACTTAACCGAAGACACAGCACGGATTTCGTTTAAAAAATACCAAAATAATAAAATAGTAAAAGAAAACAAGATAGGCGGTAAAAACTATCAATTAACCTTAAAGGCGTAATGTAAATTTCGACTAATTCTGCCCAAAGCGATGTCTTATAACTGGAGAACCGGTACAGATTATAGTCAGTCAGGATTAACTATTTGTACAAACCGGAGTGATTGTACCACATTGCCAAAAGTTATCTTGAGTATAAGAAATCAATAAACTTGGCATAGAAAATCTAGTTGTATTAAACATTGGATGAATGTTAGGACAGTGTTTCAATATTACCTGATTTCTAGATGATTCATTATATATCATATGAAGATATATTGTGAATTTGTTTAGATGAGTTGAGAAAAGATGGAGTGATTCGAGTTTACTTTTTTGCGCAGTGAAGAATAAACAGAAATAGTATTCGTCTGTTTTTTTGCATAATTCTTCATTTTTATTCTTACAGCTCACTTTAACTAGCCTGCTAGTTGCTTCCCAGGCTAAGTTAAAAAATGAATTATTTAAATTTAATTACAATATATTTCTTATCAATTGGAATCATCACTTTTACCAATGGAGGTAAGATCTTTACTATTGAAGAAAAATAAAATAAATAAAATAAAATTGTAAAATACATTCTAAGAATTTACTTTAATTTTATTTTACAGATCCTTGCAATAGAAATTTTGGACGTTGTGATCGACAAAATGGATTATGTTGGGGCACTGGAGAAGATACTCACTATTGCACTTGCAAAGCGGGTTTTCAACAAAAGAAAAATGAAGAGGGACACGAGTGCGAAGGTGAGAACATTCTGCCATTCTACCGTCCGCCGGTTTCTTAAGCTTTTCAGCTCAACGTTTTTTATCTTTCTCGTTCCATTCTTGTCATACTATTTTAACTCATTCCGTGTATTTTTTAGACATTGACGAGTGCAAAGAAGAAATATGTGATGAGAATGCAGTATGTGAAAACACACCAGGAAGCTACAAATGTACATGTACATGTGGATATATCATGGACTACACTGGACAATACTGCCGTAAGTCAATCAACCAATTTTCAGAATTCTCACTAGCAATATTAATGTCTTATGTCTCAGTGTAAGAATGATTGGTAGCAACTCAGAAGAATTCTTCACACACAATTCGCAATTTCATGCTAACAAGAAGATTATACTTTTCAGTTGAAGCTAAAAAAATAACAGACAAGTGCCTTTTGCCTGAATCTTGCTATCAGAAAGATGAACTACTTCGAGGATTTTTCCCCGTAGTTCCATTTGATATAAGATGGGCAAAACAATATTTAACCGATTATTCAACTACGACAAGTTATCGCCCTCGAAATAGAGCAAGGTGGGTAGAATGTTTTATATATAATGGTAAAAAATCTCTTGATGTATAATCATACAATCACAAAACATTATAATATTTATAGAGTGTTTTGAGCCAACAATACTTTGGGCAAAGATTAAGGTAAACGTGTAAAATACTAGGCTATAACATAATAATAATTATTATTTCGCAATTCCCCGATAAAATTCATAAATACCCATAACTTGGTTAAAACGAAATTTTTTTTTTTTTCATCTTGTTTCATTTTACTCTATTTTTACTTTTTTATGTCATTTTCAAATCAAGATGCGATTGCGAGGATGGATTTTATCGTAATTTCTGCGGATTCTGCACTGACATAGACGAATGCTACCATTCAAGTGAGTTTATGATTTTGAAATTAAAAATTCGAAAGAACTTTTAAAATAAATTCATGCATTTACAATTCGTTTCCAACTAGTATAAATATTTAAAATTAAAACTAAAAATGAAATATTTTTAGATCCCTGCAAAGGCCGAGGTTCTAAATGTGTTAATACAGAAGGAAGCTTTTATTGTGATTGCGATCCGGGATATGTGATTGGACCGTGCAAAGAAAGATGCTACCGTAAGTGTAAAACTATTCTTTCCTTCTACTTGAACTATTAGTTAATGACTGTTCCGTAACACATATTTGGTTTTGATATGGAAAACAGAATAATCTGGATACAGCAGGTAATGTTCTTCAAGAATCAGGTCAGATTGCAAATATGCCTAAAAGTGTATCCATCTATATATCCATTTATAAACATTCAAAGAAAATAATCCTAAATAACTTATTTAATCTCCTTACCCGCAGCTTGTGACATTCCACAGAGCTTCTGTTCAGGCCCATATTTGTTCTTACTACGTATAAAAGATCAAAACTCTTAGCAATAACGATTCAACGAAGACAGAAATATATATATATGCTTTTCCTTTCACGACTATTTTGATTTATCGTTATCTATCTATTTACAGGTGAAAATTCGAGAGTTCCGGTTCTCTGTGAGTACTAATTTTAAATGCATGTCTTTATATGAAAACCATTCATCACAAGAAAAGATGTGTTTTCTTTGTTTCGTTTTATCATATTTTATTTTTTATTTTTAAACTTCCTTACAAATGGTTTCAATCAATGGGAGAGAATATAGACTGTTGAAAAATGGATGTTACGAAACACCAAGCACAATTGGTGCGCTGTATTTCTGTCGTGTGTTCTGACTTTCCAACGAACTTGCATGGTAAATTAAGCACGATCATAACCTCATGCCTATATTTTCAGGCGAAAACCCAAAGATTGGAGTACTCAACAGTCAAGGTTTGTTTTAATTATCCCATTGCCACATCGAGAAAAATATTTACATCCGCTATCAGATTTATATATATACTTTATTCATGCACGAACATAAGTTTATTTATATTGACTTACATGGAGTGTTTACGAGTACCTTTATGGTTAGTGATCTTTTACAGCAATTAGAACAGTAAAATAAAATATTTCTTTATTTAGGATTTATTTTCCGTTCATTTGCTCGTCCCATCTTGTTGGAACACTTCAGAACTTGTCCGGCGGGCGTCGAGAACAGTGACGAGGTATCATCATAGTATTATATTATATTAAGCAAGCATTTTTTGGTTCTTTTGTCTTCGATAAAGATTGTTTCACCGATGTAGGCTACAACGAGAATTCAATATTTTTTAATGAAACCTCCGACTTATTTATATAGGTAAAATATGTTACTTTAGGTATTATTTAATAGCAAAATTGCATTGCACAAGTAGAATACGTATGAAATTTCTGTGGCCAGTAAAAACAATTTCTTAACGTTTATTAACCTTTTGTTCCTTGCAGACCACGGAAAGATTTAACCTCGATACCGATTTAAAACCAGATGTCAAACTTCAATGGCTCTGTACCGGTGGAGTAAGCACTTTGAAACTGTACGCTGAGGAAGAAGGTATTATTCTTGAAGAATTTTAAATTCAAGAAACAAAATCGCATTTTTTTCAAAATTTATTCACCTTTTTAAACAGTCAATTAACAGTGAAATTATAAACATTGTAGTTGCTTTTCTTATTCCAGCAAGAGCAAAACAATGATTGCCCAAGAAGTAATGAGGTATCGAACCACCTTTATGGTCATTATAATCTACGTTGAAAGATGATTCAATGAGTAAAATATTCAAATTATATTAATTGCAAATAAGGCGTTGGGGTAATAACATTTGTAAAAAATGAGATAGTGACCACATCAATCATTCTGAAGTGTTTTCAATATTTTAACAGCACATTGGGAATCCTGGTCATGTTGGACAGAATGCAAAGCGACACCCTGGGGTGGACTGCAGACAAGAATGAGAAAATGTGTGCATGGTTTACCAAGTCAAGAAGGGTGTGAAGGAGAAGGATCTCAAAAACGAAGTTGTTATACAGGACCCCTAAAAAGTATGTGCCTAATAAAATAAAAATTTTGGCATGACTGACACTCTTTGGAGAAAATAAGGTGCATCAAGGGATTTTTTTTACTATTGCGGAGCATGGTAGAAATAGATATTTGATAGTACTAGTCGAAAATCAGTTAAGAATACATTTTTATCATGCAGAGTTCAGAATTCGCAAGGATGCAACAAGACTTTCTGATCGAGAAAAAAAAGATTTAATTCAAGCGTTTGAAAAATACAAAAACGACGGCTCAGCAAGAGGTTTCCACAATGCAGGTAAAGATTTCAAATCGATTAGAAAACTCGTATGAGCGAAATTTAAGAATTCAATCAGGAATAACGCATCTCTATCTTAAAATGTAGTACTAGTTAATTTCAGGAATTGATAGATACTTTTTGAATGAATTCTCTTCCTGAAAGGTCAAAATCATTCAAAAATTCTTACACATATTTATTTAGAGAGTAACCAATCCTATTTTAAAAAGATTGGATCGTCAGCTATTTTAATATTATTTACAGTGTACTAAAACATTTCAAACTCAATCGGAATAGAATACTCATTTTTAGTCTTTTTTTTTCAATATCACAGCTTCTTCTCATGGATGGCCAAACCAATGCAGAAACAAAACATCTTGCTGTCCACATGGTGCCAAATTGAAGTTTATTACTTGGCATAGAAGTATAATGCTACACTTTGAAGAAGGTCTTAACAGGTAATTTCATTTAAAAATATAACTAATGAATAAGATAAATAACAAAAAAACGCCTTACTAAAATTAGCGAAAATGCAATTTCACAATTAATTTGACTCAACAACTGCTTAACTACTATATTTTTTAGAACTAACTAGAATATTATGTGAAATGGTTTTAATGAATACGTTCCTTAAATTTACTGAGTATATGAACGTTATTATTCCACAATTGTAACTCGTTATAAACTTAGACCGTCGAGATCAACAATGTAAAACTGTAATCAACTTCCCAGGTATCTGAAAGACAAATCAATTGGAATGCCATACTGGAACTGGCTTAATAGAAAAAGAGACCCTCCATCTCTTGGATGGGATAAAAGATTGTACAATGCACCCAACCCATTCACAAATATGACAGTTCTGCTGGATGTTGACGAGAAAGCACCAATGCGAACAATCCAACGAGACAATAGAATTTTTACGGTCTGTTTTATATTTTTATTTTGTTGATTATTACTTATTTTTTACGTCGATTTTAGGATTTTTTATGAAGACTTAGAAAACGCATTGAATATCTTTTTATTCCTATTCAGGGGGCATTGAATTTTGCACACGATCATTGGTTAGACGTGGCGTCCAAAAGAAAGAAACCGCACATACTACACGAATTCGCTGCAGCATTAGAAAGAGCTCATGGAGCACCTCACGTATCGGTTTGTGGTATGGGGCGACGGATTCCAAAATGTACCATTTCTTTGGGTAAGTTTAATTTTCTGACTATTATGTATTGAGAACGTGGTGGTATGTTTCTCATTAACAATACTGTCAGATGATATTGATATGAGAAGTCATAAAGCTTTATTTGTAACATTAGGGAATCTACAGTTCGCTGCCTTCGATCCACTATTTTGGATGCATCACTGTCAAGTTGATAGATTATGGGCAGTTACACAGAAAGAAATCGCTGAAGAGAAAGGCAGAGGGACAACTTGGACACCACAAACCGCCTTAGAAGCATTAGAGGAAAGAGCCGATTTTTCGTAAGACTATTTATTTTAATATAATTTTAATCTATTTTACTCATTGAATCATCTTTTAGAATATAATGACCCTAGAGGTGATTCGATACCCCATTACTTTTTGACTTATGTTACGGATAGTCACGAGGTCATTAATTACGAAGGTTTGCTATCAACACGAGTATTGTAACGTATCAGAAATAGTCACGGATTTTTACATAATATAAATGGATTGTCTATAGCGGGAGCGTTAATATAAAATCGTAAAACTATTTTCAGACGCCCCTTCCAACCATTTGGAAACGATTCGTTGAGCCCATTTCCTATCGTTAAAGCAACGAACACAATGAGAGATTCTTACTATTACGAGGAATTGACAGGAATCAAATACGATAGCGTAGATAAAAACGGATTCCCTCCATTCATGGGTAGAAACTTGCGTCGTCCACCTGGACAGGAAGTCATTTTTATAGGTGAGTGTATAAGATTGCGTGCTGTATTCCCTATACTTTATAATGAATTGCCCAATTCTTTCAATAAAGTTAGAATTCATGTGAACAAACAACAAATCCAATGTATACAAATCTTATAGTTTTTGCTGGAAAAATATCATTTTCTCATTAATCACTGAAGATTTGCGCATTTACAGTCCTAGACAAAAATGGTTAATATAGAAATTTTATAACGTAAGTTATGAAGAACGATTGTACGCCATGTACTAATATCTTTCAGGTCATTACTTTCAAAGTAGTCTTGTGAACTTTGCCGTCAACTATTATTTTGCCGACCCTGACAACCCAATTCCATGCAACAGGCGTACTGACGATGACAGAGCTGGGACAGCAATTAAACTGGGATCTGCTAGAAATTTCAGGCAAAGGGTTCCAGATTTAACATTGGTGGAACAGGTATGGTTCAGTTGTGCTCTAATGTCAATAATAGAACTAATGACTAGTATAGTATTGGCTTTAGTATAGTATTTTTCAGACTGCTCAATTTGAACTTAGTACTAAATGAAGACCAATGTAGTCGGATTTAAAATGCTAAAATGGCGTCTGTTAGACCCTGAAAATATACCTGATTCTGATTTAAAACCGCCAGAACGCTCAACAGGGCAAACATACAGTGTTTAATATTTGACTTGGCCATCTTAAGTCAGTTTTGACCTTGCATTCGATAAAATAACCACCTGTACATAACAATGTTCACAGAAGCTTGCACAGGCAAAAAGGGGCATATACTTTTAATATACAACAGAATCAGTATTAGCATTCAGAAAGCTCTTTTTTTTGCTTTGAAATCGCCTTCAGCTTTAAACTAGATTGTGGGATACCCTAACTATCCTACGTTTATTTTATGTACTTCTAAAAATAAAAAACAAAACTGTTGTAATCAAAATGCTATTATATAGTATATTTTGACACGAACGAATGAATTAAATCGATCTATAATTACACAATTGCGATCTCAAACCTATAATTAAATCACACACTTTTTAGGTCGGAATAAATGCTGATGGCGCTCTGGATATTGATTTTGATATACAAGCTTGTTATACGTCACAACTGGACTGCACGGAACGTTGTCCTGAACTAAAAACCAGTAGAATTTTATCTCAACCCACCCCAATGCTTGTCTACTATATGCCAAACCAGCGTAAGTATTCTCGACTGAAATTTGGAAAATAAAATATTTTACGAGCTGCATGAATAGGGCATTTGTCTTTTAGAAGTGCGTCAGTGTGAATACCCAAGTTCAAGTTTGATTAGGAGCAAAATAAATTCCGATTTGAGGTAAAAAATAAATCCAATGTTAAACACCATGCGGCTCTTCTCTGCGACTGCTTGTTAATTTTTTCTTTCAGTCTGGCTTTTTTCTATGACTTTTGAATTCAATTGTAATACTTTGAAGGTTGATTTTATATAGGAATGTGTTGTCAAAGCTAAGGCTATCAAACACGGCTAGTTTAGGCTCTAGAAGAGTCTGCAACAATCGGAATTAATGATGAATTAACGGGTATTATAACTTTGGTGAAACTAATTATATATTTATTTCAGCTGTGGATATCTATAAATTTAAATGGTCGGAGGATACGATACTTCCGAATTGGTATATCAACCTTCATTCCGGAAGTCAATGGATCTATTTTTACGGAAATGCGGTTAATAACATCACGCAGGTAAGCTTTTTATTTTGTAGTAAAGAGTTCAAGTTAATTTTATGAGCATCTATAAAATTACATTTCAATTCAGTGCTATTTTGTGAAATAAAACTGACTGTTTTTTCCCAAAAGCTTTTGGGAAGTAAATTTACAAATGGTACAACACGTCTCCTATTGACATATTAATTTTCATTTTTGTGAAAAACGTTTCCCATTATATTACTGATTTAATTTAGTAACGGAAAGTGTTAGAAATTTATGTACTTATATATTTTGTAACAGTCATAACACCATCATGCCATGTCATACTTTAAGATTTGACACATTAAATTAAACAAAATATTCATAGGAAAATTTATATATATTAGCTATATTTTAACGATTTATCTATTTAATATACAGTAATTCATATATGATTGTGACGAGGAAAATTTTAAATGAATTTATTCACATAAGGTTATACAATTGATTAGAATTTTTGTATCTCTGGGTTTCTGTTGATATTTTCCATAGAAAAACTAATTAAACGCACTATGCACGTAAACATTTATTCTATGTTGGAAACAGGTGCCGAGTACAGGAGATTATATTGCTTGCAACGCTAGGCGCGGACGACAACTTACATGTCATTCTGACAATGATGGTGGCACTGCTTGTATGCTGCCTTCGGGAATTTACTACATTATCAACAGTTATAGACCAACTTGTCTCAGAGGGCAAAGAATGATTGTGGTCTCACGAAAATAATTTTGTATTACAAATATTTTCCTATTCGTCAATTGTTTCTGCTTACATATGTGTTTACAGGCTTCTTTACAGAAACATTTGAGTCACTCGTTCCACGCATTTCAACTAAGTTGATATATTTACAATGTGACTATTTCTATCAGCGTGAAATTTTCTTGTATAATTTTTGCAGCCTATATATATATATGTAACTACGTTTAAAAAAATAAAGACAAAAGGGAACGAAAATTAATTTTTACTTGTCTTATACGTTAGAGCAGAGATGGGTTCCTAAATAAAACTGTTGACTTAAAAAGGATTCTTCACGATTCAAATTCCAATCCTCATCTCAGCCCTGCATAAAAAAATAAACAATAGTTTTAATATAAAATCTCCAAGTCTCCAAATTTGCAAAAATATTTACACCTTCATTTAGTCCGGTGTAATGAAATAAACTAGGCGATAGATCAAGCAATAGCCGCCCACACCGATTCCCAATCCCATTATCTGTGATGGTAAATGTAGATTATCAGTATCTACCTAATGTATAACAAACAAACACAGTATGAGAAACTGGTGAAAACTAGTTCTATAAATTAGAAGCTCTTAGGAAAACGTTTAGAATACCATGTTTCCTCGCAAATAAGACCTAGTCTGGATTTTAAAAATGATTTTAGTATAAGTCCTCCTCTTAAAATAAGACCTACTCAATTCCGCGATTTTTTTTCGACCTAGTCGATAGCAGTTATTTTGAATAAAAACGTGTTTTATTTATAAGTAAATGCCTAAATGGATATCGGTTTTCATATTTTGCATATTTGAAAATCTCGTAATTCTCTAATTTTGTTTTTGATAAATGAAAATATAAGACATCCAACGAAAATAAGCCCTAGGGCCTAGTGTTATTTTTCGAAAGAAAATTGAAAGTTCCAGTTTTTTTTTTCGGAGAAACACGGTAGTTGTGTGTTAACTACCATTCGGGGTCACGGAGGAAAAGCACAGGCAAACCCAGAAGGCCTGAGTACATGTCCACTGGAACCGGTCCAGCAGACTACAAAAGAAACTATTTCACGCTTCAGTCGTTCACGCGTAATTTCAAATTAAACCTTTCGGCCCACAACATTGAACCACCATCAAAGAGATCTGGAAGTAAGCTGCGCCGCCCTTGCTCCATAGCTTCGTCGTGCTACTCGAGAAATCGCCGTTACTCACTCACGTTAATCAAAGACGAACGGAAGTTGTTTTCTTTTTCATTTCTGGTAAGCTAGTTGTTTTTTCGACAAGTGTATATTTAGCTATAGCACGTATGTTCAATTTTGAACACTTCTGCGCTTCTATACCTATTGTGTTACCATTGCAGACCAAGTTGAAATAACCGTACTGGTAGGACCAGGACGCCGGTATGACATAAAATAGCGTACATGGTGGGTTGTTGTTTTAAAACAGAAAATGAACTCTTAATAATGTCCAAGAATTTATTAGTTTAAACTGGACGCAGCACGACCTTCGTTGATGAACGGTAGTTTGCATTAATAAACAAAATTTTCAGAATTTCACCGTGTTTCATCCTAGCTGGCACCGTTACGGTAACTGTACATACAACTTCAAAGCTTCAATGCCGGTAGAGTCGTGGTAGTAGGATGAAATGATAAACGGCTTCTATTTATATATAATGAGCTCACTTCACACAAAGTGTTTGATTGACAAAATTTAGTTGGCATGCTGACATTACCGGTACCGTAACTAGGAGGCCTACCTCAATTTCTTGAATGAATCGTGTGGCATAAGGTTACAGTACTTTTTACCGATGACAGCATGGCCGGAAAAACGATCTGACTGCATTTGCTTTCTTTGCTACCTTTAAGTCATTATTGGACACGTTTAGTGGACATACCGATCGTTTTTGGACACGTTTAGTGGACATAACGATCGTTTTGTTGGTATATTGTTCTTTGACACTTTTTGGACACCTAGTGGAAATATTAAAAAAACGATTTTCTCTTTGATCACTGGACCAATTGCTATGAAATTTTTAGTGGTCAAAGATGAAATTTTCTCCAGAAGGCTATTACTTTTATTTATTTTAAATATTTCTGTTAGCTCTGTGAGATTTGTTTTGTTTGCTATGACGTCACTGAACGTTCTGCGGACGCATATGCAGGCACTCCTCTTTTTGATCACGTGCCATCGAACGTTGGAGTGACAGCGTATTCTGAAAATCGTTGCTACTAAAAATCGCAAGTTTTTCGAGGTTACCGGTGAATGGCGGTGATGCTAAAGGTACGGTAGACCGTACTGTACTGCTTCGCTTGGTGTGAATATATTTGTAGACTGTGGTCTAGTACAGCAGAGGTCCGCAACTACTTTTTAGCGCGACCCAAAAAATTTTTTCTAATTTCTCGCGACCCAAGCATTTGGTAAAAATGTAATTAGTTATCGATTTTAAGACTATTGTCGACACTAGCATTTTTCTTGCACAAAATTATATGAAACTTATCACATAAAATTGTGAATAATAGCGTTTATTTTGACTAATGCAAATTATAAGCTTTGTGTAGAATACACAACATATCAAATCGAGGTTTAATTTGGGAGACGGCAACTCGAAGATATTTTTCTACCTATAGCCTTGATCTGTAATTGTATTTTATGTATGAAAATGCTGATAGACGGGAAAAAATGTATTGGTTTTTTAATGAATTTTGGATGCTTTGCTGTAAGATACACGTGAAACCAATCTTTATACATTATACGCTGTTATTCCGCTTATATGTATGGTTTGAGTGATGTATTTCTATCCTATGAGGGTGAGAAGAGGAGTCTTTTGTCGGGCGTTGATCCCCACTGCTGTAAGAGCTCTGTATGGAGCCTCAGGGCTCCGCGAGCTATTCGTTCACTTAAAAACTGACTTGGTTAATTTTGTATCTGTGAAGAAGCATTAACGTCACTAATAAAATTTGACGATGGTGGTGTCGAAATGTGGTAGTGATTCAAATATCACGTTATCTATAACTAAGGGCGCAGCAGCCATGGTTTTCTAAAAGGGAGGGGGTTCAGAATAGAAAAATCCCGAGCAACACTCATCGCTCAATCCATGGCCGACCCGAGAATTTAAAATGTCATATCAATTCAATTGTGTTTGTCGTTGCTCGCCTTTGAGTTAACTAATAAACTACCACCATGAAATACTTGTTTAACCGTCTACTAGCAATGAATGGATTGAAATCGTATTTTTGAGTTGCTGTTTCAGCACTTAGGATTATCGCAGAGTTTTGTTGTTAAGGGAGAGTTTGCAGTTATGAAGCCAATTATATATTTGATACCTTCAGGTCGAATTCGGTCTATGCATAAATGTATCAGTGATTTCTAGATGCAGTGATGGGACAAATATCGGCCGACTCAGTAAAATGATCAAACTTTCCTAACAAGTATATAATTCACAATCACTCGTTTAATGAGCCTATAATTGATTATAATTAGAGAAATTGCAACAGAACGTAAAAAAGTTGATGCTGAGCGCAAATGATTTAATGACGCGGAAAATATTCAAATGATCAGTCTTCGCGCACTGCTTGAAATTTCTGGGTGAAAAAATGTGATTCATTGGCCATTCCTTTGGTTTTCAACTTTCTAAAATACGTGCTACCCGCAAATGACTTGCAAGCTTTAATTTTGGCCCGCAAACGACAAATGTTTGCCGACCTCTGGTTTAGACTTTAGAGCCAGTGAAGTTATGCAGTAATTCCAACTCAAATTCTCGACCCATTGCCCTATCTCCCTCCACTTTCCTATTCTCGACCCTCTGCCCTGTCTCCCTCGCCTCGGCCAACTGCTCCACCTCCCTATCCTCGACCCACCGCCCTATCTCCTTCGACCTTCCTATCCTCGACCCACTGTCCTATTTCCCCCAACCTTCCTATCCCCTTCAAGCTCTTTATCCTCGACTCATTGCCCTATCTCCCTCAACTTTTCTTTCCTCTATCCACTGCACTATCTGTCTCAAATTTCCCACCTTCGACCGACTGTCCGACCTCCCTCAACTTACTTATCTTCGACCCACGGCGCTATACCACTCAGCACCTAACCTAACGGCGATACAATCACGACTCGATTGTCAAAATGAACTCTACCATCTTGCGACCAACTTTCATGTGTTATACTGGTCGAGTATGCCAATGAGATGATTCAATCGTACGTCGACAAAACATGATTGACGGCATTCGTAAATGTAGGCTGGAATCTCAATCGGTAATCAATAACCATAATTAGTGGCTTTAAAATGTGCTACTAATTAGGCTACTGATGGCATCGGGTTTGAGGTGACTGATTTTAAAATTTCGATATCGGCCATTCGATATCGACATACCTGAGTTTCTTTTTAGAAACTCATTGAATGTCGCCTGTATTTCCGTGCAAGGCAAAACGGTGAGGAAATAATCAAATATTTGCACGCTTAGCCATTTTCAACGAATGTTCTGCCATATTCTGTTGTATATACAAATTTCTTTTGCGTGACTGAGAAGGCTGAAAAGTCAAAAACAGTCAAAAATATAAGTCGCTCAGTGAGAGTAATTCCTTCCAAACTATTTTTAGACCATGAAATGTTTTGTCATAGCTAGCGTTGCCAACTGCCCTTTAATTCAGCGTATAGTGCCAAAATTGTCTTATATGCCAAATTATCTTATATTCTTATATGCAACTTAATGAAGATGCAAAGGACGCCGTTCGTACGCAATCTTTGGCATCGCTCTTACTATAAAATGTTGAAGAAAAATACTTTATACGGACCAGAGCACTATTGCTTATTTCGGATCAGCATCATATTGTCGCAAGACTCACGAAATGGCCAATTATTAAGGGCATAAAACGGCCTTTTTTTTTTTTTTTTTTTCGGATCAGATTATAATATACGGGATCGGGGATAAACCGTCATTTCCTGTATCCCATTCGGATCTTGGTCAGTTATAGACCGTATCACATAATGGCAATAGATGACTATTGCCGTTCTCATTGATAGGCTCCTATTTCGTCATTTCCGTTTTAGATGGTTTTTCAATTTTGAGCATAAAATCAGTAAATTAATCATTTTTTTTAATTAGTTTGTAGCAACACTTTTTTGGGCCGACCAATTTTCAATTTTCTCTATCTGTTTTATTTCTTCGCTGAGTGATTCTATGTTTTTTACTCTCCAGCCCATTTTATTAAAAGTTTTCGAAACTATGCCATCTTCTATCCTTTTACTTTCTTCGGGAT